TTGGTGACAGAGAAGATGCCCGTGAAAGAAGTTGGCCGACAATCATTGTGTTCTCATTCTTGTGAAAAAAGAGGGGGTACACGAAAAGCCTTCGTTTTGCGATCGACAGTTATAAAGGAGTCTGATTCTACCATCGAAGGGCGTTTACGCCGAGGGCCACATAGAACATTTTCCTATCCTCAGTATACCCTACAGAATGTTTGACACGAAAATTGGGCTTTTAATTGCCCATAAATCAGCATCTGAAACAAGTGCTGAGTCCAAGGTACGCTGAATACTATCCGTCTAATAAAAAAGAATTTCTCGCTGATGGGATTCAGTCTTTATCTCCAAACGCACCCTCTCGTTCTCCTCGAACGAGGTCTTTCCTTTACTATAACCCGGATCTATTTTATCATTTGAAGGACGCCCGAATAAGGATGCCCGAGTTTTCTTTCACGGGAAATGCGAAACCATATCGTTCCCATAACAAGGTTATTGATGGACCACCCGAGTGTGGGAGCACTTGAAGCTGAGTGCGTTTCGAGAAACGGTTCTGGATTATATTGGCTAATCCCATCTTGATGTAGTTCAAGAATGTCAAGATCCAAGTTCGAGAACCTTGGAAGACGTTCAAGCTTGGAACCAAATTTTCAATTGGATAAATGTTGTCTGGAGATCTAGGTGTGGAAATCATGATTGATGAAAATATGCAAAAATAGTGGTATACTACTAGCAGTATGCTAAGTCTGCTAGAAGATCCAAGTTTACGTTAGAAAGCTATGGATATAATCCCATCACTCCTAATTCTCACTTCAGAGCATCTCATGTTTAAGATAAGGCCAAGCTTTCACTATCAATTAAAGTAGCAGCTTTTACATCAACCGGCAAAATCGGTTCTGAGAGGTAAGGTTTGAGCGATTCTTATCCCGAGTCCACTATTTTTGTGGCATGATCAACAAGTAAAGTCTCCGGAATCATCGCATTGACTCTCTTTGGAATACCAGCTTCTCTATGCGGCAAAGTTTCCGATGCAAGCCCGGGTTGTGATCATCCTGGTACCCACTCTTAAGCCGCGAAAGGAGCGCAGGCACTTGGAATTTCCTTTCACCTACACATAAGACCACTCGGGACCGTCTGTTGGCTCCAGGGCTTAAAGCTTAATCTGCCGCCCTTTGTCAAGGTGGCGCCGCAGAAATTATCTTATCAGATTCCCAATTGTATGCCATTATTTCCACGTCCAGCTTCCTTTCATGCTGCCCAACTTTTCACCAGCAATGGATTCTCGATTTCATACCGCACTCGTTTGATTACCTTATACTTATATTAGATGTCTCAGGTTGAGTGAGTAATAGTTGACAAATGTCATGTTTCAAGGGTCTCGCCCCCTTTCTAGAAATCGGTGAATGACACTGAGCGATTTCTCCACATCTGTAGATACGCCGACCGGAGAAATCCAATGCATGCCGACCATTCTCCGTGCCCCGTGCCGATCTTTTATCGGCCAAGTTTGCTGTACCGTATTTATCGAAATAGCCGGGTCACCCGATAAATGCCCTGAAAGCTTTGCATGTAGAATACGGAGTACTACGATTGACTGTATCCCAATGTTGATCCTTTCTATCATACGTCGCCATGTCCAGGTGCCTGGAGGTCATTAAGAACACCATAAAATTTAGAGTGACTGGGTATTTGGCAGCCTTGCTGTGATTACATGCCGTAGAATCCTTACAAGTTTGAATCTAGGTCAAAAAACTTGATAGCGCACTGCCAATACAAATTATATTGATTGGCTTAGTGCTATCTCGACCTCGACCATATGTACTGTATCTGTCTAAAACCAGGCGACTTTGAAGATTGTTCCTGTCGATCTCATCATGTAAGATGTGGAAAGTGGAAAGTGGAAAGTGGATCCGAAAGTGAACTCGAGCCTCTAAAATGGGTGCTTTCAGGCTGAGCCATGATTGATAATGATTTGTGATGTTCGATGAAACGTTCTACTCTGAGTAAATTGTGGTACAAGGATCTTCACGACTCGGATACCATGTGTAAGAAACTGTTAAAGGTTGAGAAAACATAAATATAAATAAGCCCTGGAGTCACAGCTGAAGGGCTCTCAATAACTCCTGCACGACATTTCAAGTATTTCAATTTTATCATTTCATTTTCATCATGCGCAGCCTTGCCGGCTTTGCGCTGCTTCCTTTGGCGCTTGCCATTCCGAAATCGCCTCGTACATCGGTATCTACCTATGACTACATTGTAGTCGGAGGTGGTACTAGTGGACTGGTTGTCGCAAATCGCCTTTCTGAACTCGAAAATATCAACGTCCTGGTCATTGAAGCAGGAGGCTCAGCATACGACAATGTAAACGTGACTGATACCGGAGGCTACGGAAATGCGTTCGGTACGGAGATCGATTGGGCATACAAGACGAAAGACCAGGAATATGGCGGTGGAGCCCCTCAGACAGTGAGAGCAGGCAAGGCGCTGGGAGGAACATCCCTGATAAATGGCATGGTGTATACCCGCGCCCAGAAATCACAGATAGATGCCTGGGAGACCGTTGGGAACAAAGGATGGAACTGGGAAACTCTTTTTCCTTACTACAAGAAGGGCGAGGGCTTCCAGGTTCCAGATGATTATTCCTGGCTGGAAGGCTCTGGCGTTGCCTACGACCCTGCTGATCATGGCTACAAGGGACCCCTCAAGGTAGGCTGGTCTTCGAATCAATTAAATGATGGGCTGGCCCAGAAGTTGAACACAACATATCAAAACATGGATGTTCCTATTCCCTACAACAAGGATGCCAACGGTGGTCAGATGGTTGGATATACTCTGTACCCCAAGACTGTCGATTCCAAATTAAACATCCGCGAAGATGCCGCTCGTGCCTACTATTACCCTTACCAATCGCGAAGAAATCTCCATGTCTGGCTTAACACCAATGTCAACAAGCTCACATGGAAAAGTGGCGATGATGCCATTGCTGATGGCGTCGAGGTCACTTTGGCAAATGGAACGACTTCCATTGTGAAGGCCTCTCGCGAGATAATACTAGCGGCCGGGTCTTTGAAGTCCCCGCTGCTACTTGAGTTGTCTGGTGTTGGAAACCCAGAGTAAGTTCTTTCGTATCGGTCCATATTTCAAAATGTCCTATCGAACTAAGATGTGTAGTGTTCTCTCCAAGTATGGCATTAAAACGAAAGTCAACCTGCCAACTGTCGGCGAGAACCTTCAGGATCAAATGAACAACGGACTCGCGTTCGACTCAAAGACCAAGTACTCTAAGGTGCCGGACTATGTTGCCTATCCATCTGTTGGTCAGATGTTTTCCAATGCTACAGCTGTCGGCAAACAACTCCTCGCCAATCTCCCCAAATATGCTGCGCAAGTTGCTTCTGCCAATGGGAATGTAACCAAGTCAAAAGATATCGAGCGCTTCTTTAAGATTCAGTGGGACCTTATCTTCAAATCACATATCCCCGTCGCAGAGATTCTGCTAGAGCCATCAGGATACACCTATGACACTGAGTACTGGGCGACTGTTCCTTTCGCACGGGGTAACGTCCACATATCGTCTGCTGATCCGACCGCCGCTGCATCTATCGATCCGAAGTACTTCATGCTTGATTTCGATCTCCAAGCTCAGGCCCAAGCTGCGCGCTTTATTCGTCAAATCTTCCAGACCGAGCCATTTGCCAGCATGGCCGGTTCGGAGACTAGCCCCGGTCTGTCTTCTGTCGCCGCCGGTGCGGATGACCAAGGCTGGTCTTCATTCATCAAGAATAACTGTATGTTTTTATCCACGAGAGTTGATGCAAAAGAAAATATCGTACTAATCCTCAGAAGATCGGTCAAACTTCCACCCAATTAGTACTGCTGCTATGATGCCGAAGGAAGTCGGTGGAGTCGTTGACACATCCTTGAAAGTATACGGCGTATCCAACGTTCGCGTGGTAGATGCGTCCGTTATGCCTTTCCAGGTTTGCGGGCACTTACAAAGTACCGTCTACGCTGTTGCGGAGCGCGCAGCTGATATAATCAAGAATGAGAATTAAGTTACGTGGCGTAATCACTGGAAACAGCTCCGTGATGAATAAGATGAGATAATCTCTTGATGCAAACTCTCAAAATCCTGATTTGCTAAGAATATACTTGAATTAAATGAAGCTGAGTCCAATTACCATGTAAATACCTCTTCTGTCATACCCGGAGAATATCCTGCTTTATTATATCTTATCTTAACCTGGCCTGAGTGTTCAAATGCGGGAGACAAGGATGTGACTCGACAGGATAGCCCAATATTAGCAGGTGTGTAGGCGGATTCCGGTGGAATTTGAGCTGCTTCCTCTTCGATTGTCACGATTCGCTTTGCAATACGCGCTGCCAAATCGGAATCCCATAGTCCCTCTCGACGCTGACAGTATGACATCAATCCAATAGAATGATGACGAACAGAAGACTCTCGGCAGCGTGTGGCGCAGATGTAGAGAGGAGTGACAACTCCAAGAGACAACGAGAACATGGATGTCTCTGATTTTGAAGGTTTTGGAAGCAGAGTTGGAAGAGAAGATACTCTTGGAATACTCCCCGGCCGACTTGTGCTTGGTGTAGGAGTGTTCGGTGACGAATGACGCGACAAGGTACTTTTCGGAGGGGCGTCAATCAATTTCGCAACGAGACGATTGACTGTAGAAAACTCATCTGTAAAGTGATCCCAATCAACCTCCGAGGGCGGCAGGGGCATTCCAATAAAAATTCCAATTATCAATCTCCAGATTTTGAGAATCTGGACCGATTCACTACTATCGTACCCACATGATGAAGGCTGTTGAAGCCATTGTTCGAAGGTATGTGTCCAAGTTTCTATATCCGTCCGTACCTGAGAATATTCAGCTGAGATCCACTGGATACTTTCGAGGAACTCAGGCGATTGTTCACTCGGGGGCTCTCCTAAAGATTCACAGATGGACAGAAAACGCGTGAAGCGATTATATAGAAATTGGAAGGAAATAAACATGGCTTCAACATCATTCGAGAAGGAGGATGGACTTTTGGTGGGATGCAAAAATGAGGAAGCTGTTGGTCGCAACTCGGAGGTGAGAATCCCTTCATTCTCAATCTCCAAGACTTGATTTTCCAAAATCGAGAAAAGAAGGGTGATTTTCTCGACGGGCATATATGTTCCGATTCCAGAGACATTCGCGATGAGCTGTTCGTGCTTTATGATCTTGAGTCCAGATATGGCATGTCGGAAAGCAGACTGGAAATTTCCCTGGAGGCAGTCAAAGCAGTAAAAGAGGATGCATGCGATAAGAAACGTGTCGTTCCCCCTATAGCTGGTTTTCGGGTTGATGGAAACCAGTTCTCGAATGGCTTTATTGTAGTGCAGGAGGGTAAATCGAGTTTCCTCATGCGTGTCAGATGTGATGCTTTGTTTATGGGTGAAGGATCGATGTAAAGATCCGAGTGCGATCGCAATCGATTTGAGTATCGGTTCATGGTGGACAGCCTGGAGAAGAAATGTGCCAATACCAGAACCAAAGCAGAGGGTGGTGTTGATTTGAAAAAATTCAAGAGATCGATATTCGCACTCCAAAAGTAGATCTGTAGACTGTGGAACCTGCCACATGCGAGTTGGTTGCGAAATACCGGGTATGTGCTGAACGATCCGGAAACGATTTTGGGCATCGACGGCGGCTTGAGTGGCATGCTCCCCCGGGTCTCCATAACCACTGCATGTCCTTCCGGTGGAGACGCATTTGTCACAGGCGGGCTTTTGTTCATCGCACTTTATTCGGCGAATTCTGCGCTCGGTATCCGTTAGTGGTGAAACTCTCTTTCTTCAGGCAAACAGGTTCCGGCGGGTACTCACTTGCAAGTCGCACATCCATTGCGAGACCTGCCCTTAGAAACTCGGCGATTGCTCGAGGTCATTTTGAAAAGCGGAATCTTTGCCTGGTTGTTTTGGTCGGCTTCAGAATGGAGTTTCTACCGGCACAGAATCAGAATGTTGTTTTTTTCTGCAGGATTCTGTCCTTAGGATAAGCCGGGGCGCAGCCCCTGCTGAGAGTAGAAGAAGCTAGACCAAATTGGATTAGCCCATCCGAGTGTTTCATATCAATCTGTCCCATATCTCGGTAGCTGCTGGGGCTGAAGAAGACTATTTGAGCCTCATATTTATGCCCATAAAATGCAAACCCGGGAGCAGGGTCATAAAGCGGGATAACTTGTACATGCTTAGAAATTTGGCTTGAAGTCCAACGTTACCCCTGAGAAAACTGTGAATATCATATTTAAGATTATCGTGGGGGCTAAAATTCAAGCTCTAGGGCTCCGCACTGGCAGTGAGAGATGGCGGGCAGTACTACTAGGTCAAATCTAAAGAAAGAAAAAAACGAAAGACATTAGGTCGTACTAGTAGTACCATCTATAACGTGAATTTATTATCCGAGCATGGCTTGAGATTTTCAATTTGAGTCTAATGCCCGTATAAATCTGAATCAGATAAGCAGGGGAACTTACTAGAAGTAATATACTAGTTAGTAGTGTGAGACTGGCGCAGTTGAAAATCAATACCTCCGGCTCCAGGGCTCGGATGGAATATAGTATAGAGTATGTGATAACCAAGGACTTGAAGAGCGCAGGTAAGAATGAAAATGATTTCAACCTCCATGGATACTAGTAACAATTTTACAATGCATACCGAAATTCTCTGTCCTCCTTATCAGTCAAGTCGTCTCTCGGTAGCCCGTTCCCATCAAGTTGGAATTCCAGACCAGCTGCATCAGCATGCGAGCTCATCTCCGAATCACGTTTTTTGTTATCAGATGCACATAGGAAGCGATATATGATAACTGTTATGAAGAGAAGACACCATGTCACAATGGAAGTAATGACGCCCTCCGTGTAGCGTGGCTTTTGAGTCCACAACTGTGGTGAGCCGATGCAACCCGCGCAGTATCCAATGAAGAACATGGTATTGACGATTGCGCGTTTTGTGTTTCCCTTTACATTAGATGCCGACAAAGATAGAAGTATGGACATGCAAGCAGTTATGCAAGATGACTGGATGATTGGTATCAGCCATAGAAAACAAAAATATTCAAGATATGAAGTAGACTCACCATCCAAGCAGCTACAATGAGACCCCACCCAGCAGCCACTTCAAGTTTCATCAAGAATATGGTCCCGATGAATGGCGGGATAATCAAAAGAAGAACTACCAAGTTTCTTTGGAGTGGGAACCAGTAAACTAGAGCGGTTCCAATCCACAACAAGCACACTTGTACTGCCCCCGAAGGAGCAGTGTATAGCATAGTTTCCAGCTTGGTATAGCCGATCGATTGAATGACAAGAGATGCAAATGTCAGGACAGGGGACTGCATCGTTACCAGGACGCCAAACCAGAAAACTACCCAAGCCTTGGGGTCCAGCATCGTCTCTTTGAGCTGGGGGATTGAGAATGAGGTTTTGTCTCCACCCTCGCGATCCTCAGCCATACGCAGAGATAGCACTTTCTTTTCACGTGCAGTGAGAAACCAGGCATCCTTGGGGCCACTGGGCATCAATAAGAAAAAGCCGATACCAGCGACGACTGTAAGCGCGCCGCAGATGAGGAAGAGCACTCGCCAAGGGGCGATTGTGAGGGAGGTATTTTTCCCAATGCCGTACATGAGAAGGCATCCAATGACCTGAGCTAATCCGTTCATGGTGATCCAAAGAGCAGTTCGCACTGTGTGTTCCTTTTTGCGGTACCAGATACCGGTGATCGTAACGAAAGCGGGGGACACAGCACCTTCACTGAATCCAAGAAGAAAGCGAACTGTGGCAAAACCAGCGAAATTGGTCGGTGCCGCTAGGCACATGCAGATAGCTCCCCATATAATACTTCAATATAAATTTGTTAGTCGAGAGTTTCAACCTTTTCAACTCCGAATTTTCCAGGAAAGACATACACGGTCGCGCCGACAAATTTTGTAAGTGGGAGTCGGCTCATTAGATAGATGAAGGGGTATTCGGAGACCAGTTGGCCCACGTAAAAAATTGAACTAGACCATGAATATTGTGAATTGGTTAAATTCAGATCATCAATCAGGCCAAAAACCGCCGCATAGCTCAAGCTCTGCTTATCAAGATACTGTAGGAAGAACACAAAGCACATCTGCAATCTCAGTGATGAGCAGCGTCTTCAAAGACGAGGGATCACATATGAGAACTCACGAAAGGCAAGATAACCATATCGATTTTGCGCAACACTGCCTTTTCTTCTTCAGCGGTATAGGTATCAGAGATCGCGACAATATCGCTATCTCTGCGGAAGACATCTTCCTTTTTCTCTGGATCATCCATCGTAAGGGGTCCCAGGAAAGATATAGGAATCGGATCGAAAAAATAAGGGGACGTAGGAGAGGCGATTTGGGCTGAAAATGAGAATCGTGGTCTGCATGCGGTCTGCCAAAAGCCTCGGAATACATGGGAGGATTGACAGGGGATGATATACGGCTAGCTGCAGACCCCAAGACTTCCCTACATTCTGAGGACTCCTATCTTTGACGAATCCGGAAAGGATCAACTGTCACTGTTGATAAACAGGGCGGGTGATGTGAGGCGGGGAAGGTCGTCGATCCGATGCCACGTCGGTAATCTGTACGGCCAGCTTCCCGACGTAGTCGATCCGCAGCACGACCATTTTTCAGCCATCATTGCTACCTCAGATTTCTTATTTGAACAAGGAAATCCTCTGATATATCGTTCAAGTACCTGGCATTGTTAACAGCCATAGCTCGTTTACTATTCCAATCTTCTCCATCATGCCTGATCACCCACCCGTTCCAGGCTCTGACATCAGACCTTGGGCCCGACCGGGGGCGCGGGGATACCTCTTTGTGAATGCAAATATTGTGGACGTACAGGAAGGAAATATTCTGGAAAATGCTAGCCTCATCACTCGCCAAGGCAAAATTCAATCCGTCTCATCTTCTCCACCGGAGTCTCCCTTGCCTCCCGATTTGACTGTGATCGACTGCGAAGGTCGTTATTTATGCCCCGGGCTATTCGATGCACACGTTCACCTTTGCGCAGTGCCTGGCTATAAAGATCTCTCAAAGGCCTTCGGAAACTCCGATCATTCATCACTATTGAGGCAGCCATTTGTGGCCGCCCAAATGCTTCATCGCGGCTTCACCAGTGTCCGTGATTGCGGCGGCGCCCAACTTCCTTTGAAAGAGGCTATTGATGATGTATTCCCAGGCCCCCGCCTCTTTATCTCCGGGCATGCTTTGTCGCAGTTTGGAGGCCATGGAGACCTTCGAGGACCCCATGATCAAGCCGAATGCTGCGGGGGTCTTCACAGCAATAATCACCTGGGTCGGCTCTGTAACGGCGTACCTGAATGCATGGCAGCTGTTCGAGAAGAAATCAGATGCGGTGCTGATTTCATTAAGATTATGGGGTCAGGCGGAGTCGCATCGCCAACGGATAAGCTAGAGCATCTACAATTCACGAATGCCGAGTTGCAGGCGATGGTGGAATGCGCCGACAATGCCGGGACCTTTGTTACCGCGCACGCCTACACCGTGAAGGCAATTAGACACTGCATCGACAATGGTGTTAAAGGAATTGAGCATGGAAATTTCGTTGATCCACCAACTGCCAAGTTGATGGCGGAGAAGGGCGTATACCTCACTCCCACGCTGATCGCATATGCTCAGATGGCATCAGATCAATGGAAAGGCTACCTACCACCAGAGTCGCAGGAAAAGAACTCTCAAGTTCTCAAATCAGGCCTTCATGCGTTAAAAGTTGCATCCGAAGCGGGTGTCAAGATGTGCTATGGCTCTGATTTGCTTGGTCCATTGGGATCGGCGCAGACGCAGGAATTCGCTCTACGCTCACAAGTCCTCTCAGCATTGGAGATCCTTCGCAGTGCAACTATAAATCCGGCTAAGATGATGGGCTGGGAAGAATCCATTGGGCAAATAAAAGATGGATTTCAGGCAGATGTCGTTTTCTTGAACAAGAATCCGCTTGACGATGTGACTGTATTTGACCGACCCGAGGAGCATGTTCTTGGCGTTATGAAAGATGGCCGCGTATGCAAGAGTCGCTGGGCCACACTGAAGGAAGATTCTGAAATCCCCGTTCGCGTTAAGTATAATTGACCAATATGAAATGAAACTTGAACTTGATGGTAAGAGTTGAGCTGCGATGCTTCGGTAGAGGCAGAGTCATAGTGGCGAGAGTTCCGCTCATGAGAAAGGGTTTAGAATTGGCGACCTGAAATTGTGGTTTTAATTTTATATGGATTCAATTGAGTAATGATTCCATTCTTAATGACCTCGTCCGGTTATCATAAATTTCTTCCACCGAGTATCACTCTAGTTGAACTGTCAGGCCAGAAAAGTCCAAAGCATCCAGTCCCGTCAATCCCATCAAAAAAGAATGCTCATCACCGTGTAGCGTGGAAAGAAAGTCACAACCTAGCGGCTGTAGAGACCCAGGTGACTCGTTCAAAGAGCTGGGAGGGGCCGATAATGTCCCCGAGGGGTCTTGATCCATCTGTATTTGCCACGTAGATGTATCTCTAAAAGCGGATTGTGCTGCCAACCATGGATCTGAAATCGGGTCTTGGGTTTCCCTGGCCAAAGTGGACTCAGGATGTGAATGAATGATGGAGTCGGGCCGCGTTTGCGAGTCTTCTTGTACTGTGAGCCACTCTGCCCACTGATGATAGCCAGAATGATTCGTTTCCGTGGTATTCTGGGTCAAAGATGTCTCGATCTGTCGCTTTCTCGCTGCCTCATTTGTGATAGATTGAACTGCTTCCACAAAGCTAACTCCTAGTTTTGCCGTCATGTTTCCTGCAGCCATTTCCCGCAGGCAATTCAAGCCGAAATTTACTCGAATGTCATACCCAGAATCTCGCTCTATTATTCCGGACACCAATGTAACTATGGTTGCGATACTGCAGCCTTGAAAATCGGTGAATGAGAATCTTGTAATCTTGCGACTCTTAGTCAGGGTCTCAAATAGTCGAAGTGTCTTGATTGCGGCCTTTGAACAGCGATTTGCCAGTTGCTTGACGTGGTAACTCACATCCGGCATATTGCTGCCAGATTGTTTTAACTTCGTCCTAGCGACTGTTACCAGGGCAACTTTTCCCATGGTAATCAATGCATAGTAGTAATTCAAATAAAGGTGAGCTACGGCTCGATATTTCAGATCACTTGGGCTCATTCGATCGAGTTTCAAGTCCGGGGGAAGAGATCGTTTCCATAATTTCAGATCTGCCTCCCATTTTGACTGCGATAGACCAGCTGGTTCGGGTAACCCATCTCTTCAGCTTGTTAGTGTGGCTCTCTTTTCAAGATAGGGATATGACGTACGCAACACCGGCAATTTCATCAAGAACTCTTATCAGTCGAACGTATGCCACCTGACAATCAAGGTTGTCGATTTCTTGTACTCTATCAAGGGCTTTGCATTGGGAGGGATATGGAACTGTGATAATTTGGGTGTCAATGGAGCGAGGTCGGTTCAATTTCACAGTGGTGCAACTTCAAAAAGTAAGTAAATCAGCAAGTATTTATCATCTTGGACTTAGATTGACGCACCGTTCGAGCGAAAAAATGGACCACCAGAGACGGCACCTCACTTCTCTTTCTGAATCAGTAAGAGTCGAATCTTCTGAGCTGAGATGGAGATCAGATGCCAAAGCCTTTCGTAATGCGAGTCCTAAAAACGCATACGATGCTCCGATTGCACTTGCCGGCATGAAATAAACACCAAGGACAAACGGAGCCTGGATTGACCTCAAGCATGAGCGCTCAATTATATCAGGTATTAGGGACTTTGCATGAAAGGAAAAATCGCGTCCAAGATCCAGGTTATCCTTTTGACCTGACTCAACCCCATCAGGTTTTTCATAGATGGTCCACTGGCTCGCAAGCGCGAATAGCGCCATGACGAGACAGATAAAAGCCGGGTCAAGCCTTAAAGATGAGCTGGGGTCTGTATAGAACTCATCAATGTCGGAGAGTATCTGAGCTTGATCGAAGTAGAAAAACGCATCGGTTGCGTGCTTGATGAATGTGAGAATTAAGAAATTGGCAACTCGGCGAGGAGGAAAGGCATTGACTGCCGTATGCAATCTCGATAGTTCAGATGGATGTAGCCCTTTGGGCCGGATCATTCGCTTTGGATCGTCAGATACACGGACTAGCTAATCAAAGCGTGGGACATACAGCTTGCATTGCAACCATCTCCTGTTCCTCCGGGGCATGTTGTGGATCAAGGGAGAATGCTTCTCGAAGTCGAGACAGAATGTTTGGCCACAGTACTCGTTTTGATCGATCAACAATGACATGTTTTGATAGGCCATGCGATAAGACAGAGGCTGGAGATGGCAGTTCGGAGCTTTCAACAGCTGCGTGATCGGAGAAAATTGGCGAATTCCTTGTGGCTGGAGGAGGTGGGCGGATTGATTGAACTTCAGTACTCGGTAGGTTTCCGTCGCTAATATGGAAATAAGCAACTCGAGTCAATTAGCAAGAGCTATATTTCGCATACTCTTCAAACTTGCAGACCAAGTTTCCCACCGAACACCGCTGGCATTTGTCATGCGAATCTCTCGATGGGCGACCTCTTGTTGGAATACATTTGCTTTTTCTCCTTTTACAGAGTATACACCTGTCGAGATAGTCAGCTCCACTCCAAATTAATAGTAACGTGGTTGTTGGCATACGCTTGTGGTGCTCTCTTTCGGTCCACATCTGCAACCCGCCGTCGCTTTTTCCGCCTCTCTGCAGTACTACTCAGATCCATTCTCACGGAATATTAAGGCTGCAACAGGCGGTAGTCCGACAATCATGCGAGACCATCAATTGCTTCCGCGAATGGTGTATGGGGAGAGGAGAAAGCCACCTAGCCGGCGAGTGAGTCGGGAATCTGTCCCGGACAGATATCCGACTTTCGGCAATTCGCTTCCGCTATCTTCCCCGCATTTCGATGCGGAGCTCTTCCGAAACAAAAGATAGCAATGCCATCTGATTGGACTATCAGTGTATTGGGAAGATAGCTGTCCTCGAAAAAAATTGTGCCTGTTCTTTCTTGTGTCAAGACATAGCGCGTCTTGTGGACACAGCAAGGAAATATTTCCCGGTTCTGGCACACGACCCGATGTCAAGCAACCCTTTTGTTCAAAGCTCTTCGCTTAATGCCAGCTCCTTGACCCAATCCAAACACCACTTTCGCAAGAACCACTGTGTGGCTTTCCAGCTCTTTTGGTCCCACGACTGGGATTCACAGTGGGATCCACCAGCTCGATAAACGAGTGCATGGCGTACGTAGATATCTAGCTTCAAGTCCCAGAGATCAAAGATTTGTGGCATTGCAAAAGACATCATAATCACCCGATCGCGTAGAAGGGGTAGTGGTATCAGATCGAGGCTTGCGTGGTGTGGAATTAGGATCTGGGCCATCGTCGGCTGCAGATGAACCGGTACTGTGGCATCGAATGTAGACGCAACAACATCCTGGGGTTCATCCTGCGGTGTAATCGATCTGAAGAACGGGGATATGTAGGGTCGGCGACAATCTGCGAGTCGACTCAGATCGAATCCAAGACAGACGGCGTTATTGAGAACAGCCTCCCAGATAGTATCCCGAGTGGTCCGCAGAGTGTTCGCCATCGGATCCGCGAGGGTTATAGGACTCGAATTTTGGGGATTTTTGGAATTGGATATCTCTAGCGATGGTCTCCGAGATGTTGTAGGGTCGGAAAAAGGAGAGCTCTCCTTTTGGGACGCTGCGGACGATCGAGGGGCCAATTTCTTGGTAACTCCTCGCTGCGAGATCGCCTGAGCCTTGCGCTCGCTTTGTCGCTTGCCTATGAAGATTAAATTTCAGGCATCGATTTATATGGACATAGTTCAACGTACGATATGCTTGTTGGGCGGCTCTGTTCTGTGCTTTGCGGGCAGGTGTAATGACCCGCTTCTTTGGCGCCATCGGTGAGCGCTCCGCACTATGAGCGTCCTGGTGGACTGAGGTGGCCATGTCATGTGTCCAGTTGTAGGTGTTTAAGCCTGACAATTGGTTGCTCCGGGCCTGTGGACGTTCACTCCAAGAGAATGGAAATGGTGAACAATGTGGAAGAGCGGAGTCGGGATGGGCCCGGGGTTACGCTTAACCCCGAAATCCGGCCTGGCTTACTGGCTTACGGGGATGGGCCAATCAGCGTGCAGCAACTATATCCTCTAGAACTGCCCAAGTCTCTCGCTTCACAGCTTTCTTCCACTATTAAAGAGTTTATAATCAATGCCAAAAGCGAGCAAATATATTTCAACTCAGCTTCACTTGTTTTCCGATTATCAAGTTCCATACATCTCCGAGTCTCCAGTCGAAAATGTCCGCACAGAAGACAATCACAATCGTTGGTGCAACTGGCACTCAAGGAGCTTCCGTTGCTCGCACCTTCTTGGAGCTTCCCAACTGGCAAGTTCGCTGCCTGACTCGCCATCCAACCTCTGAAAAGGCTATAGAGCTAGAGAAGCGAGGTGCCGAACTTGTTCAGGGGGACCTCGAAGACGAAGCCTCCCTTCAGAGAGCATTTGACAATGTCCACGCTGTTTTCCTGAACACGGATTTTTGGATTCCGTTTCGAAAGGCCATGGCTTTGGGGAAAGATGCGGTTACTAGTTCCCAAGAAGCCTACGAGATCGAAGTGATGCATGGGAAGAATGCGGCCAAGGTCGCAGCAAGCATTCCAACCCTCGAGCGATTCATCTACTCCGCACTGGGTCCCATGAAGAAAGCATCTAACGGAAAATACCCTTCTTCGTATCACTGGGAGACCAAAGCGAGCATTGTCGATTATATTGAGGGTCACCAGCTGGAATTGGCCCGAAAAACCTCCTACGTCTATATCGGAGCTTATATCACCAATGCGTTCCTCTATCCCAAGTTCGACCCCGAAAGTGAGAGTTACGTATCTATTTTGCCTACAGGCAAGGAAACCCGTTTTCCCATTATCAACGTGCCTCGATCTACCGGTCCATTTGTCAGAGCCTTGGTGGTAGATGAAGAACCACGAACAAGACTGCTCGCATATGATGATTACCTCTCAGTGGGAGAGGTCGGGGCCATATGGACTAGGACTCTTGGAAAGGAGGTGAAACTGATCCAGCTGACCATGGAAGCAATGAGCGCAAAAACTGGGGTTCCGGTAGAAATTCTCATGGGTGCTGCTTATTTGGGCGAGTATAGCTACTGCGCGGGGGTCTCCAATGTGATAGAGCCTATTCACCTCAAGACCCCTATTGAAACACAAACATTCGAGACCTGGCTCAAGGAGCAGGATGCGATGGAACTACTTGAGTTGAACAACTAGTGAGAGCCTGAGGCTTACCTATGTACTACTAGTGAGATTTCCAAGATTAATACCCAGGTACTACTACTAGTAGTAGCACTCAGGCTGAGATTGGAAGGGGTCCGCAGGCGCAGCCGCAGGTCACTTGGACAGTGACGGCTCTGACTCGTATATATTACTAGTATCTGATTTCCTAATACTAGTAGTACGGGTTAGTAGCGATTGCCTATTAGTATTGTAGTGCTTCAAATTTGATCTTTCTCAATTGAAATCACTGATCTAAAAAGGCTTCCAATATTTCGAGTATAGTGGGTACCTGTTTGGTGGGCGTGGTTGCCCAGTTGGAGCCTGGCTCATCTTTCTTCTACAACTCCAACTTGAACCTTAAACGGTTTTGGACTTCCAAACTTCCAGGAGCTGACCCGCCTAGATATTAATTTCTTTCCCTTATCTCGCATCTTCGAACTCTCTCTCGATTTCTCAACCAAGCAAATTTCATCGACTGCGCGAGGGTAAATCACTGCCATCCATCACGGGATATGTCTAATCATCGAATCTGAAAGATGTCCAACACTTACCACCGACCGATAATAGTACACTCACTACTACTAAGTCCTCGACCCGACCACTCCCAAATGGCACAATGCCTGGCCTCAACTCATTCGAGACGTGCCAAGAATCGTCGAGGCTGCACGCGTTGAAATCACTGGCCCAACCCACAACGACAAAATAATCACCCCGGTACTTGCGGATATCAACCACGGAACCTATCTGAATGGTGTGCCAGGTAACAGCAGCGAGCCACTAGCCATTCAAGGACAAAAGGGGACCTTCAAATTTGTCAAAACGGCTCGCAAGCCTTACGATGTCGTGGTCACCTGCATCCTACTTCGTGCTTACAACCTGGCACCAGGAATATTCAGTTTGAGGTGAGAGTGAACATCAATTTATGGATAATTTGAGCCGAGTACTGAATGAATATAGCTCTAACAGATTATCGGATGACTGGATCAAGGGAAAAGAGCTTACGAGCGTCTCTGGCCCAAGGAAGTGATTCATCGCCCATCGGGGGTAGAGCTCCGGGGAAACGAAAGGTTGGGTTCAGTGGCAACCAAAGCAATGCTCAACAAACGGTGAGGGTGTTGATTTGCAATTTACAGATCTCTGATTAATGAAAGTGAAACTGGATCAGGGTCTGAGCGCCATATCGATACCGCCATCCGTCGAACTCTACTGTTCTCTGAAGAAGGAACCAACTTATCAGCTGATAACGTTGTGTTATGTCTTTCTAGAGATTCTGGCCGCTGAATGCCAGTCGATATCATAGCCTTGCCTGAAAATTCTACTGATGGGACCAGACGATCCCCGATTAGAGTCAACGTCTGAGAGCTCGGTAAGCTTTCCAGCGTACTCTATTCTTATCTCGATAGCCAGGCTCTATCATTTTCTCTGCTTGTTCATCAATGTCGATCATTTCTAGTTTTCCACACCATTTAGACCCCAGAAAGGACTGCCCGGTACTAGTATTTCTTTTTGCTGAAGTTAATAATATTCACGGAATATACTACTAGTATGTACAATAGTTTTCTAACTCGATGATATTCTACAGTACTAGTACCGGTACCCCTCGAGCACCTACTACCTAGAGTGCCCTGGCAACCATTTTTTAATCGGACGAAACGATTATTTTCGGTGCTTCTTGGGTGTTAGGTGTGAGGGTTGTGAGACTGGGCTCAAAAGAAGACGAGGTTTGACTGGCATGGGCAAGACCTGTCGATGCTCCAGTTGCTATACTTGTGTCTCCGGTGAACGGAACTTCATCAAGGGTGTCGCCAATATGCCCTTCTGAAACTGCACATGACCCAGTCCGCGATGGCAACGTATAGGCATGTCGTGGTCTTGTGATTGGACGCGTCGGGGTTGGTGGCCCGGGAAGTGAGAGATGTCGCGGCATATCCCATGGCACTCGTGAGCTGCCTTCTCCATGAGACGACTCGGATCCAATAAAGCTGCTGGCCCTGGAGCGCGGGAGTGGAGAGTAAGCCCTTTGAATTTCCGGTAAATTCTCATTTCGAAAAATCTCGCCTGGAACTTCCGGAAAGCTTGAAAGCCCTTTCGCGTGATACCCTGAATCTTGAAATTGATCATGTGCCTTGGCGGCAAGTTTCATGCTTGCTATATTAAGATATTGAGTCACCTTCCGCCTTCCGCCCGAATGAACAGACCTTTCGCTTTGGTTGGTGGCTGTGCGCGGGATTTTGGGGCTTATAGAAGCTTGCGTACTTGTCCTCGCTATCTCTGTGGAGGGACTCCTGTTTAGAATTTGAGAACTGCGCTGCGGACTAATGCTGTCCAATGACTCTGGACTGTTGTCTCGGCTTGTATACTCAGTACACTTCGAGTTGTTCTCAATGACATCTGCATTGACATCTGTATCCACACGACTTTCTCGATCGTCATCCTCGTTCTCGTCAGCGTCCATAGTTGCGGCAAAAAGAACATACAATGATCCAATTGCGGCAAGTCCTGTACCAACAATCGGGGCCCATTGACCTAGAATAAAGGATTATATCAGTTAGCAAATTTTCCCTCGAGTTTTCATTACCGCGATGGCAGCAGGATTGTATCTTCAAGACTCACCAATGCTAGTAATTGGCTCGGTCTGATAGTTGACTGGTTTGCTGAAAAAGTTCATCTCTCCCTTGACTAATATAGCTAGAACTGCCGCAACGAACACGGGAATTTCAATGAGCGTCAACCAGCTTCTTATCCTGGCAGCAATTCCCTTCATATGCTTTGGTGTGGCTCCGTTTGTTCCTCTAATCGGTCGTTCATCGGGCTTTTCCGTTGAGCTACCAGTGGTTGGATTGGTCGACGTCACATAGTAGCGAGAGGAAAATGTCTCCCAGTTATATTCGAGAATTTTGATCCAAGTTGACACCAAGGATAGAATTGCAGGGACACAACACGCCGCAGATATCAGAGTAGCAGTATTGAAGGTTAACGCATGAGGCACGGGTATCACGTAGATATTGTCCGCCGCGCCTTGTCGTAAAGGGGAGAAAGGACCAGAGTCCTCTCCACAAACCATGCCACATTTGGGAGAGCTGTTGTACGGGAAGGTGTGATTTTTGGCCCATTGTATTGTTGCTGGGTCGTCAATTGGACAGCTTGTAGATTGAATGCGAATGAATTCTACTGTCAAGCTAAGGAGGCCCGCGAGGAGAAGTCCAGTCCAGAGAAATATGATATTGCGACCGGGGTTATTGAAATATGTTTTCGAGAGCTTGACCGTAGCTGGAGCGGTCAAAATTCCAATCGAGCATAACTGAAATGCTCCATACACATCCATATCAACCGCCCCTATATTTATGAGATTTTGATTAGGCAAAAAGGAATCATCTGGGGTCTCTTTTCTCTGCAAGAATGAAGAACTCACCTTCTCGATGTAAGGTCACTAGGACAATTCCGTGGAGAGCAGCGACAGCGGGGAAGAGTAGTACAGCCGCAAGACCCGCATTTCGAATCCATTCTGCTTTGCGGGCAAATACGCAAGCCGCCACCAAGACGTAGTATCTGCACGCGATGTTAGGATTCCGAAATATTGCTGATACGTTTTTCTTTGGGGGTTCATACAAAACACGGGTTCCAGGTCCATATTGCCCAGATACCGGCCAAGCGCAAACGACATCTAGTCGTGAATCAGAGGCATTGTGGAGATATGTGTTTGTACTGCGTTGCACGAGCTGGCTCTCCGGCAGGTATGCAGGAAATGGAATCGCCGGCATTGCTAATCTTCCATACCCTGGAAAACTGGGGTTGTGATAGATGATATGGTTGCATATGTTGACTTGGTCGACACTAGCTTCTTCTGTTGCATGATGGCATCTTCGTTCATGTTATCAAGATTCGAATGGACAAAGGGCGAAGGAGACCAACCCACAAGTTCGATGGAAAGGGCGCGCCCGCCCGGGTTTAGGATTATCAAGGAAAAAGGAGCTAAGCACATACCACCCTGCATATCTTCTCGTCAGCGGGAGCCTCATCTGCACAAGTCAATACAACTTCAGTCTGGGGACCATTGGTAGCCGGGGGAAATCTTGCCCCACTGTGCTGTCGCTCAAACCGGGCAAGAGCCCTCGTGATAGCAATCCGGGCGTCCGCAGCAGCTGGGGCGTTGAATACGAGTTGGGAAAGCTAGCGGGCGCACTGGTTGGTCCATCGGGCACGGTGCATCTCGCTTCATGTTCTCTGGCGTGACCAGTAATCCCACAGAAGCAAAAAGAGGTTACGAGGGCTGGGAGGGGAGCCGATCTCTGGGCTAGACCAAGCACTGCTGTGGCAAGTTGACATGTCAATATAGTGAATACTAGTAAATACCTAGGTAAGGTCTCAGAGTCGGCTCTAGATCTGATGATGGAACTACAACAACGCGTGCGATGAATGATCCACGCGGGGTCGGGCAGCCAAAGTCTTGGCTTTCCCTTTTAATTCTTCAATGTACACTACACTAGTCTAATGCCTGCTCTTTGAGGCTTAGACCGAGTAACTAGACTAATCAAGACTGCTCTCACTCACCCGTGCTATCTGTGCTTTCCCTGATTGCTGAATCTTGGAGGCTTAGACATGAAAATCTCTTGCTAAACCCACCACCCGCTGTTAGCTCAACTCAGAAGCCCAGAGTTCCTTCGCAGCTCTAGAAAAGGGAAAAGCTGAGATAAATACACAGGAAATATCAGCTTTAAAGGAGCCCCAGGTCCACGAGAAGGACGTCTTGCTTGCCAGATTCTCACCGCCAACTTGATCATGCGAGGAATCCAATCCTAGTCCCTTCATTCCTCAAAAGACACGGCTACGAGCAGAGCAACTCTCCGTGTGGCGCTATCCAGAGTCCGCTCTACGGAATAAACGAACTTTAAATTTCTTAATGTAGGATCTCTCCCCATCCTTTACATTCCAAGTTTCTTGAAAATGCCGCTCAGCCGCATACACTGGATCAAAACTGACGGGGCGCTTGCTCCTCAATTAGACAGGCATTTCCGCCACGCATGTCTCATTTCTCAACGGGTTTCCTCACGCGACAAACCTCTCATCCTGTTCAACGCCCACGGGTGTGAGGGAAAACTATCTGGCCATGGCCGAAAGCCTGGATACCGAACAAATCAAAGATTGGCGATCGATAATCACTCTAATTATTTTTGTTCTCACTAGTAAGTTGTTGCAACTGTCGCAAATTGATTTTGAATGACACTGATCATGGATTTTTTTTTACTTCCCTCGCATAGATATCGTGGTACTTTTTCCTTTCCACATCCCGTTCTACATTCCCCGATGGCTTCATAACGCAGTCCTGGATGGATTGGCGGCTCTTCGAATCATACGTCGTCGCGAAATCCCCCAGAATCATGACAAGCCGACTCTGCTCGTGCGACTCAACCTGCCTCTGAACTTTATCACCGCGCCGTTAATAGCGGACTTGTTTCTACTCGCAATTTTGGCTATTGGGCGACAGGAAGTGCATGATGGAACTGTCGGCGCAGATGGGATCTCACCTATCGACATTTTAGTCTTCTTTCTTACGTTGGCTTATATCGCTATTTCGATCGACGCCTCTGGCCTTATCCGATATCTGGCTTTCAAGGTACTCCAAAAAGGTGACGGGGTGGGCCATCGACTTTTCTTCTATCTCTACACATTCTTTTTCGCACTGGGGAGCTTTATCGGAAATGACCCTATCATTTTGTCAGGCACGGCCTTCCTCGCTTACATGACACGCGTGTCTAGCAATATCGTTCATCCAAGAGCTTGGATACACAGCCAATTCGCCATCGCTAATATCGCATCTGCGATCCTGGTGTCCTCCAACCCGACAAATTTGGTTCTGGCGGGCGCCTTCAACATCAAATTCCTTGTGTACACAGTGAACATGATCGTACCGGTAGTGGTGACTGCTATCGTGGTCTTCCCATTCCTGCTTTATATCATTTTCGCCGATGAATCTTTGATTCCGGTAACCATTGAAATGCATGAGCTACCGGAGGAAGCCAGGGGCAAACCCCCCAGTGAATCCAAATATCCCCCATGCCAGGGGAGGTGCCGAAGAAGAAGAGGAAGAGGAGGCGAATGAAGGAAATGGAACGCTTCTCTCTTTGGAGGAAATCATGAACCCTTTTTTGGACAAGGGAGGTGCGGCTTTCGGCGCCGTCATCATGGCTGCGACCCTCATCACTCTCCTTGCTATCAATGCCGCTAGCAATTCCGGCCATGACCGCCCGGTCTTTTGGGTTACACTACCTGCCGCTTTTGTGATGTTCTGTTGGGATCTTGGGACTGGTTGGATTCATCGACATGAGACGCGCCGGATTGCCGCTGTGGGCCGACAGCAACACGAAGCCGTCAAGGCCGAGCGTGAACATCGGAAGTCGCTTCGAAATTCCCCAGAACAAAATGCCCAGGAGAGCACTGAAGAACGGCAGCCTATAGCAACCGACTTCTTCTCGAAGAGTTTGAAGATCACCACCCCAAGTGATGCTATAAAACTCAGCATCGACACAAAAGCTTCGCATGACTGCCACGAAACATCCCTTCCAGCACCGATTTTAGGTGAAAAGGAGCCGTTCCCTGAAGTACAATCTCCAAGTTCAGTCTCAAAGACTAGTGGAGAACTGAATGACGCGACTCGATCAGAAAAGAATAAAACACATAGTATTATCAATGGTATAGACTCCGAAAAGCGTGCCGGCAGATTCCAAGAGGAGCCAAACCAACCAACCACCCTAGTGTCGCTTTGTGAAAATGCCTATGTCTGGCTACAGGAGACATTTCCAACCGTCACAGTCGTGCTCTCACATCTTCCTTTTCCACTGGTTCCTTTCGCCTTCGCCATGTTTGTACTCGTACAAGCTTTGGTTACGAAAGGATGGGTTCCTGTATTTGCCTATGGATGGGACCATTGGGTTGAGAAGACCGGAACAGTCGGTGCTGTTGGTGGTATGGGCTTTTTATCTGCGATCCTTTGCAATGTGAGTCTTCCATCATACATGAAGCTTCTCTCTCGTGGTTGACTAACAAGTGATCAAAAAACTAGTTTGCCGGGACAAATATTGGCACGACAATTCTCCTCTCTCGGGTCGTTCAAGCCTGGAAAGAAATCCACATTGTCAGCGGTATTCCGATCAGTGACCGCACCTTCTGGGCTACGGTTTATAGCATGGCACTTGGTGTGAACTTTGGCGCGTTCAGCACGGCTTTCAGTGCGTCGTTAGCTGGTCTTTTGTGGCGCGATATTCTCGCAAGAAAATACATTCGTGTGGGTAGCATCGAGTTTGCGCGCGTCAACCTTCCTATCATCGCGATCGCAATGGCGGTTGGATGTACCGTTTTGATCGGGGAGGTTTACATAATGAGAAAAGAAACACCATATGATGCTTGAAGTGAGGATTCGGGATGGAGGAAACCATAGTAGTGCTGTTATGATATATGATAGATGAAGCATGAATTGAAATTCCAGGTCGGATCTTCTTGCCGAATGCCTCCAAATGATTCATCATACCTAGGTATCTAGGTAGGTACTCCAGGGCTTCGCACATCTAAGTTCTACTAATTTATTCATGGATGTCAGCTAAGCTTGGCAGCAACTTGAAAATGATCGAGTCGCCCCTGGTAAATTCCAAAAAAATACTTAGGAAGCCGGGCACTATTTCTGCGGCTTACAAACTCAAATAATTTCTCCAAAAGCTTGCTTTGAGTTATAACTTTGAAAAATTCTCGAGATGTTCGTTGGCGCGCTGCTACCCTACTGTGGTAGGTATTTAATGCACCGTCCACGGGTTTCGGTAGAACCTCGGCAACGATTTAACCTTGGAAGCTGATGAGCCAAGTACAATCACAGCCAAGACCCGTCTTGATTCAGCCTGAATAGTATTTACTAAAGGAGGAAGTATCATGTATGATCTTATCAAATTCATCCGGACTTGATTTATTGGTGGAAATAATTGTCTGGGGTTGAAATCTGGGGGCTCTTGGTGCGGGGAAAGCACGTAGTGTGGGGGCAGACCTCATCCTTCAAGAACCTATTGCCATTTAATTTGCTATGCCTTGGATTTAAATGAAGATTTAAAGAAAGTCGAAAAAATCGTTTTTAAGTCACTAGGCTTGTCCGAGTCTGAATCCAACTTTCACCTTTCAACTTACCCCCTCTTAGAGCTCATTTAATACCCGGATACAGCCATGACGGCGAACAATTCGGCATCTGATACCATATTGCCGGTCCCTGAAGAATCTCCAAATCTCCAATCCTCATCTGGAAAACAGGTTGCTCATTTCCTTGATAGCGTAAATAATGGCGACGATAATCGCAACTTCACATTTGAGGAGGAGAAACAGGTTTTACGACGAATCGACATGCGTGTCTTGCCCTTACTACTAGGCGCTTACTTCTTTCAACAGCTTGACAAATCGTGTTTATCTTATGTATCGATATTTGGACTAGTTGAGGATACGCATCTCGTCGGCCAGCAGTACTCATGGCTGGGTTCGATCTTATACCTTGCCCAACTTGTGATGCAGCCCTTGGCAGCTGTTTTGCTTGTAAAAGCGCCCACGGGTAAGGTCATTGGGACCGCAGTATTTCTATGGGGAAGTGCTCTCACTATCACAGCCGCTTGTACGGAGTTTAAAAGCTTACTTGCAATGCGTTTCATTCTTGGGTCTTTTGAATCTATGATCGGTACGTTTTCATATTCTCTCCACAATTTTCGCCTTGGTCTACGAGGGCCACCTAGCTTGAGTAAATGCTGATGCAAGTTCCTCATTATACAGCACCATCTTGTATCGCTGTAACACAAATGTGGTGGCGCCGGAGCGAACAGACACTACGTGCAGCACTATGGAACGGTATGAACGGCCTCACTTTCATCGTAAGTCGATCTGACAGCTTTTAAATTCGCATTGCCTTTCACCTACCATAATTAACATCCTATCACAGATTGGAAGCCTGTTCACATATGGCCTTGGCCATATAAAGAGTGATACTCTTCACTCGTATCAAATAATCTTCATGTTTTGCGGGCTTTTAACAGTCCTATATTCCGCATTCGTGTTGTTATTGATGCCTGATTCTCCAATGGAGGCGAAATGCTTGAGTGACCGAGAGAAGTTTATCGCTGTTCAACGTCTACGCGCTAATCAGATGGGCATTGTGTCGAGACAATGGCGTTGGGACCACGTTTTGGAAACCTTCTATGACCTCAAGACTTGGGGCTGGTTCTTTCTCATTATTGCCATATCGTAAGTTGCCTTTTGTTCACTCATGAGATACACTATCTGACAGTATTGTCAAAGAATCCCGAGCGGTGGTATCAGCAGCTTTGGTAGCCTCATTGTCAAATCATTTGGCTATACCAGCTTCCAATCAATCCTGTTTAATCTCCCGTTCGGAGCCATTCAGATAGTTGCAATCATTGGAGGCGGATGGGTGGCCACCCGTTTCAAGACTAAAGGGCTGGTAATTGTGTTTTTCGCGATTCTTCCGGCAATCGGTACAATTATCATGCTTGTCACTCCACGGCACAACAAGGGTGTTCTTCTCTTCGGCTACTACCTGGTGAGCTTGTAGGATTTCGTCAAACTCAAGAATTTGTGCTGATTGTTCCATAGGTATCCACGATGGCAGCCATCACACCTATGATTTACACATGGGAGGCACAAAATACGGCTGGTGATACCAAGAGGAAGTGTACATCAGCGGTTGTCCTCGTAGGAATGTGCACTGGAAATGTAACTACCCACTTTATAAGCCATGAGCTCTCCATTTCTAACCATTGATTTGCTAGGTTATTGGCCCTCAACTATACTCACCTTCGCAGGCCCCGGAGTATCGACCAGGTTTAATCGCTAACTTGATCATGTTTGTCGTGGTGGCAATTTTTGCAATGTAAGTACATCCCTTCAAGTTGTTGAACAGTAATATCTTCATAATTCTAACCTCTCATGGTAGTCTCATGGATCTCTATCTAGTCTTTCTCAATAAGAGACACTCCCGACAAAGAGAAGCTCTCGGCAAGTCGGCAGTTGTCGTTGATGAGTCAATGATGACAAAACATAAAATTGAGACGAACAAAGCCGTTGAGTTGGAGGATATCAATGAGAGTCCTGATCTGAGTGTGGCCGACAATGGGTTTTCAGACATGACAGATCTCCAAAACGAGGATTTTATCTACGTTTATTAAATTTCAGTACCAATACACTCCAGTTGGCCCAGGATTTTGGTATCCTATTCGAAACTCTATTTGGTACTTAAATATGATGATGACTTTTGCCAAATATTGCTGTCTAGTACTAGTAGCACTTCTAGTAGTAGTATGCCAGGCAGTCAAATATTGCCAACCCAAGTATATTGCGCAGAAGAAGAGATAACCAGATTTCGAAAAGCAGTGGCTTGCTGAATACCCATGACATTGGAGATGAGATCCAAACAGTCGAACACAAAGTCGGAGGTGGGAGATGGGTATAGTTGCGCAAGTGCTGCGACCGTCAGAGGCCAGAGGAGGACAAAAGCACCATGAGAATCTCTTACGGCTGGTTCAAGATGCGGAGAGTCACGGTGCTCCTGATTAAGTAGGCCGAGAATATATGGAACACTGCAGCATATGTCTTCAGAGATTTGTGCCATCTGGCTTCGAGCCCTTAAACATTGTGCTCTAGCATCCTTATAGCCGGGAGAGTCATCAGTAAGCGTCGCTTGAGGACGTAAGTGTGTTAAAATCATATCCGAAATTTGAAACTTTGTGATGCGATATTCGTTCCACATATTTGCCACCCAGAACTTCGAATATTTGTAAGAGTATGATCTGTATGGGCGGAGTGTATGGCGAGGCGATATCTGAAATGACGTTGGCGTCGAGACGGAGTCATAGTGGCAACTTGGGGAAATGTTGCTAATCCATTCTTCGAGCTCAGATTCAATGGAATTTAAGTCGCGCAAAGTGCTTTGCAAGTCAGCCATTTCCCCGATGTCAATCTTTTGGCGAACGCTTGCCAAATTGGCGCTTATTGCTGTGAGGTCACGCAAGGCAGCACTATGAGGATCACGGGTGGTTGATGCTATCTGGTTGGAAAATTTGAGTATCACCGGCGGTATGGGTAATTTGCGACAGATACAGCAGGTAACCTGAGCGCTTGAATTAGCTTCGCCAATGGCCTTTTCTAAAGGTGAAACGGGCCATTACAATTGCATTTCTTAGACAGTAGAACATTTCAGGCGAGGATGTTTTTGAAAGACTATCGCGTTCCCGTGATTCCAAGAGATTCGAAGCACCAATAATATGGTTTAAACAGTCCTCGATAGATTTTCTTTCCTGGCCAACGATCATCTGTATTCTCGTTTTTAGCACTGTGCTCTCGTTTGATCTCAGCTTAATAATGAGCTCACCTCGAAAATGGACAACAAGAAAATCGCAATCAAGGTCGAATCTTCCTTTATTTGTTCAGTATCACGTATGGCCGTGCTAACTAGGTTGAGTGTTGTAACATAATCATCGCTCGCTGATTCTCTCAAAGTATTTGACTGGTGAAGATTGGCAAGCGACGCCTTCCCAACGGCTGTAATGCCGGCCAACAAAGCTTGCTCACCCAATGGTGCGTTCGAAGAGTCTACCTTATAATTAAATGAGCCTTCAACCAAAGCGGAAGCACCGACCCAGTCAAATACTTCGAAAAAATAACACGTCGCTCTGTCTTGGACATCCACCATAAATATACCGATGGGTAACAAGAATAATTCGCCTCTCTGAGCGAGTTTGTTTGTCGCCAGAGTCTTTTCAAACGATTCCTCCATGAGTGATCTTTGTGTACGGCGACCGACCGATGGCGAAGAGTGATTTGTGGCTTTCGTTCGCTGGGCGACTATCTGACTTTCATCTCGAAACCGGAGGGCCAGCTGGTCTCGATATCCGGGGCATTGACGACCCGATTTAATGCATCGAGTGCAGGAAGGCTGCTGGAGATCACACTTTCCGTAAAATAAACGAATTAGCAACCAAGTATCGATAGATCTGGAGATGAAGAGGAGCGGACCTTGATTTTGCGTGTCCGGCATTCTCCACATGCCTGACTGATAACCCTTGAAGTGGACATTTTGACCACTTAACATCCGGAGCCCTGGAGACTGAAAATATTTGGCCTCTCTTCAAATGAGAGGATAAAAGGAAGAGGTAGATACCAATCCTCTTTCGAAGGCTAGGCGTTTAGACCCGGGGCAGATTCTATGGGTTCCTGTCGGGTCTCCACATCCTTCTATTGAATTGAAGAGATAGCCGTGGCTGAATATTTGACAATGAAGCTTTGAGGGGAGAGTCATGTTGAAGAATTAGCTTCAGCTGAGAATTGACCGGGCTATGTATCAACATTGAACCTGGATTTGGACAGTGTTCAAGATCCAAACAGGGCTGTAGTTGCGAAGAAAGGTCTGACCGGCGTTCTAGATCGATCATCTTCGCTCATTGGCTAGCCCGCTTAATGAAGCGGCCCCCATGGTTGTAGGGCTGGCCAGTAGAGAAGGAGAACGCCAGTCCGACATATCTTCTCCATCACCTCGGACATAGCCGGTGAATGTGCTCCAGATTAGATACTGGCCCCTCCTTTCTCACGTCATTCGTAGCCAATTTGATTATATTCAACGGTGTCTTTTCAACAAAACTACTAGTAGTACTATACTCACGCTCGCCTACCGATGACAAAAATACAGGTACCTAAGTATGAAGAGTGATATTTCAGTGCTAGAGAACATGATATGATTGTCTATGGTTGTTTTCTATTTTGCAAGTGAAAGCCTGAAAGATATTTTCACGTTCAAAGCTGTCCAAGTTCTTTTGCCAAAAATAGCTTTTGACTGATTTGAGCACGGCTGTGGGACCATCCGCCTCCGCGGGTTTGGGTCGAAATCCTTATTATCCGCAACGCTTTTCTTCAACACGCGACATTCTCTTGACTGAGGGATATTTGTGCTGCTAAAATTGAATTTCCCGAAATGTGGCTATTATTATTTAGTGGATATCACACGCCACAATATTGTGGCCATAGAAAAGTGGGCGTGTGTGCCTTGGCTGTGCAAGTGGCTGTGCTGGTGGGGGTCCACTTCCTAGGACCTGGGCATTCAATGCGACTATCAATAAATCTTGAATCCTCCGGGCATCAAGTTCTGGAAGACACCGTGCGGATCGTACTTTTGCGCGATCGAGATCAGCTTCTGGTGGTTCTTCGCACCATATCCAGGGAAGATCGACTGGAATCCAGCAGCGTCACCCATATAGTTGAAGGGGTCATAGAGACCAGCCTTCTGGGTAGCATTGTTGATCGCATAAGTGGTTTCCTCCACCCACTTAGCAACGATATCGTCGTATGCTGATCCGATCCACTCGACAACCTCGGCATAGCAGAGGTAAATTTTGGAGGAATCCAGACCGAGCGCATTTCCACCATTGGCCTCAGATGCCTTGATCCAGTCGGCACCAATGGGCTGCCAATCCAGCTGAATCGTGGAGAGATTGGCGGTGGGAATCTGCTTGTACAGCTTAGGAAGTTGGTTGAAGAAAGTGGTGTTGATAATGCTGATGCCCTGATGAAGTTCCTTATAGGAGGCACCCGTCACGGTTCCAGCAACGAAAACATCACTACAGTGTGTATGATTAGCCAAATTCTTTGTGCAGAAATACTGAGGTTCTAGTCTTACTTGATACCTTCCACGACCATCTCCCCAGTCTCGGCTGCAAACTCAGCAACAGTCTTAAAGCCGACCGTGCTGCTCACAGACGGGATATCGGTGAAGGGCTTGAAAATATCGGGGTAGCTTTCGGTCTCGCTGTCATAAAAGAGGATTACCGAGGCCAGGGTCGAGTCACCGGGCACGAGAGCAGGGACGATGTGAGTCTTTGGGTCGGAGATGTTGGAAGCGTATGTCGCAGCGGCCTGGTATATTGTTAGAAGAGAGCGTAACTATTGAATGATGGGCGACTTACAGCCAGGAAGCGATCGACATATTGAGCCGCGACAGTGTGAGCACCGGCCCAGACCTTACGTGATTTAATCGTCTCAATATCGAAGCGGGTGACCAGACCGAAGTTGCTGCTACCGCCCTTCAAGGCCCAGAAGAGATCGGCGTTACTTGACTTGTTTGCTTGCACGACAGAACCATCGGCCAGAACGACCTCGTAGTTCACGACTGTGTCACATCCAAAGCCGACCTGGTTGCCGTAGAAGTTGACGCCTCCGGCGAGAAGCAGGCCAGGAACACCGACAGGGCCGAGACGACCACCTGCGGCTGTCAGGTCGTGTTTAGCGAGGAAAGCATAAACGTCCTGCCATCTAGCACAAAATCAGCCATGGTCTTCATTGTGGAGAAGCAATATGAATGTCCTACCTGTATGCGGGGCCAACCGAGACGATGGACTGATCGGCGTTCAATTGCAGAGTGGTGAGATTCGACATGACCACAAGCACTCCCCCATCAATGTTATTTGCGCCCTAAAAACAGTTAGCAGCCGCACCTCATGCTAACTGAGACCAGAGCTCTTGGGCGTGGGGACAAACCTTGATACCCATGTGGCCGCCACCACGCACAGCAAACTCGCCATTGGCTTGAACAAGCGCCTCCAATCCTTCAGCGAGTTGCTCGGTAGATTGCGGACGAAAGACGCATCCTGGAGATAAGATCTCGGTATTGGACCAGAAGTTCTTTGCTTCATACTTGTAGACCTCGGTGTTCCGAGAGAAAACCGAATCTCCAAGGGGCTTCGTCAAGGCACGGCAACCTGCGCTGACCGACGGTGTCGAGTTGGCCGCGACTGTAGCAAGGCCACCCGCTAGGGATAGAGCAACAGAACCTATGCGCATGATGGGCTAGACAAACGATATTGTTGTGAACAACAAGATGTGTGCCATGGGGAAAAATACAACGGTTCGGCAGCCACGGGGTTTCTCTCGCAATGGCCGACCCTTACTCGAATAGGCAGTTTCGCCTGTCCTCTACAGCACGACGCTGTCTAGCTCCGATTACCCGGTTTAATTCCGGCGCTGATTTGGAACGGATGAATTGGTCTGTGGGGACAATCCACTTAGTGCATTGAGTGGTGGAACAAGGCCACGGAAATTGCGATAAACACCTACCGACACGTGAATTTGGTGCATAAAACTCAAAACTGCGGCTAGCCATGCAGAAAGTCAATTTGTTTGAACAGGTTCCTGGCGGTATATCTTCGGTAAGCGAAATCCATGAATCATGTTTGCCAGGGGGGTTTTCCTGGCCAATGAAATTACTACAGGTTCCACTCTTTCAATGTCCATTTATTGAGGTCTGCTAGTTGGTCCTGATAGGGGGTATTATTTGTTGATCGTCAATATAAGTATATAATGTACATCTTCTGGATCCATTTGAGGAATAGAGTAATTGGGGTCCCCAGCAGTTCCTCTTTGGACTCATCGTGCAGAGCTGGATGAATTTTCCACGTCGAACTCGACTGTATGCACGATCTCGAGAGCTGCCTCCACCTCCTTGTTATGTCTTGCGGAACGCGGCGTCGATACTAGGATGTGTTCCTCGCTACCATTTTCGTGAGCCCCGTGGGTGGTAAGGGTTGCTGAGTATTGATTCTCGCCATTCGTAAAATCTGGACGGTCGCTCCGAGGAATCGAGGCAAGGGGGTGACCATACTTGCGAGGTCGCGATGAACCATATCCGCCTCCAGAGGAAAGGCCCAGCAGTCGGGGGAAATACCTTCGAATGAATGGCCGAATGGCCGTGATACAGCCACCGAATATTCCTAAATTTAGTTCAATCGTGCACCACATAAGCGCATCTGTCGTAACCCCTGTAGGACCGCATAGAGTCAGTAACAAGTCAAGAATAACGATAGTCGAAGGTGTGTCTCACAAGTCAGATCTGGGCTTTTGAGGAGCTTATAAAGTGTGACGAGGCGGATGCAACTGACGATACCGACACTGTAGTTATACTCGTTAATAGGATGACTCGGAATGTAAGATGTGAAGAATGTCACTCACAAGCAACCCATCGCGAGAATGACACCAACGGCAATCTTCTGCCGACTCGGCATCTGTAATCGGCGTAGCCATGGACTAGATAGATTATGTATTAGTATTTCATCCTCCCTGGTCAATGACTTCATCCGACACCACATACATTGGGACAATGACAGTTGCGAAATCCGTGAAGATACCCAGTCCGGCGTTGGCGAAGTAAAATACTGGTCGATTCATGCAATGCCCAGATGTTATACTTAGATCCCAGGCCTTGGCGACAGGGGTGCAACTGAGGATGTTGGCGAGAATGCTGGCCAGACTGTAGCCGGCCGCGATGAACACAATTGACCACACAGCGATGTGGAAGCTTCGACTAGGGAAGATGCGAAGATAGAATATGAGGACCGAGCATTTTGTGAAGCCTGTGGCAGCGCAGTATAAAATGGCTGCGATCACATTGAGCTATTGTCATCGCATTTCATTAGTATAGGATCGCTGATTTTCCAATGGCCGAGGACTTCACTAACCTTCATAAATTGGGGTGTCAGGTGGCTTAAAGGGACGTCCCACATGTGTTTTCCCAGGCCCCAATTCAGCACTGATATCAAGTCAGCAATGTGTTGCTGGAACAATATCTTCAACGGAGAACTTACTATCCATTGTCACACCAGTAAGCGCACAAGACAGCATCTATAGTAAGGCATCAGTAAAGACCCTTGTTTGTCACGGCGGATTGCCTTGTAGTAATCAAGGTCATGGCGGCGGCATACAAGAGCTGTAAGCATTAAGTCTGACCGCGCATATTAGAGACCAATCTCACGCAGTTGAAATGTTAGATACGCACAATCATCCCAGCGGAAACTGCGCACCACAAAGAGTCGAGTCCATGTTCGGACAATGAGAGCAATCAAGGCCAAAGGCAGGAAGACGGAATTCACAGCAATGAACTTCGTTGAGGCGTAATCCGGGTTGATAAAATTGGAAGTCTGGCCAGCCGGCGGCGGCATGGCCGGCGTGATCGTTTGGTCAGCCATACTGCTGGCTCATCGGACGAGACAGGCCATCCACAATTGAGAGGGGCCGTGAGGTAACCGACGCGAGGAGGGAAAGAGGCGCGGTTTAATATAACTTAGGGGAGGTAACCCTCAGCTGTCAATTACGTGAGGCGGAAAGGTTCCACGGGTCCCAAGATGTCAAGCCATCCGTGAAGGTTTTTCTGGAACCAGAGAAGCCTATAAATTGGCGTTGGACCATTGAACCTTGCATATGCTGAGCTAATTGCTCCGTACTCCATACGCCCTCCGTACAGCGTTCTCCGTGCATATTTTGGACCTTCTATGTATGTAATGTCTCGTGGAGAAACCCCCAGACGGATCCACCGAAGACCCAGTCGAGCAGAGAACCAAAAATTGGTTCAGTAAAAGGTCTGTGGACTAGAGACCAATTTCAATTTGGGATCAGATCTTACATGCTTGCTCTACCATATTTCTGCTATCTTCCTTTTGAGTTCATCGGGGAAGTGGACTCTCATTCCGCGCGGCGAGAACACCGCGACAGTCCTGTAACATCAGGGAATTTGGTCCCGGACTCGAGTCTGGGGGTTTCAAGAAGGCAACCTCCTGTCTCATTAGGAAAACCTTGCAAGGGAGCAGCGGAGAAGGTACTGTATCTGGTCTAGCAATCTGCGCGCCCTAGCCTTACGATCGCACTGCACTGAGGGGCGTTAGAAAATCCGAAAATCGCACCACCCCTGCCGCGGATCTCCAGGGGCGCCTAATGCGCTCGATGTCTCGATGTGCAATCCAAACCCAGCAATGATCTTCACGCCACGAATCATAGGTCTGCTTTGTTTGGATTGTCTGCATGAGCGGAGTACGCGGGACAGATCAGGACCGGTTTCTGTGCTTGTGTTCAATGTGTTCAGTGGGGAATTGGGTTTCAACTGCAGAATTCGAGGAACGGGGGAACGCCCATGAAAATATGGCCGCGATGAGAAATTAAGGTAGGTCGACTCGCCATGCAATATTCGGGATTTGGTGTGGTGGAGACGAGATACCCTAGTCGATCTGCAAGCCTTCTCCCTCCATTTTCCTTGGCAACGCCAGCCTCAATTGCTTCCAGATTAATCTATTAGGCGAGCGTGGCTGGAGAAAATACATTGATCAGGCGATATGAGGCTAGTTCGACATTAAATACCGATATCTCATCGCCGTATTTGGTTTTGATCAGCGCTTGCACTGTCCCAATGCCCATTGCTGCCGCGCTAGGAGGGTCAAAGCGTCCTGCTGGCGGAGAAAGCCGGCTTTCCAACTCCGGTGATATGTCCAGATGAATTCATACGAGTCCTTAACTCTATGCAATAGGCCTGCCCAGGTGATCCAATGTGGGTCCATGGGCATCAGCGAATAAATACCCGTGGTCTAGGTATGATCATTGCCAGTGTTTTCTAAGCGGCCAAAGAACCAAATGATCACCGTGACCTGGGTGGGGATGTATCACGCCTGGGCGCTTCAATATAGTATTTAAAGCCCTGGAGGGTGATAGTAAGTGGACACCCTTGACTTGGAAGTCGGTACTAGTTCAAGCTGGTATGTGATCACCCCCGGGCCCCTATCAGAATCACCTGGGTAGTAGGAACCTTGGAACCTGATAGCCCTGGAGGCGTTGCAAGTGTACTATTCAACTTGAAGTTAATTAGTACCCAGGTATTACCGAGGGAAGGAAGGGGCTTACTTACTGAATATAACTTCCAAAATTCGCATACCCCTAAGTCCCAAAATTCTGATGAATAGAGTCCCTAGTACGAGTAGTAAACAACCCCCAAACACCCTCATCTTGGCCTTAATACCTTCTATACTCTACTAATATCTTGCTCTTCCAAATTGATTTCTGATGATTATAACGTGACTAAAACTTGAATGGGCTAGGATAAAAAGCCTGTCTAAAATGTAACATGTTAACATGGACTGGCCTCTCCTTAGTAATGAATACTATACGACACCATGTTTATCTAGATCTGTGGGGGTTTCAATTACCGCTGCCCTAGTCAAAGGGCTACTACGAAGTACATAGTACTGCGACTAGTCGTAATTAAATTCCACGACGTCGCCAGTAAGCCTTGGAGTCTCTCAACAAAGGTCATCATCTTTGTGTGAACTCGAGTCTCAGGCTTGAACAAAGATCAAAGTAGTACCATTGTCTCAGTCAACCATTCTCCTACTTGAATAAAGGTCACAATGGTTTTCTTGTTAAAGTCACCAATTAGAACTTCACATACTTTTACCAGCCGTCTATAAGAGCGCAAGTATTTCCCAGATAACAAAAACTAGTCACCCTCACACACCATACATACATACCTACTAGGTATTGATACAAATTCACATACATACACCTGCCAAGATAGTACTAGTACTTATACACATACACCATGTCTCCGAGTCTTGATTCAGATAGCCAGTTCGCCGACCTGCAGAGCTACCTTGTTCTCGAGCTTTCTCATCGCGCTTGGGAAGTTGTTTCCGGTCCCCAAGAGGTTGCGGGAATTTTTTTGGACGGATTTCCAGAGGTACTAGCTTTATTGAAGAGTACTGGCGAGGAGGAGGCCCGTGCCATCGGTTGCTATATTCCGACTTGCTTTGGAGAGCGTATTGAACGTCTAAAAGAAGTTGCTAACAGATTGCGCGGCAATATTATAAGTGGTACTGTAGGTGGAAATGAAGCTGCTATTATTATAGTCCAGTTACAGGTTCATGTTAACAAACTAGCGATTGGTATTAATGGTTGTGGTTCTCCCTCACTTGCCATGGCAGATATGGCTAGACGGGTGGCTGATGTATACTATGAGACTCACCCTGATGCCCGAGAGAGTGGGTACGCTGGTCTATTTAATTCCGAGCCTTACATTGCTTGGATCCGTCTAGATGGCGCGAAGAAGAACTGCGATGCTTGCAACTCGAAGTGGGATGGTTGATCTGACTCGAATGTGTAACTGCCTCGTTTTGCTTCTTGGTCTATTTTTCTCTGTTATTGTTCTGCACTTATTGATGTTTATGACATTTCAAGTTTCTGTTGTCTAGCCGATTGTCTTAGAATTTACAATTTATTCCCCCAACTCTCTGCCAACTCCCCTGTAGCTTCCAAGTAGGCCAATTAGGTTACCCAGTACAGTCTCTACATCCTGAAATGCCGATTTGATTTTCAATTTCACGCAGCTTCTGAGACATAGGACGACACTTCATTCATTAAAGAGCCTATAAATTCAGAATGTCACATCTCTACTTGTAGATCTGTCGTTGGGCAGCGATGACGGTAAAAGTCGGTGGAACGAGCGCGAATTACTAGTAGTACTAGTAGTAAATCCCAGATCATTATCTTGTGCGATTTACTATATACCTAGGTACCGATGATTTCGTCAAATTCGCAGATAATATGCAAAATGCGACAAGTTCCAACATTGGAATAAGATAATTGGAAAGGTCGTTCCATCTATCAGATCGAGATCACCGCCAGTGATCTTTACAACTTGAGTTCAAGGTGACGATTGATTGATACTCCTGGTACTTACTAGTATTAATGGTGTTCACTCGTTAGATATGGTATACTAGTAGATCCTGTACTAATATAGTACTGACTCGGAGCAACTTGCTTGCTAAGAGGCTCCAACTTGGGACTCTACTGCACCGCGACATACCACCTGCTAGTAGCCGAGTCTGATCGGAGGAGCATGACCTTTAGGTTACCATACAATTGTCGTAGGAAGGATGATCACCTGACATCCATAGTATGGATGCTCAGGTGCTAGTATTGATAGCAAACCCTAGAATAGAAAAAATTGGTTGTCCTTTGAATGAGTCTTATCTAGTATCCTACGGGTAAATACATACTAGTAATGTGAATGAATACAGCCCTTCATAATTTGAAAGGGTTACAGAATCTGATACCTAGGTAGGGTGACGGTGACAAACTAGTCATGATGCACCATTTCATTGTCTCAGGACTTGCCCGTCAAGGCCATTCCACTCTCCTGGGAGAGGCGCCAGTCAAAAGGTTCGCATGAAGTCTATGTGGATAAGGGTAGAAGAAAATAAAGGTGTCACAACGCTTTTAGGGTATGAAAATCTAGCCCAATAATGCTAGTACTCAAAGTTTGGGAGGAAAAGAAGACCACACAAGCACCTACGACCAGAAAACGAATCCCAAATGCCACATGAAACCCAGATTCGATCAATCAAGACCAGTACAATGAGAATGCCCGATAACCATGACAGAGAAGGAAAGAGACGTAACCAAATCCAGTTGAAGTCCAGAACATAGAAAATGGATAAAATAAGAAGGATATGTTCAGAGAATGCAAATTCGCGACCATTACATTTGCATCTCCTTATCGCCATCTGCGTCGGTTACGCCGAGGGCTCCGCCCGGTATCCGTCCTTCGTTTAAATCCTTCTCCAACCGGGTGATCTCTTGCAAGCTCTTCGCGTTGCGGATCATGTCCTCCACGCGCTTCCTCTCTGCGTCGGTGAGTTTGACACGGATAGCCTTGTCGCCTGAAGTCTGGCCGGTGGCTGTGCTGGTGGAAGTGTCGAAGGTTCGAGATTTGGTGCCAATGATCTTTGTAGCGAGGGGGGTTGGTTCCTCGGTGGTTCCGAATAGTTCCTTTGCCTTTTCACGCTCCACGTCCTTCACTTTCTGGTAGTCCAAGAACCGTACGGAGGGGACTCGCCAGATGACCCAATAGCGGTAGTGCTGATTTGAAACTCGAAGTTAGAGGGGTGCCACAATTTGAAGCCGTAGGTTGCGGGGAAGAATGGACATACCTCCTTCCGCGTGATGGGGTTCTCCAACAGAATCAGATGTGTCAGGCGTGTCAGAGTCTTGAGAGAGTCGATATCTGCCAGTTCGGAGACATTGTTGGCTGTTAAGACAAGGGTTTGTAGGCTTGGAATTGACTGCCCGACGGTCGGCTGGATGTGATTGATTCTGTTGCGGGCAAGGAGAAGGGTGTGGAGGCGAGGGAAGAAGGGGAAGTTCCCAAGGGAAGATAGGTCGTTATCGGTGAGATCAATTGCATCTTGGTCCTACATGCTATTAGCTTCAAACGCGCTTCAAAGACATGAGTCCACAGATGACTCAAAGCAAAATATTGCACTGCTCAAAGCTCTGCATATCGTAGAGAAGCACTTACTTTGGCGATACCCAAGTTCTCGATCACGGGGATCTTGTGACCTACACGTCTCGCAATGCGCTGTTTAATCCCGCTCCTTGTATAAAAGTGTAGTACCTGTTCTTTTCAGGCAGGTGTGTGAAGGTCAAACGCACCTCGGAGATCCAGCTCGCGATCCTTGAGCGGATTAATGTATGAGAGAGAGTTCTGGATGAGCTCGACGGTCAAGCGCATAGTGGCGGTGCCTCGGAGCGAGGTGCAATTGGGAGAAAGGGTGATTATTCGAGCGTCGATTAGGTGAACATAAGTTGAGAGGTTTGAATGGGCCTTGAAATGGTGGCGCAAAGAACGAAAGCTGCAATGAATGGCGCAAGCTGTGTCGCAGTTTCTCCAATATCGACGAGTTCTGTCGGGCGGTGAACACTATCCTAAGGCACGTGACAACATTATAAGCATTGAGGTTACAAGGCATTCAGGACGTCTAATAATTTCAATAGCTATGATTTTTAAATCAATAACCCCACGGCTTTATAGGATCGCTTATTTAGAGGATAAAGGATACCAAAGCCCAGCAATTTACGCGCATACTTGGGCCCATCAAGTCTGCCCGCTCGCTACTGGTATCCATATGCATGATTGACTGCTACCTTATTCGAAAAAAAGAAAATAGAGATTAATGCTTGATTAGCAATGTATTAGTCTATATTCATTAAGCTTGTAACGGAACGTCAGTGGTACACCGCCATTACATCAAAATCGCCCGGATCAGATCGAAAGCACTGAAGACCAACCAATACTCCAGAGCACAGAGGCAAATATGGTACCAAGAATCGAAAGCATCAGCTGTTCACGCAGCAGCTCCCAAGAACGGAGCTCTGAAACAGAACAGAGAGGTAAGCAGGTCCATAAATAGTGGCACCTGCCAAAAAGGAAAAGAGACGCCAAGTGGAAAGACCATGCAAGAGTACAAAATGGCGCACGTAAAACTTCAAAAAGCATAAATCGGGTCGGGTTGCATCGGAGACGTTACTCATCCTCGAGAGGGGTCATACTGGGTGACTTTTGATGGTGAGAGCGCGTGGGACTGCCGGCTCGGGACCGGCGTCCATTAGTGGTTGGCCCCAAGGCAATAGGAGCCAGATGATCGCGGCTCTCGGTTCTAACCACCAGTCCTGCACGATCCATAGCAACACCCGAGCCACCACTGATCCCCAAGCCGATCGTTCCAGATGAACTGTTGTCAAGAGTATATTTCAAGTTGGGGGTGTTGCTGCCGCTACCCCAACTGGAAGCACGCTTGGGAGGTCGCAGATTGGCTGAACCCGCATCGGAGGGACGGCCGCCATCCACGTCGCTACCGTCGGAGTCTGCTGAGCCCAGGTCAAACTCCTCAGCGCCTTCTTCTAGAACACGCTCGTAAGATGTGGCGCTTCGATTGAGGAAAGGTAACATTCCGCCAAAAGGCTTGCGTCGCTTAGGGTGATTAGGGTGAGAGGGCCCACCACGACGTAGCACATTATTGACGCGATGGTATATGCGCAGACGACGGCTGCGTCCGCACAAGAAAAAGCTCGCTATTACGACGATGAACAGGAACAAGAGGAAGCCAGGGATCCGGCGAGGCGAGTCTCCATCGAAGAGGGCATCGTGCCAGTGTTCACTGTGGAAACTGTCCGAATCAGGAAGTAGAACCACACTGGGGTACTGGAAATCCTCGGGGACGCCCGGAATGTTGCTACCAAAACCGACAGGCAATGCGGCCTCGTCGATAGTTGGAACTTGGGAAGAGGCGTACAGGACGATTTTGCCCAGGGTCCAGCTCACTTCTGTGGAGTCGATCTTATTGACTGCCTGGAAGGCGTCAAGGTAACCCCTCTGGTCGGCGTGGGACAGAACCTCCTTGGTACCGTTATGCGTAGAGTAGGTATCCTCTAGTCCAACTCGGGGCACGCCAATTCCGTCATGAAGCATGTTGATGATCCATGACGCTTTAAAGCAAACTTGGTGTGCCTTTTCTCGATCCACCTTCTTGCCCCATTTGTGCTTTTCAATGCCCTGCTCAATAGTATCCCAGTCTTGCGAACAAAATGTTTTGACGCGTTCTTGGTAGGTATTGAAGTCATATGCTTTGTCCTTGTATCCCATTTCAAAAATTTCGTGTGTCGTATGCCAATATTCACTAATTCCGATGAAGTGATTGACATCAAAGTCTATAGCTGGGACATGAGTGCCATGGAGAAGGCAAGGCTGATCCGCACAGTGCGCATCCTTATCCAGCAATGGGTAAGTATGGCGTAGACAACCTTCAAATTCGCCAGTACCCAGCAGAGTAACCCCATCATATTCAGAGGGTATATCCTTGCCATCCAGCGTGGTCCTTAACCCACTGGGTAAACAGGGGTCGGGGAGTTCCTGGGCTTCAGTACCCATATGCATCTGCAAGGACTCCACAAAACGACGTCGGGCTTCGTTCACACCAAATTCTAGCCAAGAGGTAATGAAGACTTGATGCTCCTGAATTGAACCATCGATATTGCGCATACGCAAGAGCGTGAGGTCCTCTCCATGCTTTTCAGTCTCCGTCGCATTCGGTGCAAATGCGATCTGAGCTGAGGCACCGCCCATATCCAAAAATCCGTAAGTGTGGTGGCCCTTTCCATGGTCGTGCTTTTCGGGTTCGTCGAATGTGCCCATGAGATAGTTTGTCGCGATCCATCCATATAAACCTTCGGTCTTTCCCGGAATGACCTGGATATGAGCTTCGCAGTCTGGAAGCAAGAATTCGGAGTTTTCACGGGCGTAATTGCAAATCTGGTCGAGCAGGAGCTGTCGTTCTAGGTTTCCAAGCAGTCGCATGCCCGCTGTGGCTAAGAGGAAGATCGGGGTGTCCTTGGCATCCTCCTTGGGGATGATGCTTTTCGCATGTTCTAGAAGTTCGGCGAGATGGTCGGATCCAATGGATTCCGGCCGACTGGCAAAAGATGAGACACCTGGGCGCAAATGAGACAAGTCAGCGAGGTAAGCTCCGGGCGAGTACGTATGGCTTGTAGTCGGTGTTTACCGGGATGGATCTTCTTCACCCATTTCTCTTTAGTTTCGATCTCCGGAAGTGATTTGAGTTCCTCCGCATCGGCATCTTTGCGCGCAACGGAATTGCGCAGCCACCGATAAACGTGGACGCGGGTCCCCTGTGCGATTGCGAGGTCAGTTCACTGATCTGTGAGAGAACGAAAATTTGCAGAGTTGATATCGATATCGAGATAGACATACAGACGAACCAGCGTCCAGGACGATGCCATAACGCCCTAAAAATCACGATCAATGATTAGCCGGATTCGGAAGGGCTTCTGGGGTTGGCCAGAATGAAAAAGCTGGATGATAACATACACTTGCCCATTTGGACTTGAACCTAGACGTAGAGCATGACAAGGTGAAAGCGAGTGGAATGGAGCAGCGAGAAGGAACCCCACGAACGAGTGACGGGGAGAAGAGCAAAGCGATGCGACGGAAAGGAACTGAGGAGAATCGAAAGATAAGGAGCAGGAGGCTTTGGCCGGTCTTGGCCTTGGCTTAGAACGGCGACGCGACACTAAAATGCAATACGAAGTGTGACGGGGGCGAGACCCTCATTTGCCTCTGTTTGACTTTGGTAGTAGGGGAAATCTAATCAAAAGTAACGCTAAATGTGGCAGGTGCGATACAGTGACAGTACGATACAACAGGTATTTTTGGCGGTCTTGCCTGACGATGGAGAACCTCCACTTCTTCCACTTCCACTTGTACAAACCAAGGCAATCCTACATATCCACAATCACATCACATCTTCTTTACGGAGTACTCCGTACACACACACATACACAACTTATTCACTCGATGTTCATTATTGAGCCACCCCCAGACTGGACTGTCAAAAATCAAAAGCTGCCGGAACTCTATTCCATGCATTCGTCACCAACGACATTCTCCACGATGTCGCACGCTCAGTGCGATCGTAGCTTACCCTTGCCCAGTCGCTGATCTCGCCCTTCCACAGGGACGCCGCCACTCGCACTAGCCAGCTCTAGCAGGGGTTTGGGGGCCTTCGGGGCCGCCCTGGTGCGCCGGCGTACGTCAGCTCATTCCTCCCCCGGGAAGATGGGGCCGACAACCCTGGCCCATGCTGCATCCTGATACGTCCAGGCCCCAACGCGCTTCTCTTGGCGACCTCCGCATCTATATCGCGGGGCCACTCCTTTTTCGCACCAACCTCGTCATGAAAGACACCAAGGAGAGAGGGGGGGTTACAAGGAAAGACCAAGGTAACCCCTCCACGCACACAAGGGTTACTTCGAACTTCTCCTCCCCAGTCCAGATACATGTATGTTGACGAGGCTGGGCAGATCAATTTCGCCTTCGCCTCTGAAGTCTCCCGTGGGTCAGCCGTGGGACGCCGCCGCTCTTGTTTTATTTTTATTGTTCTCGCGTCATTCAGGGTCCCTCCCGCGTCTCAAGGATCGGCGGTCGCTAAAACAGAAGCCTCCACCTTTCAGCCTCCGCCATTGAATTGTTATGATCGATCTTCGTTTTACTCTTTCTAGGAAGTGACATCCCCCACCACAAAATTCACCGAAGATCCTTGGGCCGTTGACATTTCTTGATCTACATATATCTGAGTCGCTTAGCCCTTAATAACCTTGGATTCAACAACCAACCCCGGATTCCCGTTCACTACACTTGCAGATGAGGGTGACGAAGATGCGAAGAGATCATCCAGTATGGCCCGTTCGCCGATCTGCTCGTCGACAAATTGCGTTCGATCTAAGCCAATTATTTCCGCCTCCTCGTGTACTCGCAGGCTCATGCATGGAATAGGTATCCATTTCATAACCAGCAACAGACAGACCGAGACCGTAAACGAATAAGCAGATATCGCACAGATCTCCGCAAACTGTTTGCCGACCTGTACTCCGTTGCCGTCGATACCACCGGCCGCCTCGGTCGCTCCATCGAGGGCTGCAATCGATCGCGACGCGAAGATGCCTGTCAGAAAGGCACCAACCATTCCGCCAATTCCATGCAGCTTGAAGACATCCATGCCTTCGTCGATACGAAGCCATTTATTGAGATCTTGCAGCATTGCACATGCAATACTGGTCAAGAATCCAATGACAGCTGCCAACCAGACCGAGACAAATCCTGCAGCTGGAGTGATCCCGACCAGGCCAGCGATCGCACCTTCGCATGCCCCCACCACTGAGAATTTTCCTCGGTTCTTAACAGAGTCTACCAGAACCCATCCCAGCACACCCATGCAAGCTGCTGTGTTTGTATTGAATGCCGCCAACATAGCTCTCACGCTCGCATTAAGAGCAGACCCACCCTAAGAAATCAGTCAGTTAAGTTCACGAATCCATAGCGGAACTTTGGCAGGCAACATACATTAAAACCAAACCAGCCAAACCAGATTAACGTCGTCCCCAGGAAGACCAATGTAGTATTGTGGGCTTTTCCATGAGACGTTTCATCAAGATGCTTCCGCTTTCCCAGAACCAGGGCATATGCAAGGGCGGACCAGCCCGAGGCGATATGCACGGGGCCGCCTCCTGCAAAATCTAGGGACGGCAGTTTGTAAAGCCAGCCATTGCTGTTCCAGGTCCAGTATGCGACCGGGCAGTAAACAGCAGTTGCCCAGAAGAAGCTAAAAACCAATGAAGGGAGCATATTGCCTCGCTCGAATGCACCGCCGACGACTATCATCACCTAGAGCAGTCAATATTAGCCTAGCAATATATCAATAATCGATTCTAGTCTCTTTCTTACCGTGCATGCGCAGAATAAAAGTTGGTAAAAGCAAAATACAATCTCCGGAAGTACAGCGGAGCCCGGAGACGGCGCTGCCATGATATTCTTGAGTCCGAAGTTCTTCAAGTTCCCAATGAACGGTCCGCCATCACGGGCGTATGCCAAAGAATATCCCCAAAACATCCATTGGAATGTAGTTCTGTCCACAGATTAGCACAAGGTATCGGATCAGCACCGAAAAGAACAGTCATACACCGCAACAATCATGAGCGATTGGAACAGCAAAGCCAGCGCGGATTTCCTTCGCGCTAGACCACTGTACAGAAGACCGATACCGGGAATGATCAGCCACACGATAAAACCGCAGAAAACGATGTAGGTGTAGTTCCATTCGAGTCCCACATATTGAGCATTCACGTCAACTTTGAGAGGGTCTCCTCCTGAAGGAATTGAGGTATTGTAACTGGGCTGCGCAGACTATATCAGAGGAGGGAACATCCATGGATCATCGAGGGTATCATTGGAAGAGCGTACCGCATCGGCCATCGTCGCTACCTACTCAAGAGGTGTAATTTGTGCAGTGGCCCGAAATCCAAAATCCCAGCACACGTATTGTTGTACTAGTACTATTATAGTGTGTGAGACTGTATAAACTTACACCAGGCGGATTCTTGCTGGAAATCAGCCCCTCGCTGTTCCGGTAGTTCAGTGAGTTGAAAGTAAAACGTGCGACTTGAGTACACCGTAGTAGTGATTTCCTAGGGGGGGTTCTTACTAGTAATAGTGATAAACAGCAACCGCTGGTTTCCCTATTTTATGTATTCTTATCTTTATCTACCGAAAATGACAAAAGCCAAGAACTCCAGTTCGTATTCTTAACCACGCAAAAAACGTACTGACAGTGCCGATTGGAAGCCATTGGAGGGAGATGTGTCATGGATCGAAACACCGCTCGCATATAGCGATAAAGAAGGCCAAGGCTGATACGGATGCGAACAAGAACCTGAGTGGTTCGGAAAATGCGTGTGATAATCATTTAAAAGATAAGGCCATCCAACCATATTCACTCGCGCAGATGACCCCGGATCTAAGAACCGTCTGGGGTTAGCCCGTTATCGACCCGCCATCTTATCAATGTCTAAAGGTCTTGGCGTTGGGAACTTTGTTTGATGGTATTTCTAGTAGTGTTCAATTTCACAAAGAAGAGCCCTTGCGAATTTGTTCTGACTTTTACGAGACGGGCTAATCATTTCAACATTGGAGCCCATATGGGAATTCGGATTCAAAATTGATAGGTAACGGGCAACCTCACATCCACCGGTACTGAAACGATTTCATGATTCTCAGGGTTCCATTTGCGTAAGAGATCATCGTCAAAATAATACATACACTCATCAGACTACATCTTAAGAGATGATTGCCATTTCAAAAAAAAAAGTACAAGCGTATTGTGGTACAAAGATCAAAGGCTAGTTCAACTTCTTGTTTCCAACCACGACTGGCCGACCCTGGCGCGATCTGTAATTCAGATAACCATAAACCCCGATACCAATAAAGGCAAGAACGAATATGTTGCCTTTTTTCATATGGTTAGTTGATATATGGTCACGAAGTCATTGTTGGAGTTCTTACTAGCAACGAACTTGCCAACTCCACCCACAGCTCCCACGGCATCCTTGGCGGTGTTCAGGAGTGTGACAAAAACAGAGGCGACAGTCGCGAAGAGGGCATGGAAAATGGAGAATACCGCATCGAATGCGGCCTTGATGGTAGAGAATATGACCTCGAAGATCGAGGCGATCAGATCTTTGATGGAAGTGATGACTGACGTCATTTTGGTACTGCAGCGGCCTTGCTAGGTTCTGTCGGGAAATCTCGCTATTGAATAGTGTAGATTTGTGTTATTATTCAATTTTTGTATGGGATGGAGCTTTATGTGGAGGAATGAAACTTCGAGGAAATAAATACTCGCTTGTTTCTAGTTTTTATTTTCTCTTTGTACATCTGGTTATTCCAAGGTTTAACTATGGCGGCTACGATACTTGTTTGGTAGTGGCAATGACGTGGGGTATGCTGCACCGTGAAACTGTGGTCAGGCTACCACCACAATTCTGGAAACCAGATTATCCTAACTTTTGGCACTTAATAGGTATGAAGCAGGAAATGAATTCCAGATGTCAAATTGGTACATCATTTCTGCGTCACTTTAAATTCCCCGATCGAGATTCTATGTCTTCAGTGAATTGCTCCAAGTAGAGAACATGATTATTAGTGCGGATCATCTGATCTTACAACCACCGAAATTTGTTGTAATTCATTCCTCATATTACTCAAATAAATTCTATACATTGAATTCAAAACTCGGGGTCGGAAGATTCCAGTGAAAATTTATGTGTCTATCTATCGTATGCTGAAGCCATGTAAGTGAAGATGTCTAGTATCAATTTTGATCGATGAGTGGATTCTAGCTTAAGTGAAATCTAGTTTAACGTGACTGAGAAAACGGAATCAAATTTTCTTTTTGCTTAGAGAAGGCCGAAATCCGGCTTTCCGACAAGAGAAACATCGAGAACAGCCCCTTGCTCCAGCAGCCTTTCCCGGAGCACACTGTACGGAACATCTTGGACCGAGCCGTGAGCATCTGCATCTTTCAGTACGATATCACACGCATTTGCACATGCCTGTCCTAGTTCATAGAACTGGTGTTCAATTCGAACAGCCCCTATGAGAATTGTAAGTTTCTAACACACTGGGATTGTGAATTTAGAACATACCGTATCCAACGTGAGAAGAGCTTGGGCAGGTAGCTGTCAAGACATTTGTAGCCTCAGCCCTCTTTGGTACCAAGGACCGATAAGAGATACCGAAAGGCCGCCACTGGTGTTTGTCCTTGAAGATGAAGCCTTCATGATGTACCAGGCCATCTCGGACCACTCTACGTGCGCAATGAGTATCCGTAGGCCAGTATGCAATCGCGACAGGACATGGATCGTGCTCTCCTCCATCGTGTTCGGATGCCGTATGCTGGGTAACAACATAGTCAGACACCATTCTCCGTGCATCGCGAACGTAGAGCTGGCGAGGGAAATGGTTGTTGTCGGGGAATTCGTCAAGGCAGTAGCCAAATCGAGACCATTCCTGGCGAATATCGGCCTGAATTGTTAGATTTTGTAACTGTTGAGAATGAATGAGAATAAGCTTACAGGAACAGCTTCATCATTTGCAAAGAACCAAATGAGACCCTTAGTGGAAGTGGCCGTTTCGTCAAGGATTTTCTGGCGACCATTAGCATCTGCAGTAGGCCAGTCATCGTTCATATCGAGTAGATCAGTACACAGCACAGCTTCCGATCCAATGAGATCCGTCTTCCGGTTTGGAATCCCTTTGAGACGCGGTGTGTACATCTTGCCGCCAGCGTTCAGATATCGACGATGAAGATCGTAGTGGGAGGACTCGTACCCCTCAGGTTGTAGATGGCCAATTTTTTGCCTTCCACATCTGTCAGAGGGAGCCGGTAAGAGTAAGCAGCCAGATGCTGGTCTCCATCACCAGGTTTACCAAATGGTTCTGGCGAAATACCGTGAAGAAGCCCACTTGAGGGATCTCCAGGCACAATATAGGGATCAATTGGGATTTCGAACTGGGTGTACCGTGTGTCGTCCCGGACTCCTGCTAAGCTTTCGTTATACTGCGATGATGATTCTCGTCCCAATGCAGTGGATATCCCGGCAGCGACGAGGAAGTCACCTTCGTATGACGCTTCAATATAATACTAAGATGTGGTTATATTGGGAATTACACGTGCTAGAGCCGTTTTAGGGAATTACCTTTGATCGTATAGTCTGGCCATTCGTCAATCTCAACCCAGTGACGGTGCTGCCACTCTTCTTCACTGCCGAGCTGTCACTGCAAAGAGATTCCTTGATCCTGTTTGCTGGCATATAGCTTGCCTCCTCCACCCATATTGCCTGGATGGTATATGTGAGCCTTGGAAGATTGTAGGCAATCATAAGAATTCAGACGCTTCTCCTGAAAATCTCCAGGACTCTCTCGGAACTTTTTCTAAAGAACAAAAGCCAATTATGTAGGCCTGCTAAACTGTGGGGTATAACATGGAGAAATCTCCGAACGCGGAAGCGGGGGAAGCACCTATCCCCAGACCGAGCTAGTATCTTCGTACGGAGACTCTTTCCCAATTCATTCTCCGGGTGTTTGCCATCTGTGAAAGCCTCTCAAACAAGTAAGTTTTGGCACCCTAGCAGCCCCCAGGCGAAATACGAAATGAAATATTGGAGAGAACTTGGGTAAACTCCGGGGTTCAGAGAAGGGCGATTGGTGACTGGGTAAGGCTGGGTGGGTCTGGGGCAGAGTTAGTATCGGTTTAGTAGACACATGACTACGGATCCCCCACGCTTTTCCGACCATTCTGCGAATCCTACTCAGTACTTCGCTTTGTATTTCAATTTATTGGCTATTGAACTTGCTTTGTTCCGGAGCTTTCTTGTTGGTTTATTCACATCACCTTCTTGACCAGGCCGGGTAAGCCTTTAAGATTGGGGTTCGTGGGGTCACCATATTCTGATGGGCGATCCGTACAAAACTGCAACCGATCACCTCTGGAGTTTTTCCCTTTCACAAGTGTGTCACTTTCAGCAGTTCTTATGGACCCACATTCTACAAGAAAGTTGGATTAGGAGATATCGCATTTACATACGCAGTAGGTTTCTACCGTTTCTTCTCCTAGTCACTTTTACTAACTCAAATCCAGGCAATCAACAATGGCATCTCGGTGGTCACCGCTATGCTCGGCATGGTTCTATTTGATACATTCGGTAGACATGATGTCACATTTCACGGATACTGGTTGCAAACCATCTTCCTTTGTCTGATTGGCGGTCTTGGTTCGAAGGCTCATTGGTTCGAAGGCTCATCGAACAACAGGAGATACTAATGGCATGGTGGCATCATTCATTCTGTATGCCGCCGTTCTTCACGCTACTCTAGGCCCCGCGGCGTATATTACCGCTGCAGAAGTGGGTACAGCAACGCTAAGAGAGAAAACTATGGCGATCGCAACAGCATTTAATGTTGTGGTTGGATTTGTGGTTGTCTATACTACTCCATATCTGCTGTGAACCCCTGGAGCTAACTTTGGCGCTAAGCTTGGTTATATCTGGGGAGGATTTGCTGGCGTGGGTGCCATTTGGGTGTGGTTCTTCATGCCGGAGCTCAAAGGAAGAGGATTGGAGGAGATTGATGAGTTATTTGCAGCCAAATTACCCGCCTGTAGGTCCAATGAATTTGTAGGTTCTGGTTCGGGACGTGTCATTGCCACGGGAAAGGAGACGGCGATAAAAGATGAGAAAGTTGAAGAGGTTGAGAGAGTATAGGGATGCCAACCTTGGAAAGCTAACCAAGGAAAATGCCTAGGTGAGAGATATTTCAAACTTTTGTTAGACCAAATGAAGTAGTACTACTAGTATTGATATACATTTATTTATGTAGTTGATGCGGCCTAGGTGCTTCAAGTTCTAAGGTTACCTAGGTTACAATGTAAAAATGACTTTTTGGCAAATTCTGACAATTTGAAATCAGCCAGGAGTTTGTTATTTCTGGAGGCCTCGAAATTTTGGCATGCGTTTTCGGGTTGTCCAGTCAAGAGTTTGTTATAACAATGAGGCTTCCAATGCTATCGACTCCACTGGCTCCTTTGGGTAAATTTACTTTTGTTCTCCACTTTGCCGTCGCACACTGCTGCTGAGGTGAGCTTCATGAGCCCGTTTCAGCATCATTTGATAATCGGGACTATTTGCATCGCCACTAGTGGAACTTGCAACTTTCCAATATAGCTTACTGTTCATGAGGCATCTTAGGAAGAAAATATCCCAGATTTACCCATTACGGCTAGTGTTCATTTCTTACTACTTGTCGTCCTACCTCAACAAGCCTAGTTAAAGTTTGTGAAAAATATGTTATTGGCTGCACATTGGCGCTAGTCTTTTTTTAATGCGGTGGAGTGATATCTGAGAGATCTTCTTGTTGCGCTCATGTCCCTGATTATGGGAATTCAGAGCACCGCCCCTTGAAAAGTTCGCACCAGCAAAAACCCAAGACTTGTTCTTGGGGTATAAAATGTGAGATCATCCCATGAAGAGAAAAAAAATTGCAGCCGGGCTCTCATATTTTGCTCAACCTCACATTTTTCCGACAATGACCTTACCCACCATCGTGTTTATCCCAGGTGCATGGCATACCTGTGACTATTATAAGCAAGTCATTTCCATCCTTACGGAAAAGGGGTTCCCTACCGCAACTGTCAACTTACCATCCGTTGGGGGTGTCTCCTCTATGGAAGATGATGCTATAGCTATTCAGAATGTAATCTCGAAGCTGGCGAATGATGGTCAGCAGATTATTCTAGTTATGCATTCGTATGGTGGGATTCCTGGTACGGAGAGCGCTAAAGGACTTTCTCGGGAAATACGTCAGGCGAAAGGGAAAGCAGGTGGAATTATAGCTCTTGTATACGTGTCTGCCTATCTCATCAAAGAAGGGATGAGCGTGTTAAGTGTTGCAGGTGATGCAGAATGGCCAGCTTTCTTGATCAAACAGGTCTGTTTTCCCGCTGTTAAAAACGTACCTAGGTACTACTAGTACTAGTAGTAGGTAAATCCAAGCTAACAAGCCTAGGATGAGATAATTCTCTACGATCAAGCTACCGCTGTCGAAAGGTTCTACCATGATTTTCCGAAAGACGAATCTCCAACAGCATGGGCTTCGAAATTGAAGCCACAATCTGCGGCATCTTTCGCTGGTGCTCTTACCTATGCCGCGCATCGAGATATTCCAGCTATATATTTGCTCTGTGAGCAAGACAGGTCGCTCCCAATTGGGGTTCAGGAACTCTTCGTGAGTTGGGCAGAAGGGAAAATCACAACCCGGATTTGCAAGACTGGGCATAGTCCAATGGTGACAATGCCTTATGAGGTCGTTGACGCAATACTCCTGGCCGTTGATGTTTGAATCAAACGATCTTCATTGAATTGCAGAAGTATCCATAAATGAAAAGTAACTCAATTGCATTCCCTCGCCTCGCCGATATGGCAGTCTATTTGCTTACTAAAAGTCATTTCCACCAATATGAGGTTCGCATAGTAAGAGAACCGAGATCTAGTACTATGGCTTTGTGTTAAGTATCATGATGATTATATCATGAGCTTGAGACACGATCAGGAAGAGTCTCGGACGTTGCATTCAACAGAAAGCCAGCCGAGTCTAGCTTCCCACGGAGCAATTCGTAGTCCACCTTCTCGGCACTCCATGCATCTGTTTTTATGGTAAGGTCCGCTGCAAACGCACTAATCTGGCCCATGGTCATGAATGTTTGCTCAACCCGGAGTAAGCTGAACCCTATATGAGTGCTGAATGGCGACGTAGGCACGAAAAGATTCCTGCGCTTAGTAGACTCGGGGACTATTGCTCGGTCAGACAACTCCCATGGCTACAGGTAAATTATTTTACTAAAGTTCGACCATCCAGGGTGTGATTTTTTGTCTTGCCTTCCAGTCTGATCCCTGTTTCCATAGAAACCTTCATCATAGAGACTGCCGTTGCGTACAATTCGTCGAGTAGAATGTCAGTCCTGCGATCAGTCGGTGATTAATAATCCCATGATTCGCATTTGTGGAGAAATCTGCTTACAATTGGCCATAGTTTGGTGAGTATGGGATCTGAAACGGCAAATTCAGGATAAGAGTATTCAGCATTTTGAGAAGTGATAAGAACGTCATCTCTAATCATCCGTCGCCCATCACGAACATACATGGCGCGAGGGAAATTATCGTTATCAATAAACTCGTCTCGTGCGTAGCCCCATTTCGACCATTCCGTTCGCGTCTTGTTTGGCATAAATTCGTCGTTGGCGATAAAATAAAGCAATCTCAGTGGTGGCATCCAATATTAGTCTTGAAATAGTACCATGAATGATCTTGAACTGCAAATCACCTTTTTGCCACTGTGCCAGATCTTTGCATAGTTTGGCTCTCTGTTTGTGACTGCCGTTCAAATGTTCTGATGTGCGACCTTGCATATCAAATCCAAGTCCTTCTGTTGCACTTCCGATGATGTCTGTCTTGTCGTTTGGTAGTACTATGCTCGGTGTGAAGATGGACCCGCCGGCTTGGGCGCATCTTCCATAGATTTCATACTGCGAAGCATCATAGGCATCAGGTCGGGAGAAGGGAACGAGATTGCTGGTCTTGTTCGTGATGCAGAGACGCCATGAAAAAGCCTGGGTGTTTTCATTTCTATTGAGAATGAGAGTATAAGTTAATGAGGAAGAAATTCAATTGTGAGATGAGTAAGTACTGGACCAGCACCTGCAACACCCAGTTTCTGGTTTTGAGCAGTAGGAATGAGTTTACTCAAGGGGTTACCGGGAATCCAATAAGGATCGACCTTCACAGTCAGCTGTGGGAATGTCGTATTGTGTTGGATACCGGCGAGGCTTTCATGGTGCGCAGCAGTAGACTCGCGACCTGTGGAATACGGAATGTCTGCAGCTGCAAGTAGATCTCTTTCGTAGGTTGCATCAATGAGATAGCGCACGGAGAAGGTATCTCCAGCCTCAGTTTGGATCATGTCAATTGGTTTGTTGGACTTTGTGACTCCAGTACCATCTCCAGTCCCTCGAAGGGCCGTCTCCAAGTAAACATCAAGATATTCTTTCTCGACTAGCCGATCCTCGATCACAGACTGGCCCACGTGGCTCTCAAATCGCCATAAGTCCTTTGACTTCGTGTGATTAGACCAAGCTTCGTCAAATGCTTCTGTGCGATTATATCGATCGGCAACGCGCCGGTAGAACTCGAATGCAAGGGACGCCATAGTCAATGAGGTTTGGAAATTACTCTACACAAAGAAGTCAGCAAGCGGAGAAGAAAAGAGCTTGAAATATTCAATCGGCATCATAGCTTACCTGTGAGTCAATATCCGATGCTCCTGCTCCCTCGATTGCAATGCCTCCAACATGCTTTCAGCTCTCCAGAAGGGCTACTGTTCGATCCAAGCGAGCAGCCTGAATAGCAACTACATATCCCGCTGAAGTTCCACCGAGAACCACAATATCGTAGTTCTGATGTTGATGAGACATGACACTAGCAACAGGCATGCAATTCATTGGGCCAAGGCGTAAATGGCTGATTTTGTCATCCAATGCATCTTGAATACTCTTTACACAGTCAAGTTGACTGCAGAATAATCCCGTATCTTATATGGACACCCCTGGTAGATGATGTTCCGCGATATCGGCAGGTCATCAGGAACAGCCTGGAGAATCGAAATGCCTTACCTGCTTAACCCCCAGCTCTAGCCATCCTAGAAGAGCAAAACACACCGACAAATTCTATATTCAGTGAAGTTGGTGGTAATTTAATTGCCCCTGCTTTTCCGATTGTTGCTCGTCAAAGGCCCCCTTTTCGCCATTTCATCCTGAAGTAGCATACGGACTACCCCACACCTCGTACAGTACGGAGTAGACAACACCAATTTGTGGGGTTTCCAAGGTTTGATTGGAGAATAAAGCTTTACCCCAGGTTGGCTAAACCCCGGGTCAGCTAGTTAATTCGGTACTAGCACGATGTGCAAGTTACTCGAAGAGTATGCCGAAATGTGGACCAGGTCAAATTTCTGGTCAGAACGAGTTTTAGCTGTCTTCTAGACCATGCAATTCCTGGCTACAGGTTGTTAAGTTTTGAATCCATGAATTTCTAGTAAAAAAGCCGTGAAATCATGTCATGATTAGAAAAGAAATTCAAGGTAGTGAATCGTGACACCCATTCGGCTAGGCAACCACGCCGCTTTAAGCTTCTCTCTTGGCCCCCTATTCTCACCAAAACCTTGGGATATTTACCACGGCTGACCGACCCTTTCAACCTATCTCTCCTGTCTGGCCTCACGTTATCTGTTTATCCCAGCTAGCCATCTCATAAACGGTCGAAGAATCCCAGTTGCTTCGTGGACCCTCTTGGGCGTTCTTTACTCTTTTTTTCCTTACTCGCTCAAATCGACTGAGCGGGGCTTGGAGAATAAGCAACGGGGCCACGTACGCTTGTAGGCAACAAATTGCCTTGTCTCTTTGGGGAACGAGGAAGTTAGGCTAATAATATGGGCTCTTGTTCTGGAGTATAGTTTTCAAGCGCCAAATATGTCCTTAATTCATCTTCCTCCCGAGCTTCTTGACCAGGTGCTTTCCGATCAGGGCCTTCGAAAGCGTGACCTTGCCAACCTTGCACGAGTAAATAAAAGCATCTATGCGCTCTTGTTGACAAAGATCTACAAAGATGTGAGACTCCATGGTACTGAACAGCATCAAGACCAAGAGATCTTCGATTTGTTCCACCGGACTCTTGTTGCAACTCCGCGACTAGCAGCCACCATCCAATCTCTAACTGCCAGCGCTTTTCTTCCCGATGACGAGAAGATTATGCGATCTCGGCAAATTCTGGAGAAACTCACTGCCCTTCGAAAACTGTCACTGACTTATTACGGAAGGGGGTTCTTCGATGTAAACTTCATCCAAAAGATCATGCCAACAAAGCCCAACACGGCTGCTACTACTCTTGTTAAACTTCAACATATAACAATTACCGACCCACGACTAAGCTTCCACGAGATTTCGAAGCTTATATGCTTTCCCAGTTTAGAGCGACTGGCCGTGAAATGCGATCAAAGACAAGAAACTACTCAAAGAGACGTCTCACCATCCACATCAAGGCACCCCTCTTCAAGTTCTCTTAAAAGCCTTACTCTAACAATTTCCACGAACTGCAATCACGGACTGCATTCGGTCTTGTCGGTGTGCTCCGCTTTAGAAAGTTTTATCTGCAATATAACTCAAACACATAATACCAATGACGACCCAATATCACCTGCTGGTTTATCACGGACTCTGGTGGCTTGTCAAGAAACACTTAATACACTGGAATTCAGCAGCAGCCTTTGCGATATTGATGAATCATCGCTAGAGCTGAGTCGGTTTAAGAACGTGAGATCTCTCAAGGCCAGCAGCATCTTACTATTTGAGGAGGATGAGAGAGAGGACCCGGCTCTTCGAACTGGACTTTATACCCGTCTGCCGCTCTCACTAGAAAGTCTAGAGGTATGTTCCCTTCAATCTGCAGAGCCCAAGTTCGTATATAGAGATCCCATTCTGAATTATATCGCAGATCCTGTTTGTGACCGACACATTTGCTTTCAAATCACTCGATGAAATAGAAGGATCCCACGACGAGGCTATTAGCGCCGAAATAAAAGTCGATAACGTCATTTGGCTGTCTGAGTTGGCTCATTATCGGCAAAGTCTATCATATGTTCGGATTGAAGAAGATGCTGGACGATCACCTTCCATGAGAGCGCATAGAACAGCTGGCCTTCACAATGCTCCACCTCGCGTCAAAGATGCATTCGATCTGGCACAGATTGAGATCGATCTCTATCTTCGACCATCGTTCTACCCCTCTCTTGAGCAGCATTCAAGTTGATGTCGCAAATTAATCATATAAATTCCACGGTAGCTCTTTTACGGATATATGATATCATGCAAATCATACAAATCATAGCAGATGCTTCAAGCCCAGGTTTTTAAAGTTATCCTCGAGTATATATGACGTAGTAGCAGTAAGCTTATAGTATTCATGCCACTAGAAACTATTACTAGTTTAAGTTGTGACAAAAACAACTGCACCTAACGTCTCTTCAAGTTATACAAGTGTGTAACGGACCTGAATACATCACAGTCTGCCCAAGATAACAGCCCTCATCATCATTTCAATTACCAGCAATTCCCCGGAAGTTGGGACATTAGGCAATAAAGTCCTTCGCTATCACCATAATGTCCTTTCTGAACTTCCTAGGCGGGGCGGGGGAAGTCAATGGCTCACCCATGGGCCTCGCCTGGCCAGTCGAGTAGTCCATCTTGGCGCCGTTCTCAGCAAGATAGACCGCCAATGCAGCCCATGCATAGCTTTCTGGGGTGTTTTCGGTCGGCTGCCGGGGATTTGCTGCAGCTCAGGTGTTAGTAAAATGTCTCGGGCAGTATTTTTATCGTATTGTCCCATATTAATCGTGAGTGATGACAATCTTTTACTTCATCAAAAGCCAGAATACCTACTTGCTTGGGCTGTGAGAATAGCATCAGTCGCGGTATCTGTGTTAGAAAACGTCAGTAGTTGACTTTGAAAGCGTGGTAATTGGATGTTTGTGACGCTCTGCTTACATGCTACTCGTCTCTTGTTTATAAAGTCGTCCGTATTTCCCGGCCAAAGAGGATTCGGCTGGCCCTTAATCTTCGGTTTGATCGCAGCCTTAGGTCCCCATGTATTAATATCAGGCGTGTCTATTCTCTTGTTAGCATACGTAGCCTTCCAGTGAAGGACATTTTCATACCAGCTGGACCTTTGCAGGCGTGGACTAGTTCATGCACAATGCTTAAACTTCTAGTCTCAAGTGATTGGAGAGTATGCCCGATATCGCTGTTCGAGTCGTCAAGTGCCTCCAGCGCATTGGCCTTGTTGAAAAAGCCGTCAGGACAAAGTGTGAGAGAGAGAGAGTTTTGCCCGGTCGTCATGGGTGTTACTACGGCGATGTTTCCTTTATCTGCACAGTATGTTGGAGGCTTGCTGCTGTATGGAGGACCAAAGTAGTATTCCTTCAGATCCTCAGACCAGAATGCGACCCACTGCGCAAGATGATGATTAGAAGACAAATTTCACATGATTTATCAGGGAACGGTCGCGGAGACATGGAATAAATCATACTGTCTCTATGATCAAAAGAGTGGCAGATTAGCAAATGATGAGAGTTTGTAGGCTCTAACTAATTCGTAACAAATTACCTACTTTTGAGCAATGGTTCTGTCTTGCCGTAGGCCTTGTCATCTGAGACAACTATATTTGCCTTGGCCTTCCCACTGGAGTCGTACACTATTTCGGAGTTTTAGCTGGCAAGAAAGTATTATCCAATATAGTCTTGCTGCATACCTGTTGTCGTCTGTTCAAGCCAATCACTGTTGCAGTAAAGCGGGATTTTCTGGCCGCTGTTTCCTTTAGCATAAGTATCTAGGGCTTCGAACCATTCTATGAAAAGCTTTTAGCAAAAGAACGAATATCATATGGCAATACTGCATGTATGATTCACTTACCTTGAACATGTTTGAGCAAAAGTGCATCAGCGTTAGAAGCAGTTCCGGTTTGCTGGGCATTTGGAGTGATTCCAAAGAATGTCTTGGCAAGTTTTTGAACTTGTACGTCCGTATTGTATTTTCCAAAAGCATTGGATGCGGTTTCGATGATTTTCTGTGCCTCTTCGAAATAGGCATCCAGGTTTTCATTAACTTGGCCAGTCCTATAGCTATCACATCCTCCTTTGGTGGTTCCACTCTTGACATTGAATACATCATCGAGAGCTTTTCCAGCCACAAGGTGAGAAAGACCCAGAAGACCTAACCACGGAAAGAGATTCAGTCGCATGGTACAAGGCCAATGTGCTCAATCTGCGATAAAGTTATAGACTGATAATATGAATGCCCAAAAGCAAATTCAGCGCAGATGCCCAGGAAGTAAGTTCCAAGTGAGATATCCTATATATCCCCTTGGAGATGGAGGGGCTCACACCTCGGGAGTACTTGTACTTCTACTTCGTACACAAGGCTGATTTTCAAGTTTGGCACTTCTTCTTCAGGGGGTCTTGGATTTACGATTTTCTCATATAAGGCCTCCCATCAACGCAAGTGATTCGTTTGGTAGGGTGAGCAGGAATCGAAAATTCCCCGAGATCTCTTCGATGTTTCTCATGCAATGCTACTTGGGGGCTACTTTTAACGCCAAGTACTATAATGGGAGTTAATGGAAAGGGGCGAAAGGAGGTAAGCCGCCATGCCACACGGGGACCTGCATGGACCCCACATAAGCCCAGGGACCGAGGAGTGCCTATATTCCTCAGTGTATTGTATCAGTAGTAGTCTGGACTCTCAAACACGAGAATTGAGCCACATACCTAGTCATACTACTAACTAGTATCTGCTGTTTTGAATTGAGACGAAAACAACTGCCAGTGTGGGGCTATATTATGGGCCCTAGATCATTGAGGTCGATCCTTCATTTAAACTCGCGCGATATTTCCCCCTACTTGTCCTTCGTTTACCCCTATGAATAGAAGTACGGAGCTGAGAATCAGAGATTCAGCCTCCTTGGTATAGCTGGTATCGCCGAAATGCGGCATAGCCGAACTATAACTCAGCTTTGGCGTTTTGGGGGCTGACTTTGTGGAATCAGCGTGAGATGAGACGCCCGCCAAGTTTCCGCCCCCATCATTATCAGCCACGCTAAAAGGCCGGGGTTTTTTTCGGGGTCTTATTTGATCGAGGCATACAACTGGCTGGGCTTCATGCATGCTGCAGGGTCAGAAGAATCTCACCATCTTACTTTTTAGCTTTCATTTTGGCAGGTCATACTTTGGCGAGGCAGACTCGGCACTACTCCGGTCCTTCCATACTACCTCAGGGTCCTTTCGCGGAAAGCAGATAGTGCCCTGTATTTACAGATATATGAAACGGATTTCCACAGCCCTTCAAATGAGTTCAATTTAATTTTTCGTGTATTATCTTCCTTGTCAAGTTTATCATTTTTCCTGTTCGTTTGGGCTGTCAAATCCTTTACAACAGGTTGGACCTGCATATTCCAGACTATGTATTTGAAATTTTCTCTTGTCGTGATATTATCAACGGCCTTGACTGCCTTTTCCCAAGAACCAAGAGGAGGTCCAGCAGTAAGAGCTATAGTTCCAACTGCTTCAGGACAAATTGGTATTTAGTGCCCCTTCACAGCAAGACCCTTTTTACATCCATGGGTAAACTTGAATACTTACCGCATTGAAAACAGGTATCAATCCAGTTAGCGAATAGTGAGTGTCATCTCAGACTGCATTGACATTTAATCCTAATAGTATGATGCTAGTACTGAAACTCTGAAATGGGTCACGGTTGGAGTGGACCCTGTCAGTGATGAGGTTATCACGACTGCTGGTGTGACAACAACTGTGACTGCGCCATTTGCCATTATCACGGCTACTGAGACCTCAGGGAGTATCAATCCTGGTGATGTCAGTTTCGTTTATTCCCCAGAAGGCAAGGACAGGTTAAACGCTCTTTTCGAAGAAGTGGCCGCCGCCTGTGCGAACACGCGCGTCAAGCGTTCTGGTAACTGCGAGTTATCGCAATTATCGCGTCCTGGAGCTGGAGGTGGTGTCCTGGAGTTCGATCTTGACTTTGGGATTGATATTCCCATGTTCACTGCGGGGGATGTTGCTGTTGCACTGCAGAGCGTACCGGCCGCTGTGGCCGTGGCTTTCATCGCCTATGTGGTTGGAAACGGTAAAGTGCCTGACGCTGTCAAAATTCCGGCGACAGACACCATCAAAACAACCAAAACAGAAGCGACTTCAACAACGGAAGACGGTGACCTCGCACCCTACGTGACTACTAATTACCCGGAAACTATCCCTACCGAAACAGATGATCCGGATGAGGTCTGGGCCCTGGATTCGTTTATGCAAGTATACTTGCTATCCTACTTTCCCACACAGACTGAACTCACGGGTCTGCCGACTCTGACAAAGACCGCATCAACAACCCCGGGTACTATAAGCATATCGACTCCTGCTGGTAGTTCTTGCGCGAAGACCGCTACGAGCGAGCTTTGTACCATTCCCCGAGAGCCTTGCGCTACCTCGGTGAGTTTTCGGAACTGATATATTCTTGAAATCAAGACAAGGCTAACTCTTGACATTTTAGTTGACCTGTGAAAGTTGGGTACCCACTGCAACTGCTCCGTCAATGGGCCAGGTGACCTGCTTTCCAGAAAGCCGAAGACCTGGCGATAAATATGGCGCTGTTCGACCAGAACAGTACCAGGACGCTGCCGATAAGGCATGTGAAGCTTTTGCCAATAAAGGTACACTTGAGGCCAACGAGAGTCGAGGGTCGTATGTTTACCAAGCGAAGGATGGAAGTGTGCCATATTGGTTCAATGTTGGCATCAGCAGCGGTTCCCAAACGTGCAAAGACGAAAAGCTCGACGATCCAATCGGCGATGGCTCACATAAGTGCAGCAGTATACTTAAAGATAGTTTGTTTTCGGGCTGTGAGTTTATCCTTTGGTTATCGACCCTGGAGCTATCTGTGGTAACCCTTACTAATATGTCCGCGTCTAGGCCATGATAATGGTGGCCGGGGAGGTTTCGTCAAAGTAGGATGTCTGACATACGCATTTGATGTTTGCAGTGGAAATGGCGATATTGAATTGGAAGGGGCATGCTTTACGAGTGGCATGGGTGCGCCTTGGGTAGTCACTTGAGTAGTATTCGGACCATCAGCTTCATAGTTAGTGGCTACGAATTGAGAGTATTGTTCAACCATGAGGATACTATTTTACTACTACGTATCTACTAGTAACAGGAGAATCGATATTCTGACAATTTGTGCGATCAATACTAGCTACTTCGGTCTTTCGTATCCCAATTAGCAGCCTTGGCCAACTTTCACAGAATCTGACCTTGTTCCATCCCCGACACCACCGATTGCTTCGACAACAATGTCATCACCACTAGCCAGACCATCGACTTGGATCGAAGTCTCAAATCCATTACGTAGTCCAATTTGTTTGACCTGAGAGCCGGAGTAGATCTTCCATGATTTAACATCCGTCGCACCATTCCAACTCACATAGACAGTGGTCTTATTGGTCTCGCTCGAGAAACACGCAGCAACATCCGGCTTGGTCGATGGATTTCCTGTCCAGGGGTATCGATATGCGCGATATGTTTGCATGGTATTGTCGTATCCAAAGCGTGCGCGCATAACTATAGTACCATTCTCATCATACTCCTCAATCTTCGGAGTAGCTCCATGATCTTGCAAAACGTGGCCATTAGCAAGGGACTGGTAGCTCCCTTGAGACTGAGCATAAACCGGCTCGTCCGCATCCCATGTGCGTCGCTTGAGTGTCACCTGCTTGGAGCCTTTTAATTCAACATCCAAGAGTAAACCGGTGGTGAGGGTTGTAGGAGCCGAAAAGTCAGCATTCTCGTTATTGTGCATTGCCAATAAGACTCGCTCATCACTGTGGAATTCAAATCGTGCATCATGTTGGTAGCAGAAGCTAGTCCCAAGTCCCAGCTCAAAGTCACCACCTGTTTGGCCCTGTCAACCATTGTTAGCATCAGTTCGTATTGGTTAGTGTCACCAACTTCGGGACGAGATACTCACATGAAGGTGCCAGGTAACGTTGCCGCTTGGATCGATGAAGAAAATGCTGCACATATAACGTGAGGATAGTAGGTAGCTATCCCCGTATTTGTAAATGGCATTCAGGTGAGGATACCCATATGGATTCGCTTGATTAACACCAGAGCCATCAAGCGGAGCGCGCAGATAGCTAAGTTTCACTTGATCAACATGCTCATGTGCACTCCAGCGGAACAGAATCTCGTTGGTCTTGAGATCGATCTCATAAATCAGTCCGTCTTGGATCCAGCCATCCTTGGGGCCTCCGACAGAGCTAAGATCGGCCTGTGTGACATTGACAGCCGTCACTAGAATAGTGCCGTTGTCGGTGAATTGACTTTCATGGATATCAATGCAAGAGTGAAATTCCATCGGGTCAAAGACAGTCACAAAGTTCTCGCTCTTGCAGTCAAGTGTGACTCGATGAATCTCATCGTATGAGCTGTTGAGAATACTGATATGTCCGAATCCAAATCCTTCTCCTGCATATCCTGTCCAGTAGGCGATCACGGGTTCTCCATTCAGCATCTGCGGCTGCAAAGCGGAATAGTTTCCTTCGGCCCCTTGCCATACAAGCTGGCCATCATCAGTGTAAATTGTAGGATATCCATTGTCGCGAAGGATGTCTTGCGGGGAGAAAAAAAGATATCCAGGCTCGGTCTGACCCATTTTGGTGACATTCATGAATGGGGTCTTGACTGATGAGCTCTTGTATGTTTGAAGAGGCCATAGTGCTTCGTCTGAAGATGCAACAGCAAGGCTTGAAATAGTCGAAAGAAGTGCAAGCACACGGGGGATGCGGGCTAGACTAGACCATCCCATCTTGTCAAGAACTATGCACACTCGTATTTGATCGTCTTTGGTTTTGATAACTGAATCGCGGAGTACAAAGATACTACCTTAGGTAGTACCTCTGGCTCAATTTATAGGTTTCAGTCGTGATCAGCTCCTTAGAACCTCTAGACCTCAACATATCTCTATTGCCCCGCATTCTGGATCTCGGGCGTGTGGAACTCATTTTCTCGGTAGTGATGATCTTGCCTGTAAGCCGATACTGCATAGCATCTAGTGAGGTATGGATTTTTGATGCGGAAAGGATCCGACAGTCTTCGATCTTCTCCGCATTAAGGAGACAGGAGGTACTAAAGTTAAATAGGAGACCAGTCCCTCCACTAAACTGTATTTGGTATTATTGCCATCGCAGCCTGACAGGCGGTAATTATAACAGAAGCATTTTTGCCTTATTCTCTTGTCAAATTGGAGACTCTAAGGTTAACCCAAGACTCCTGTGTGATAAGCACTGTTTGATCAAGTAGTGCCTCAAAACAGAATAATTGTGAAATCTCCACAGGTACAGACTCATTGATTGGCCCGCGGCGGGACTAGTAAGAAGTGCAAGGAAACCTTGGAATACCGAACATCCTCCATGGAGGGCGTAGAAAAGGCCAACAAAATTATATAAGCCACGAGCGTGTGTCGAGATTCACCCCGCTCAATAAAATCATGATATCATCTGAGAGAAGTCAATATCCAGCATCTCCACTGGCAGACGAAGCGGAATTATCCCACACGCAACTACGGTATTTGCAAATATTCCTTGGCTTGAGAAACGGGGGTCAATACAGTCCGACCTTTACGAAAAAGCCCAGGAGCAAGGTTCGAGGCCGGGTACTACCTTGAAGTCTGGAGTCAGTTGTGGGGAAATAATGAGTATGAGGGATTAGGTACTAGTAAATGCATGCCGGATGAAACTCTGAGAAGTACCATGTTTGCACTAGATAGTCGCCGGCTCTAGGTAAAGTGAATCCCAGGAGAAGGCTTCGAGGGCTAGAAAATACCCAGGTATGTGAGTAGTAGATAGTGACTAGCTAAAGAGATAGATACCTAGGTAAAAAAGGAAATTCGGAGCTGCTGAATGATTCCTATCAACCAACTGCCGAATTCACAGCTAGGCCGTTCACAGGCAATTGTTGATGACATGGCGGAACGCCCAAAAGGCTTGAGTTTGGATAGCAGATTAGCTCTCCACTCACAACACTAGGCAAATGTATCCACAGATCATGGATTGTGGAGCCCAGTAACGTCACTGGTTGGAACTGAACGATTGAAAGTCTGGGGTTATCGGTAATGATGTCGGCAATTAGAGACTGGGTAAAAGTGCACTAAGAACATACTTTGGGGATCCAAATTTGCCGACGGCTGCATGGGTGGCAAGGTTGGCGGATGACCCCGCCTCAAAGATCAATTAGAGGAGGCTTTTACTTGATTTGAATCACCTCTAGTCACTGGCTTAGTAACAAGTATGGCTGGGATCGTGGCTATCTAGTACTAGTACTATGCGAGAGGTCAGGAATAAACCTTCCAACTTGAGAAGTTAGAGTTCGAAGCTCTATGGGGCCCAACCACCAGGCGCGGAATATCACCGTGAGTGCCTTGCCGCTAAAGTTTCCAACTTGAAAGTTCCAAGGTTACCTAGGTATCGGACTCGGAAGGTCGGGGCTTCCGAACAGAGAACTGGTACTAGTAGAATTCAACGCCGCGGAAAACGGTGATCGAGTGAAAGGAGCTACTAGACTCGAGTATGGAAATTCATTTATGGATAGGAATCTTCCAATCTTGGAAGGTTGTATGTATGTACGGTAAATGCTATTCGGTTTGGCCATGTAACGCCGGGGTATTGGATATGTGGGTTATGAATATTAGTTTCGAAAATCAAAGCTGGGAATGGTCCATCGTTCAAAGATTCACTAGAGCTTCGAGTCGGTTGCAATCGCCTTGCGGCGCATTTGACGAGATGAGACACCAGCCGGAGCAGGAGCTGCAGCATTGTAGAACAGTTGGCGGCCAACGATATCGGACATGGTTAGGACACGCGAGGAGACAGTAGCCCCATCACGACGGTTTTTACTAGATACATATATTAGCTTATGTGTGGTGGTTCAAGGGGCTTATCGACTCACCCTTCACGACGGGATTGCGCAATCAATTCAGTAAAGTCCCAGAGGCGTCCACGATCGAGGACTCTACCAGTGGTTGAATCTCTCTCAGGCGCCCATTCCGGTGCAAGTCTCAGCGAGGGACCAGCGCGGGACTCTTTATCTTTGGCAACAAGAATTATGCCTTCCTCCTCGAAACGCTGGTATGAGTTCCTGAGAGTTTCTTTGTTCACGGCCTCAAAATAGGAAAGGTCGCCCTGGTGGTACAATGTTTTGCCCAGCTGAAATATGGTTAGATGTGCCATAGGAGCTAGTCGGAGAAGGGCTGGCTTACCAGCTGCGCGCTATCCTGTGACTTCTTCATGTCTATCCAGGTATCTTGGCCGCCATTGAGAGGTGGTGTGAGTCCTAGTAGAGACACGGCGCCAAGCCAAGACGCCTCGATGAAAGGCCAGATCAGGAAACAGTAGAAGTCGTAATTCTCACGGCCGCAGTTACGCTCAGCCTCGCTGAGCTCAACATACTGTGGAGTACCAGAGTCGTCACGAGTAATCTTGATCACATCATCTGACTCCAAGCCACGCATCGTGTTCTCCATGTTGGAGGAGAGACCCTCTGGAGGGAAAATAAATTCGCCACGGAAAAGCTAGCGACCGTTAGATTGCTTATTCTCGTAAGCCATAATAGAGCGAGACATACCTGAGACAGGAAAGAGACCTGGTTCCTCAACGCTTCGTAGGTGATACGCTGGTTGGTAGGGCCACCGCCTTGCTTGATCTTAGTGTACATAGCAACAGAGACCAAGGCTTCGGTGATAAAAAGATGAATGAGCATATTACGATAGAACGACAGTTGAAAACGGTCCACGGCATAATAGGTAGGCTCCGCTAGACCAGAAATCACGCCCACTAGCTTTGGACCCAGTACATCCAGAGCACGGTCGACGACCTGATCAGTGGGTGAGCGATAGAAGTGGGCAACTCGGCCACCCTTCGCCCTCACTCGGTCGCAAAGCCAGTCGAGCCGTCTGCATAGTTCACCCTTTCCGACACCACGGCCACGTAGTGTCAAAAGAACGGTCCCTACGAGGGCCGGCGGCATCATCACAGAAACATCGTTGATCTCGGAGAGTACGCGGTATCCCAAGGTTCGCAGAATACGACCCTTTTCAGTTTGGTTGACCTTCTTGTTGGCGTTCAAGTCGGATTGATCGAGTCGCGAAAGCTGTTGGTTGAGGAATTCGCGTAGACTCCAGGGTTCGTGGAACCGAACATCAACCCGGCCTAATTTCAGCGACAAGACCGAGGATGACGATAGGAAATCAGAAAGATTTTCCTTCTGTTTGGGCTGTCCCAAAAGTTCACTGATATAAGATCTAGAATGAGGTTAGTATAAACCAAAGAAAAAGCGAGGAAGAATGTTGAAAAGCGTACTCTGTCTCAATGACTTTGTCGTATTGCGTGCTGACTGGGCAGATAATTGTATCTTCAGTGCGGCCGGAAAGCACGCTGTCAACGATGAAGTTGAGGATTCCGAACTTAGGTGAGAGTAGTTTTCCCGTTCTGGAGCGACCACCTTCGATAAAGCACTCAAAGTTAAATCCTTGTTGAAGGAGGGTATCAATATAAGCTTGGACGACAGTGTGATATAGGGGATCATTTCCAAAGCTGCGTCGGATCCACATAGCGCCCGCATGTTGGAGGAAAGGGCCGAGCAATGGGATGTTTAGGTTGTCGCCTGCAACAACCACGGGAAGCCCGATTCCGAGTCGATAGCAGATCAACTGCAGCGAGACATAGTCCACGTGTGATTTGTGACAAGGGAGAAAGACAATCGATTGCTTTTTCTTGGCGGCTTCTTGGGCCACTGAGCGCAGACGGAGAACCTCCTCGCTTGAGACATGGATACCTTGGTGGTAGGCACGAGTCAGGAGCTGCGTACACATGTAGTATGCGCCTCGAATGAAACTCTTGCTTTCCATCTTGCAAATCATGTTGTCCATCATTCCATCCACCACCTCTCGGAGGTTGGTCTCAATTTCGTGTCTTCGGCGACCTCGTTTTTCGTCCAGCGTGTTGCCGTCTTTGATTGCCAATAGACCCTCCTTCTCCTCCGCTATGACACGAGTGCCCGCGAGCTCCCGGACCTTATCCTGGAGCATTGGGCTGCCCAGGATAAGTGATTTCATCTTTTCGGAGAACCCCGAATAAAAGACAGGTTGCCCGATCACATCGTCGTATGCGCGCCAGCCAGTGCCAGACATATACAGGCTAACCTCGCGGAGAAAGTCGAGGGGATTTTCACGGAATCGGGCCATATGATTGACGAGGTTGCGCTCGGTAATGGGCTCATCTTGAGTTCCAGGGCCACCAGTGAAGCCAGACGGGTGAATCGTTAACTGCTTACCCGCGATCTCCAAGTCCGGAGCGGAGTGGTCGTCACTGATGGCCGATTTAGGGGGGGGGCATGGCGTCGAAGGGGTGAGAGTGAGAACAAGCTGGCAGGTCAAAGTCATCCACGAATGAGGAAGGACATTGAGGGAGATGCGAATAAGAACAGAGAGATCCACTTGAAGGCGCAAGTCAGAGCCATAGCTCCTTAATTCCCAACAAACCCCAGATTGTGGCTCTGTCACGGGGACTTTGCCCCGGACGCAACCGAGGTTCCCACACTTCCCCGACCGCGGTGGTCCCGCTAGGGTGGGCAATAATGACCAGGAATGCAGGTCTTAGTCATATTAGTCATCAAATGTACAAGTCACCTGACCAGGTTCTAGAATAGTGGGTCCCATACTGAAGCTGGCCGGGAGTGACTACCTTACTTCAATCCTGACTAGGCTAGTATACTTCAACCATGTCTAGACTGGTCAATGGCGTGAGGTCGTTTTCTAGTGAGTGAAAACCGCATCGTTTACTCGCCCACATCCAATGAAGCTCACACTTCCCTAGCAACGGCCTCTAGCTTGCTAGCCGACGCATCCTCAGCTTCGCGATCGGTCGCTCAACCTTCTTCTTTCCAGGTCTTTCGCGATGTCCCTCCCCTCCGCCAATTGCGCCATCAGCTGTTGAAAAATGAACGCACTGTGGGATTCGTTCCGACCATGGGCGCGCTCCACGAAGGTCACCTTTCGCTGATCCGAGAAGCCGCCCGCGAGAACACCGACATCTTTGTTAGCATCTTTGTCAACCCTACACAATTCGGCGTGAATGAGGACCTATCAAGCTATCCACGCACATGGGACAGTGACGTGGAGAAGCTGGAGAAGCTCAATGACGAACTCGGCCGCGCAGGTGCGCCAGGAGCGGGACAAATCACTGCCATCTTTGCCCCAACCTCCAAGGTGATGTATCCGACTCTAGCTCCATCCTCGGAAATCGATGGTCAGGGTTCATTCGTCACGATCACACCACTCTCCTCAAAGTTAGAGGGGGGGTTCGCGACCTGTCTTCTTCCGTGGTGTCGCAACCGTCTGCATGAAGCTCTTCAACGCCACTACCCCGGACCGGGTATACTTCGGCCAGAAGGATGTACAGCAAACCGTTATTATCAAGCGGATGGTCCAGGACTTCCTTCTAGGCACAGAAGTTCGCATTATCAGTACCTCTCGCGAGGCGGATGGATTGGCACTAAGCTCCCGCAATGTCTACTTGGGCGACCGAAGACGTAATGTCGGCCTCACAATTTACAAGGCTCTCAGGGCTGCTGAGGATGCGTACCTATCGGGCAAAGCTAGCCGAGCGGACATCCTGGGTGCTGCCCGGAGCATTACCGATCGCGTGCTATCTGAACAGAAGGCACTTGCGCCTTCAGAAAGAGCCCTCTTCGAGGTTGATTATATCTCCCTTGCTGACCCCGATACTCTCGACGAGCTGGATCTCGTCGATTCCGCCAAGGGAGGTGTTCTGAGTGCCGCACTGAAGATGGCACCCCTAGAGGAGAACAAGCCCGGCGAGGATTGCGGATTGGGAGATGGTAAAGTCCCAGTGCGGCTCATCGACAATCTGATCCTCCAGCCCCGGGCTTGATGCTCGCTCTGAAAATCAAGCAGTTTACATAGATGCAAAAATGTCACCATACCATAGAATATATATCACTTTACACCGACAATCGTTCCAACTCGAAGGCTTTTCCAAGGTTGAGACTTGGATGATGTCTTCAACTTGAAGTTCAACCCCTTCAAATTGGAACTTGCAATTGATCTTGTCCATCACTGGCAAGAGATATACCTAGGTAGATACTAGGTACTATTCCTACAAATGTGATCCGAGTTCATGCTCCCTGGTTCAAGGAAAGACACCTGGGCAGTGAGATGCGGCACCGTGATGCTGAGACATCCATGGATGCTGTTAAAGTCAGAACCACCCAATATGGGCTGCTAATAAGTAAGACGTTAAAGAGCTTGAATCAGTCAATTCAATGATTATATGGGAGTCCGAATACTCCGACCGCCTTCCCTGACTGGTGTAGCTCCTAGTGTTTGCAGTGTTTGTAAGAAATCGCCTTTTCTGCCGGTGGGTCTTGACGGGAAAAAAAAGTCTCGATAGCAACATCTCTTCCTCATTCTCGCCTTACTGTCGGGTTTTGAAGTTGAACGATCTTTCAAAATGGCGGACGATGGTATGCTTCTGAACTTCGCGCTTGGCGACAGCGTCATCACGCAAGAGGCGAAATACAAGGGAGGAACATGGCGGGACCGACTCTCTGCGAAGAAGCGCTCGCAGCACCAACCTCAACCAGGCGAAGGCAAAGGTCCCCACCAGCCTAAGAACCCCAATCAAACACAGCTTGGTACGAGACCAGCAAAGCGACAAAGAACAACTGATTCGAACGAAGGAAGGGGCGGAGATGGTGGTCACCGATCGCGACCGCAGCAACAAGGACCGCGCCGACACCCCGGACAGTTTGCCTCTTCTCTATTCACCAGCAACCCCGAATCAACACATGTGGAAGAACCGAAGTCTGAAGAACCGATTCAAGATGCGAAGCCGACCAATGCGCCGTTAGTGGATGGATTGGATACTTTTACCAACTTGGGATTGTCGCCCAATCTGGCTGCGCATCTGCTCACAAAGCTGGAGTTGAAAGCACCTACCGCAATTCAAAAAGCTTCCGTCTCCCAACTCCTGAAAGAAGAAAGCGATGCCTTTATCCAAGCCGAGACTGGTTCCGGTAAAACTCTGGCTTATCTTCTGCCCCTGGTGCAACGGATCATGGCTCTCTCAAAGGCGACGAAGGAGGCAGGTGTTCATCGTGACAGTGGACTATTTGCTATCATTCTGGCTCCAACCCGTGAGTTGTGCAAGCAGATTTCAGTTGTTCTGGAAAATGTTCTACGATGCGCCAATTGGATAGTCTGCGGAACAGTTATTGGTGGAGAAAAGAAAAAGTCCGAAAAGGCTCGCCTGCGAAAAGGACTGAATATTCTGGTTGCCACGCCTGGCCGCTTGGCGGATCACTTGGACAATACAGAGGTCTTGGATGTCAGCAATGTCCGGTGGTTGGTTCTGGACGAGGGTGATCGCCTGATGGATTTGGGATTTGAGGAGGAGCTGCAAGGAATTGTCAAGAAATTGGATGCGAGACAACGACCGAGTCGAGTTCCCGGCGTACCCACACGCAGGACTACGGTCTTGTGCTCTGCTACCTTGAAGATGAACGTGCAACGGCTAGGCGAGATCAGTTTGAAGGATGCAGTTCATATCAAGGCCGACCCGACTGACGAGGACGGTGAAACGGACGGCAACAAAGATGATGAAGACTCATTCCGCGTCCCTGCTCAACTAAAGCAATCATACGCGGTTGTGCCATCTAAGCTGCGCCTGGTATCACTGACTGCATTCCTCAAACGAACATTTATTCGCAAGGGTTCAGTGATGAAAGCCATCGTCTTCGTCTCATGTGCCGACTCGGCAGACTTCCTCTTCGAAGTTTTCTCAAGAGAATTCGGAAAAAGAAAGGGAAGGAAGAACAAGGATGGAAATGACAGCGGTGACGAAGAAGACGAAAGTGACGAAGCCAAGGTTTTGAGTGAACGCGAAAAGATGTCCCCTCATGGTACTATCGCACCCGCCACTGCCTTCTCCAACTCATTAAATTCCGTGAGACTCCACCGTCTCCACGGCTCTCTACCCCAGCAAGTCCGAACAGCTACTCTCAAATCATTCTCTCGCAGCGACGATCCATCGGTCATGGTCTGTACCGATGTTGCCGCTCGTGGTCTGGATCTGCCAAATGTCGAACTGGTTATTGAGTATGACCCAGCCTTCAGCGCAGACGACCATACCCACCGAATCGGCCGTACCGCACGTCTCGGTCGTGATGGCCGGGCTTGTATTTTCCTGCAGCCCGGATGTGAGGAGAACTACGTGGAAATCTTGAAGCGTGGCTACCGCGATGGCGGCAAGGCACTCACTCGCACCGACGCGACAGAAATCCTCAAGCGCGGATTCGGCGTCAGTGTGGACTCTACTAGCAAAAATTGGGAGGAGAAGACTACGGATTGGCAAATGGACGTCGAGCGATGGGCCCTGGACAACCCCAAGTATCTGGAAATGGCCCGCCGCGGTTTCCAATCTCACATCCGTGCCTACGCAACCCACATCGCCACCGAGCGCAGCATGTTCGACATCAAGGAGCTTCACCTGGGCCATCTTGCCAAGAGTTTTGCTCTCCGTGATAGACCTGGCAAGATCAATGTCCCCGGTCTGCGTACCAGCAAGGAGGAAACGAAGAAGGATTTCAAAGCTTCCCGCAGCGGCGCCGCCGGTCAGAAGAGGAAGGCCGGTGCGGCTGATGATAACCCAGTTGCCTCTAGCACCGACGATGCGGCCCGAAGGATGCGTCAAAAGATGCGCGAGAACATGGCCGGAGCCAGCGAGTTCAATCTTGCTTAGAAAAGCGTATCTGTTTATATTTGTTCACGTTGCCCGGTATGTGGCGATGCATTATTGTACAAGAGCATTAGCATTTGTTTCAGTAGATATCCCATAATGAAACCTTTCCATCCTTGGAACCAACTGCCAGCCAGTGCGTTTGTTGTACTTTGAGATTCCGTTGGCTATGGACTGTAGCCAGTGATAAACTTTGCCCTTCTGCCGTGTCAGACGATGCTGGCTCAGTGACAGGGTCGACTTCTCCAAAGGCAACAGCATAACAACCATCCTTGTGCCACTTAAGAACAGCGAGCTCTTTCATTGTTTTCCCGGAGTACACCCTTACCCTGCTATCCCAACCAGCAGTTGCGAAGATCTTACCATCGCGACGAATACGTAATCCTTGTTGACCAGAGTGTTTCGTATTGATAGTTTTCAGCGGCAGATCTTCCCCATTCTTACCAATGGTGGGGTGTGTTGGTATGGGATGTTTAATGATCAGAGCATCAGCAGACGAAGAGAAGAAGCAATCGCGTGAAGGCGGGACATCGATAGAGAGAACAGGCTGGCTATGCGGGCGACTACCATAGATCTTTTCCCATTTCCATGGGTGGGAGGAGATGTGTTTGAGATCAAAACTCGCCGGGTCGATCGGGCCCCTTCGAACAAAGGCCATAACGTGGCCATCCTCGTATGCAGATGTCACATAGAGATCGCCCGATGGTGAGAAAAAGATTTCCACGCTCATGACCATTCCGGTTTTTATGGTGGGGTCAGACCGGATGGTGCAGAGGCGAAGTTCAGAGGGGAGATGAAAGATATCAATGCCCCCAGAGTCCAAAGCGTTAGGGACTGCAAATAAAATGTCGTTATTTTTTGGTTGATGTCGGGTTGAGTCATTATCGATGTCTTTTTGGGTGTGTTTATCGATGAAGGTCATCGAAAAAGCACAGAAGTTGAGTGCATTGACAGGGAGAGAGTGCAGCAGCCATGGTTTAGTCCCTTTGTCCTGTTGATTTGAGGCAGCTGCGTCGACCGGAAGCGTCTTGTCAAGAAACTTCTCATCCTCTTTTCGAAGCTTCCAAACACATAACTTGTGGTCGCGACCATGTCTATATCAAATATTCAGCAAGGCAGTTCCAAGTTCCAACGACACAGCATTCCGAATTGATTGCTAAACAGCACTCACGTGTATATCTCTGCCCCACCACCTTCAACAGCGAACCCCTTGGCTTCAAGAATAGCACCTTCATGCGCCTTCCAGACTGTCACTGGTCGTTTGGTGACTATATCCCAGACGACGATCCAGCCATCGGCATCGCCTGACACCAGCCGTAGGTTCTGGGAGAAGATGTACAGGGCATGGATGGGGGCCGCATGTCCGCGAAGAATGTAGACCGGTGTAGCTGCAGCTTGCTGAGATTGGCTCGTTACTTCAGCCATCCCCAATCAACTATTGATTCATTGGATAAATTTGTCTTGGTCGAGGTTCCGGTCTGGCGCCGTCGGCGGTGGATTATGCCACCGCTTTTCCGCCGGGCTATCAGAAGTATAGCCGTCACTCCGAGGCTGCCACGTAAAACCTAAAGTTTGAAGGTGTTACTGAGAAATATGCTGAAGAGGGCTAGGCTTAGTTCAAAACATTGAATACTAGTATTCCACTTTATAAACTTTAGAAGCAATTTTGTTTTCATGCGACAAGGATAGAAATACCCAGTTCTATTAGTACTGACACGATATCCTAAAAGTATGGCCGAGTGCCCAAAGGCGTCAACTTGAACTAGATAGAGGCAACTTCTGAATGTAAATTTACTACTATCAACTCCAGCCATGAAGTTTACATTTCTAAATTGAGACCGACTAGATACGCTCAGTAGACATGTTGGAATATAAATCCAAAGATTGAGGCCTAGGTGATGGGTCACCCAGCATTTCATTATTCATTTGCTCGTCGGGTATATTTTGAGAGTATTCATCAGAGCAGTGTGCTAGGCTCGGCAGACCAAGCCAAGATCCTAATATTTAATCAAAGTATATAAGACCCATACTGGTGGTATTGGTCAAGGGCATGGTGGGGAGGTATATAGAATCCTTGGTAAGGATGCTTCTCTGCCGAGAAATCACTCACGCCCAGTAGCGGATTTGAGAGATGCGAGGAAATCTCAGGGCCGTTGGATATTTTCTGATCTAGCTCGTGATATGGACTGTTATGCATCTGCATAGGATCCACTGTTTCGTGGGGCGGAGGGGGCCAGCCCCAGTGCTGCCGTAGGTCGTTCCCAATAGATTGTGTCGACCAAACAGTGTCTTTGGCTGTTGTATTCAAGATGCGAAGCGCCTCCTCTTGGGCTTCCTGAGACTCGAGGCTTTCTGCTGCGATTGCAAGACAGCGGATTGATATGTTGGCCAGACCACGATCCTTGAGGCCGACAGCAAGGCCGCAGATATCATACGCATGAGCCCGTTGCATTTCCTTCATCTCCGCACGGAAATCCGGCTCCATTGGATGGGTTCTTGCCAAAAGAATGCGAGCTGTATAGTAGAAATACTGCGCAATGATAGCGGGTCGCTTGGTCATCCTAGGGAGTAATTAGCAAGTGAAGGTTAAGCGCTGAAAGGCAAAGAAAGCTTACCAGATGGTCGGAAATACCGACTGCGTGTTACTAGGCCATGGCTGGACGTGGCCAAGAGGTTGCATCGACGGCGGGGCATTTTTAGCCCACTGATCACACCAACTATTGTAGTGTCCCCAGTCTTGCAACTTCTGGCTCAATTGGCCCATATGAGCATCTGTCCCGCTAGGGGATTGCTGGTTCTGGCTCTGTAATCGGAAATTCGAAATTTTGCCACAGATATAAAGGATTCGGTGAAGCCAGAGCTCCTCTGATTTGGGAAAATGATGCATATTGTCTATATGCATATCAACCCCCCCAAGTGTCTGGATCCCATGAAAGAGACCAGCCATAATGCAAACAGCTTAGCAGCTCCATGCTAGTATTAATCCAGAAGCAGGCACCCCCCAGTCCGGGTGTCTTCGCGTTCCAACCGCATTCACGGATCAGAGCTCTTGATCCTGTCGTATGGTCGATCTTGGGTGCCGATTGCGAGGGAATCAACTCATATATACTCAGAACCAGTGCAGCCGCTGCACATAAAACCGAATCGCGATTAGGATCTTGTATCAAGCTCACGAGGTCTTGTGTCGCCATCTCATAATAGCGAGTTCCCTTTTCATCCCCGTAGGAGGGATTGACGACTGAAAGATGCCGAGCACCACAAGCCAAGAAAGCTTTTAGTAGCATTGGCTCATCAACAGTATAGTATGGTAAAGTCTGCGAAAACTGTATGAAAAATTAGCAGAGTCTCTTGTAGTAGCTTTTAAAGGTGACATACGTGTCGCATTGAATCCATAGACTCCATCCAAGGAGCGACCTCTTCAACAAATGTTTGCAGGAGGAATATCTGTTCGGGGTCGCTCAGCGACGAAGAACTATACTGCTTCATGGCGAGCTTTCGCGCAAAATTGGATGTCCCATGCGGAAGCAGCTCATCACCAGGCACGATATGGGGCTCGTGCCACGTATCGGGGCCAACTATAAAGTCGTGCGGGACATCAAATCCGGTCGGGTCGAACGAATGGGCTACGGATTGGAACAGACTTGTTAGATAGTCCGTGCCCAAAGCATTGAGTGCATCGTGGTGCAAAAGCTGGCGATCCTGAACGGGACTCTCCGGCTGAGGAGGAGGATATCTTTCAAAGCCGCCGACATACTCGGATGCGATGAAACGCGAGTCGTCTCTGAACGTCACTTTAGCACCTTTGGGTCGATCAATGATATGTGGCGGAGCGACCGTCTGAATATCGATAAAGTTCAGGCGGACACCACGAGTACATATCCTATCCGATTTTCGACAATTCAAACACCGACCCAAGGCCTCATCGCATTTGAGGTGTCTCTTCCGGCAAGTGAGACACCCTGTTCGAACCCTCTTCGCCTTCGTATCTGACAAGTCGGATTTCTTGCGATTGGTGCCAGCGGCGCGAGGGGAATTGCCCTTCTGGCTTTTGGGGGTCGACGTTGTCGAGTCAACTCTCGGTGACTGCGATTCGGAATTGGCGCGAGTAGTGAGATTCATTTTGTCCTGTCAAGTATTTTACTTGCCCTATCCCCTCTTTCTGTTCTAGCCACCAGGGCCAACCGGGGCAGACAACCGCCAGTTTGATCGAAGGCTTCCGAATTCACAAAATCTTGATGGCGACTGTGGTCGAATGGCCATGTTCGCTGCTGGGGCGTGGGGCTGGTTCCAGATCCGACAGTCGGAATGTTGAATAGCACGAGATGGTCGCAAAGCGATTCCGATGTCTTTTGACAATTACTCTTTGTACAAGCGAGTCAAAGGCGGAGGCGGAGGAGGGGCAAAGCAAGGAGTTCGGAAGTCTGGAGTACCGTGATGTCAACTCAGGGCCAATCGGACAAGTAAATCGCAGTTATCATTGCCTCTCGGTGAAAGGCTGGATCAAACGTGGGTAGATGGCCCTTTTTGAGTGGGCTAGAATGCAGATGTGTCAAAGAGGATCGGCCTGGCAATTCAACGCGGAGGTTCTTGAGGGAAAAGTGGGACCGGGGCAAATCTAGGAAGCCCCTGATTGGCCAGTGAATTTCAAGTTGTTACAATAGAGCGAGTATCTCAACCTCCAGGAATGTTCTTGAACCTTTTGAACGGTCAGCTTGATTATCATTCCTATAATTGATGATCAAGATGGACGTTGCACTCTTCTCTTATCCCTCTCAGTGACGAAGCTGGGGAGGACCCAATTCACTACATTGTAACAGTACTTCAAGTTAAGGGCTGATTTATCTATGTCACTTGCCTATTCTAGTGGGGACTGGTTAACTGACAGTACCTAGTACTGACTATGTCTGGAATGTTGGATAATCTCGCAGACGCCCGGGGGTGACATGTGGTCTACTAGTCACCTCGATTCTCAGGTTGATAGAGCCTCACTAGTAGTCCACGGCGTAACAGCGGAGTTAGTTACCACTAGTAGCTGCGCATTTCTCACATGCCAGGCCCCACACGTTTTGATTATATTTCCAAAGTTGGTTTTGTATCTCGGTTGATGGAGACTGCCATAGCACTCAAGATGCATGGCCAGTGTGAATATTTAAGCCTTACTGCCAAGTCGGGGCAAACGAAGGCGGGAATGCAGTATCAGCATGATGGCACCCCAGAGGGCTGCGGATAGAAAGGTTGCACGAAGGGCAGTCGCATATGATCCGATAACTATCTAGCCATTAGTTAACGGATCACGGAATGAGTAAAATAGAAGAATGCGAACCTTGATGTTGGTGCAATGGGTCAAGACTGGAAATAGCTCGGATCGACTTGCGGACGAGGGCAATGATATGGTCTTTTTCCACACCCTTCACGTTACGTTCAAGTTGGTAGTAGAGGACATTTTGAAATATCCAACTACTAATAGACACGCCCATCACGGCTCCAAGGTTCCGTGCTAGACCGAGAGTTGTAGTAGCGATAGCCTGGTCATCCTGCTCGCTTGTAGCCAGCACTGATACCATCACCGAAGGGAAGGAAAAGCCTTGTCCGAGGCTAGAGAACGACACACAGATCATAGCTAGCGCATAGGGTGTGTGCATGTTGAGGGATGCGGCGGTACATCCGCCCAACAACATACAGAAGCCGCCAAGGATAATGGTTGGCTTCATCCGTTTCGACCAGGTGATCAAGAACCCAGTTCCGACACTCGAAGCAGTGATAGCAATGGATGCTGCCACTAATCGCAAGCCTGAGTCTGTGGGGCTAGCCAGCTTGACCGCTTGGAAGTAAAGAGGGACATTGAACATGACCGTATTGACTGAAATAGCACCGAAGAAATTGCCGATAATGAGACTAGCCCGGGGATTCTTGGAGAGGAGTTCTATCGGAAGAACTGCGCGTGGTACCCCGCGCTCGTATCTGACAAGAACAATACCCAGGAGCACAGCTGCGACTAGAGAGCCGATAACCAGAGGATGTTCCCAGGGAAAGACATTACCACCCAGATTCAACCCCATGATCAGAGCTGTCACTGCTGTAGCCAGGATGAATGCACCGGTCAAGTCGATGCTGCGGATCAATTGTACCACTGTCATTCGCTCCGAGTTGATGGCTCGTTTGACGCCGAGGTCCGCTGGGATGGTACTTGCTGCGGTGATGAAATATACAAAGATGAAGGGAAGTTGGATGAAGAATGCACCACGCCATCCGATATTATCACAGAGGTACCCACCAAAAGCAAGGCCCAAGCAACTACCGGTACCATAGCACAGGTTGATGTAAGATTGGTAAACACCGCGGTATTCGATGCGGACTAGATCGCTGGATATGACTTGGCCCATGGAGAACACACCCCCAGCGCCAAGGCCACAGAGGGCTCGAGCAGCAATAAAGCTGCCGATATTTTGGGCCAGTCCGCACCAAGCTGTTGTCAGGAAGAACATTGCGATGGAGAATAGGTACACGGGCTTCCGGCCGAAGGCATCGGAGATGCGTCCGAAGAGTGGTAGGAAGGCTGTAGAGGTGAGCAGGAATGCAGTTGATAGCCATGAAGCAGTGTTTGCGGCATTGAAGTAGGAGGTAATAACGGGGTGGCTCGATGCCATCAAAGTGGAGTCGAAGAAGCCGATCAGATATCCGATGAGGACGCCGACGAAAATAAGCCAGAACCGAGCTGGCGATACATCGATGAATCGAGCAGCATAGCTATCTTCCTCTTCTTCCTCTGGGATTGGATCTGCATCGCCGGTAGAGGCATTGTTCTTTTTCACAGAAGCTGAACCGCGCGAGGAGAATCGTTCCAAGTCGGGCTCGATGTCCAGCCCTTCTGCCGAAGTCACCCGGACCAGACCGAGGGCATTGATCTGTTCTTGCGTTTCATCGATCGAATTATTGCTTTCAACATTTGTGCTGCGACTGGCCACTCTGTGATAGTGGGTGCTTTGGTGAGATTCTGATACTGTTGACTCATGTCGCAATAGCGGAGTGGCTTCTGACGGGTCGGTTTCCCGGTTTCTGGAAGTCATTGTCGGGTGGCGTCAAGTCCACAAGATCCCATGTCCCGTGGGCAGGGAGGGCAAAGAAAAATAACAAGGGCTAAGCCAGGGAAATCGCTGCGATGACTGGTCTCGGCGCAATGAAGAATGTGGTACAAAGGGGAAGAATCAATTTGGCGGGGTTTTGGGTGGAAATGGATTTTTAAGCAGCAACACGAACAAGTTGCATGAACTCCAAGGTCGAGCACATGGAGCGGGCGAACCAGTGATCAGCTTAATGCATGTAGACTCTCGGTAGATCGTCTCGACAAGCCACTCGTTATATGAAGGGGAAGTGGCTGCCAATTACCTTAAGGTAAACCTGCCTCGAAAGGGAGAAGTGGGGAGTCGGCGATAAACGATAAGCGGCAAGTTGGAGACTTTCCGATCCGTTGGAGTCATTGGTGACTTCGCCTCAGACACTCGCCTGCTGTTCATCTCCCTATCTTCGCCTGTCCGAGACAGTCCTGCGAATTCTTTCCGTCTCGACCATCTTATAAGCAAATCAACCGAAAGAATGCGCGCCCCCCTTCGGATTGCCGTGCTGGAAGCCGATACCCCAATACCCCCCATCAACGACCTATACGGTGGCTATGGAGGGGTCTTCACATCGCTTTTGAAATCTAGCGCAAAGGCTCTCAATAAGCCCGAACAGCTGGATCCGGAAAACGGACTAGTAATTACGAAGTGGGACGTTGTCGGCGGCACAGAATACCCAAAGTTGGAGGATATTGATGCCGTGCTTGTGTCTGGGTCAAGTACGCCCCCCACCCTTATGGGAAATCATGGGATGCATATGCAATGCAACATGCAAAGTATTTCACGGGTGGTATGTGAACGGTAATGACTGATGTTTGATTCTCAAACACAGAACATAACTCCTACGAAGATATCCCTTGGATCAACCGCCTCGTCGAATTCACCCAACAAGTCCTCGCCCAAGATCGAGTCCGCATCGTCGGAGTCTGCTTCGGGCATCAAATTCTAGGTCGCGCGCTAGGAGTCAAAGTCGGAAAAAGCGATCAGGGCTGGGAGATTGCCGTCTGTGACATGGAGTTGACCGAGAAAGGCAAGGAAGTGTTCGGACTGGAGAAAATCGTACGTGATGTATTCCATTCCGGCACATGCACAATACAAAACAACATCAATACAAATTTGCACATAGGCTGACTTATGAAACTCATCCTCATAATATTACAGCGCATCCACCAAATGCATAAGGATATAGTGCACAGTTTACCTGAGGGTGTCACCCTCCTAGGCCATTCACCCCAGTGCGCGATCCAGGGCATGTACTCCCCGCGCCGTTTTATCAGTGTTCAGGGACACCCTGAATTTACGGGTTGGATGGAGACTGAAATCATTGGACTCCGGGCTAAAACGGGTGTCTTTGGTGAGGACCAAGCGCAGGACGGCCTCAGCAGAGTCAACAATGAACACGATGGTGTTGCGATCGGAACGACTTTCCTGAAGTTCCTACTGGAGGAATAAGCTTCTGCCTGTATGTGGAGTTGCAGCTGTATTTGTCTGGCCAGCTGCTTGTATATAGCACGTTCGATTATAGATACGAGAGGCCGACTACGCTTATAGACCGTTGTCGGCTAAGACTAGGTTGCGGCAATAGATGATGCAAACGCTACAAGCCCATGAAAACAGAATGGAATTAATTCCGTAATATTGTAGTGTTTAAAATAGGGTTGGGCCGATCGTGTTACACAAATGCAACCTGTCGAGACCTCTACTACGCGGTGTGACAAGTCACCCTGCACGGAGACCCGACAGTCTCAGAAACACCCGACCTCGGGAGTCAGAGATAATCATAAAACAGAATACAAGACGGAAGTACACAAGTAAGAATTCAGTAGGTAACCGATCCGGAGATCTGGCACCAGGAAAATATCCGATTGGATGCGAGAAAATGCTCGCGCAATCCTCAACATCAGCAAATAATGTCTAAGTTAAGTAGTTCTTCTCGAATCTCGCTGAGCAAATGCACGTCGTGAGCCATTGAGGAAAAATGCGCCAGGCATTTCCTCTTCCATGCAAAATAAAGTCAAAACGCCACCGCAGCCAACCTGGCTGTTGTTCCATATGGCCATGCATGTGTGCCAAAAAAAAAGGAGAAGGAGATCCAAGGTTCCAGCAAGTTGAAAATGCTTTCCACGCCAACGCCTTCACAATGCAAATAGATCGCTTCAAATAAAGATGGGAATATAGGTTCGGAAGAAAGGGGGAAGATAGGAGTAAACGCGCTGCGACTCGGAAGTGAAATCCCATCGCAGCTACGCGGGTCGAGGTTTTGAAAGACGGCCACTTCGACGAGGGGCCCTGCCTGTGGCAGATTCGGATGTTTCTGAGGCGCTCTCGTCTGGTGTAGAGTCTGACTCCTTTAGTTTTTCGGCGTCTGATTTCATCTATGATGTGAAGTCAGTGACAGGTACCGTGAAAATACTAGCAGAGTAGACTAACTCGAAGATTCAAAGAGACGACCTCGTTCTGGTCGTCTCGGAAAGATATGCCAACGCCCAAGGTCAACTTTGAGACCATGCGTTTCTTGGGTCGACCTCGGCGTATGGCTGGACGTGGTTCATCTGAGTCATCGCCGCTGTCTTCGGCAGATCTTTTGCTGCCTGTGCTGAAAGGAGATGACTCTCGTGACATCTGGACACTCGAGTTGAAACTCTGAGCCGGGGCGACTTGTTTGTCTGTGGGGGTGTCCAGCAGAGCGGCAAAAGCCCGGTCAATGTCACCACGGCACTTTTGAAGCATATCTACAATGGTGTCGCGATCATATCGGCCGCCAAGTCCATCTTGAATGGATTGTATATCCCAAGGAGGGTAGACGTCAACAGCTAAGCCGGGGTCGTCTGTAGAGTCAGTGGGCGCAAGGTGGGCGCCCTGGGGAATAAAATTGTCCTTATCAAGAGCTGCCTCTTTAATGTCGGACGAAACTTTCTCTTTACAATCATCGACGTGAGTATATTGGGGATGGGAGGGTAGGTCGGGCGACTGGTCGCCTCTGGAGATCTCAAAGAGGCCCTTGTGGGATCTGTCTAGAGGCCGGACTGAGGAATAGTGTTTAAAATCCTAAGCGTGAGGTTAGCTCGGAGCTGAGAAATATAAGACGAAACGATAGTCCTACGTGGAACGCAACGTGGATCACGTCACGATGTTCCTGGGGTGAAGCATTCACGTCTCGGAATGCTTGCACACCATCCATCGTGTAAACATTGATGTCCACTTGGTAAACTTGACAGAAAGCTTGAAGGCTCTCGGAGCTGCCCCATTCTCCATTTTTCCGAGTTGTAGCTACCATTTCCTCGAACCGACGCTCCTTGTCCTCGTCGGAAGGAGCTGTCACATCGGCGGAACGCGTAGCGTATGCGGACACAGCGGCTCGTTTGGGACGACGGCGTTCACCACCCTCAGCCACCACAAATTGCATGAAGTATCTTTTGTGGGTTGTCATATGGTCGGCTAGTAGCTGGCGGATCTCGTCGCCGTGGTCGAAGTTTCCGTATAATTGGTCGGAGAGGGAGTAGTAAAGACAATTTCCTACATTCGACGCGTCAGGGACCAATTATTTTAGGAAATTGAAGCTAGTCATTTGAGGATAACATGCTAATCTCTTTTGTCATAGAAACTGCAGGTTGATCTTACCGTCACCTTCTGTTGGTAAAGCGAATAAACCGTGTTCTTTTAAGCAGGGCATTTCCAAGCTTTCCAGGTCGATGGATTTCTTATGTCGGGTGGGCGAAGGATCTTGTCGGATGGGCGGAGCATTTTGTTGCTGGTCCAGCAGCGAAATCTGGCCAGTGGTCTGGGGAAGAGGATACTCTGCTAGTAGATCTGTGTTGAGGGTGGAGTCGGGGTGATGTTGTTCGTGTGCCGCAAGTATGGGCACAATTCTGCCACCATTTGCGAGAAGTGACATAGTAAGTGAGGCCCTTCCCGGGATGAGGGCGGCATCTATGAGGGGGGGAAATCCGGGCAGAGGGGAAAAAGTGAAGAGGAAGATAAAGTAGAAGAAAGAAAAGCCAAGGACAGAAAACAGAGAACAAGGAACCCGCAGAGTGGAGGAGCCCTGCGGGTGCCGATGGATAAAAAGGAAAACGATGTTGGTACTAGGCCAGATTTGCCTGGCGAGAAAAAGTTTGGGGCGGTCCAGCTTTGTGCCTTCTCTGGTTGGCTGCACGTGAGCCCTTACCCACTATGACATCGCTCAATAGGGTACGTACTAGACCTGATTCGGTTTCCACGTATACTTTGTCTGAAGTATACTAGTACTAATAGCTATACTAGGGTACTATCTACAGAGTATATAGTAATTATTTGGTACTCTGTAATTCTTGAGTCATTCTCATTGCTCGCCCACCCCTGAACTCTGGAAATGTGATCCATATATTCCTAGGGATACGGTGGAGCCCACTGGAGTCCGCGGGTCGTTACGGAGAGGCCCTTGCAGTCGAGGCGGTGGAGGGTACAGTTTCTAAGCACACTATTGACTGCTGCTGACTGTATTCGTAAATCTCGAAAGCTCTATAATTACAGTTACATTTGTATGGTTATAGTTATAGTTATAGTTATAATAGACCTTATTTACAAAGAAATATTTAACAGAAGTCATGCAAAACCATGACATTCCCTCACTTATAAACCCAACTTGTTAATACAGAAATCAACCCCTCAGATGCGGAGGCGTTTTGGGATCGTATGACTCCGCGTCTCCACTGTGAAAAATTCAGCGCGTTAAACCGAATTACCACATCTGATTGGCCCCTAGCCACACCGCCGCCGCTGGAAATAGTAATCGGCGGCCCGGGTCGTACAGAGGCGTAATTTACCCCGACCAGCTCCATTTCTCTTATCAAAGGGTATGCTCGATAGCGGAGATTGTCTTGACTCCTCCTCTGGGGCACCCCCGCTTCCTACCCTTACGCAATACTTCACCGTTGAGTCATTAGACCTGCAATTGCTTGTTAAGAGTCCCCAGACGCCACATTCAGAGGTTCAAATATAATCACTCCGCACAGTCCGAATTGGATTCCCCGCAAAAATGCCAAACATCGTTGTTTTGGGGTAAGTTCTGAACGCCCCGCTTTGATGGGATGCATTTGATGCACCGTATAGAAGGCGTTAGTTGTGACTAACATTTCTTTCAGTGCTGGTGTCTCTGGCCTGACAACCGCCTACCTTCTCTCAAAGGATCCAGCGAATAAGATCACCGTTCTGGCTAAGCACATGCCCGGTGACTATGATATTGAATATGCTTCTCCCTGGGCCGGTGCCAATTACATGCCGTACGCCAAACAACCCCTGAACTCGACAACCTTTCATTGACAATTCTCCTTTTCAACAGAGTGGGCAAGCAGGGAACTGATCATGAACGCTGGGAGCGAGAGACCTGGCCCTACCTGAAGGAAATCACAGAGAAGTACCCGGAGGCGGGAATTCACTTCCTCGGTATGTGAAGTACGTCGACTGGCTTGACTCTCGCTATTCTAACAGGAATCCAGGCACTCTTATCTACAACCGTAAGAAAGATCAGGAGTCGGATACCGGCAAATGGTTTGCGGAATTGACCCAGCCAGACCCCTGGTACAAAGACGTTGTGCCTGATGTATGTCAATGTCGGGCCGATGAAAATATAGACATAAGCTGACAAATTGTTTAGTTCAAACCGATTCCTAACGAGAAGCTGGCCCCGGGGGTTGATAATGCCCAGGAATTCACGTCTGTCTGTATTAATACGGCCGTCTACCTGCCCTGGCTCGTCGGCCAGTGCGTCAGATCCGGAGCGGTCGTCAAGCGTGCTGTAATCAAACACATTGCCGATGCTGCAAACGAACATCATACCGGCCAAAAGGCCGATCTAATTGTTAACTGCACTGGTCTCTCGGCCAAGACCCTCGGAGGCGTCATGGACAGCAAGATGCACCCTGCTCGGGGTCAGATCGTAGTTGTCCGCAATGATCCCGGTCCCATGGCTTCTGTGTCCGGGACAGATGATGGAGAGACCGAGTGCCTGTACATTATGACCCGTGCTGCAGGTATGAGCATTCGACCCTTCGACCTTAGGAATGAACTAACTAAATAAACTATCTTAGGTGGTGGCACTATCCTGGGAGGTTCTTATCAGAAGCACAACTGGGATCCCCTGCCAGACCCAAATCTCGCCAATCGAATTATGAAGCGTGCTATCGCGTTGGATCCTTCTCTGGTCAAGCCTGGTCAGGGCATCGAGGGTCTTGATATCATCCGACATGGCGTTGGCTTGCGACCTTTGCGCGAGGGTGGCACTCGCATTGAGAAGGATGAAGTCAATGGTGTCAAGGTCGTTCATAACTATGGCCATGGTGGGTTCGGATACCAAGCTTCCTTTGGTTGTTCGGTAGAGGCTGTGGCGCTGGTCAAGGAGGCGCTTCAGAGCGGACCCCGAGCCAAGCTCTGAGTGTAGCCTGGAAAACTACTCTCTCGCGTAGAATTTCATGGTAGCATACGTTCATTACAAAATGTGACGTCAGTCTTGGATTATGTGATAGTACAGTATCGATATAGTATATAGTAATTGTATTGAAACGCTATTGAAACGCCTTTGAACTACTTTATCAAGGTCGCCTTCGGGTTTTTGTACCTATTCGACTCTGTTTCTTCAAGCCTGACCACTAAACAAGCACTACTAGTTGAATACTAGTACCGACACCACTATTATTAAGCCAAAATTCAATATGCCACGCAAAGATTTGAACGATATGTCCATCCGAATCAAAAAGGTGGCCAACGAATTCGGTAACAGTCCACTGGGTAAATCGCCACTTGCCAAACAGCCTTTGGTGGCTACACCGTCGACAATCCTTGCTATGGTGATGGATGCAATGATCAAGTCCAAGCCGATATCCCATGATATCTCGCAAAAGACCATGAATCATCTCATCGAAGCTGGTTATCATGATATTGACAAGCTTCACAAGAGTACATGGGAGGAACGAACAGAGGTTCTCCGCGAGGGAGGATATAATCGATATCGAGAACAATCTGCAACGAATCTCGGCAATCTAGCTCAGTTCGTGATGGATAAATACGGTATGTTACTACTAATTTGTTGGTTAAACTGGAGTATTTCAAGCTCTTTCTTACCCTTTAAAAACCCACCTGATCCACTTGCTGAAAGAAACTTGAATTCTAATCGATCTTTACGTAGACGGCGATCTCAACAACCTACTCAAGAGAGCTCATGGGCGGAGAGAAAAAGACGCGACCTTTGATCAAAGAGATCAAAGGAATCGGTGAATTGGCCGTGGAATTGTTTTTTGACAATGTCCAGAGTGTCTGGCCTTCTATCGCCCCATTTGTCGACTCCCGTAGCCTTCAAACGGCCGAAGAGGTGGGGATTGGTGCCAACATGCAGGCAGTATACAGCGCACTGGATCAAGACCCCAAGCAGATGAGTTGGTTTGTCAACGGACTGTCATCTGTGCGTCTGGAGAAGAAACAGTTTGCTATAGAGAGCACGTAGGCCGGAGATATCTACAAAACTCGGTGTTTATGGTAGATGAATATCCACACTACTCCGTACATACGTAACAACCATAGTCTCCATGTATCCGCACATGCTAAGAATAGTAAGAGTATTCGTACATCAATCCCCTTTTGGTTCAGCCACACCGGATCACGTGAGGTCCAGCCACCGGGCTTGGCGGACCCGCCGCTTGCGACAGCCAGCTCTCCATCCCCCATCTACCGCGCCCCTGTTCTTCGTGCATTATTAACAGCTGTTTCTTCTTCTTGACCTCATTTCTCTGTCATCAAAGCTACATATTTGGTCGCTCCTTTGGTCCCAGACAAGCACAGGTATGTTTGAAGCTGAGCTTCGCCCCCTCGGGGTCGACTCCGCCCCCGACATCGCCAGCTGTGGCACTGTTTCAACCCCATCCTCCCGTCAGTGCCTGTGAACTAACGACTAAACTAGCGAACCTACCGACTACCCCATACCCTTCCATCTCGCCTTATCTTCCTCATCGACAGTCTACCGACCTCAGCGACGTTGACCCTAGACCACGGACTACCCAGACCCTGTTGATCAAGGGGAACCCGACAAGCAATACCTTCACAATGGATTTCTCCAACATCTTGTATGTTTCATCCGTCCTCGTCACTTGGTCTGGTCTTCTTGCCGAAGATACTGTCCGACGTTGAAGGGTAGCGCTAATCATGTCAACAGTCGCCTCGTGAACATCGCGATCGGCGTGGTTATGGTGCTGGGCGGTATTAGCCAGTTCTTCCCCATTTCCATGAGCTCCATTATCGTTGGTATCTATGTGATGATCTTTGGTGCTGGTATGTTTATGACGATGTCGCATCGATGACAGATCTCTCGCATTGTTTGTTGATAGGTACTAATGTTGCCGCAGTTGTCGCCGGTCTGGAGTTCCTCCCCAACGTCCCCGACTACGCCTACCGTTACGCCTCCTTCCTGTTCTCCTTCCTGGGCCGCGGTGTCTGTAAGTTATTGCTATGAAAACCTACTCCTCACGCCGTCGTTAACCGACTCCTTCCTCTTCAGTCTACATCTTCGTTGGCTGCATCATTCTGCACGGCCACATCCTCCGCGAGATCGCCGCCTCCATCGTCGGTATCACTGGTATCGCCTACGTGGTGCTGGAGTTCATCCCCTCCATTGAGCCTCCCTCCAACATGCGCGAGTCCGATCAGGGCTGGGGTGCTGAGCAGGTCTAAGTGTTTGCGACACTGCGAACAACGCCGATGATTGCTGCCTACAGCTATTACGTGGCGCTAAACCCGAAGATGGTGGCGCTCGGACTGATGCCTGGAGGTCAATCATCAGTGTGATATATGACAGTTGATGAGGACAATGAGTGAGCAAGCTAGGGTATTTCATCATCGGTGGATACATTGGTGCAAGCGTGTGCCTCGCCAAGTTTTTTTTTTTTTGGAAGAAGCTTATGATGTACTCTTTCTGTGGGGTCCTCTATACGGCCTCGAAATTTCCTTTTCTATTATTTTTTTTCCCTCTGCCAGTCTTGTTATTCTTTTATCATGGCTTGTATTGATACCTGAACAGAGATACTGTCCTGCCTAGAACGTTTTTTTTTTTCTTTTTTTTTCGTTTCTGTACTATAAAGTGTAGGCCTTGTGGCCTGCATCCAATACTACATGGATATGAATATGAACGGCAGGTTGTGGCCAATGGCCAGTGGCGTAAAACATTAGCAATTTCCATCCAAAGTGGAACTCAGTTATCAAGCGAAGAAGAGAGAAAAGAAAAGTACGAACGGCGGCTCGGTTACAAACCGAAGACTGTGATTCGGTGAAAGGGCCCCATTTGGGAGGTACCTTAATAATCCCATTCGCCTCTTTGGGGAGAAGCACCTCGGCATTTTATTACGAGCAAACAATAATTTGCACCCTGGAAGGGCCTGAGAGGGCCTAAGGGCCAAAGAACCTGAGGAACGAGGCTCGGATGGAGCCTTCCGTGGTGCCGGGTACCCAATCATATCCACGGGATTGCTGCTGACGCCACGCATCAGCCAATGATAAACCGTAGAAAGCTGATTGCCTGCGCAAAGGCCCGCTCAGCGTCTTACTTGGGAAGGTGCCGGATGGTCGTTGCCCCCCCTAAACTTCATCAGGTTTCGGTGGAGTCATTTTGGATCTGGGGACTGTCAATTCTCGATCGATAGAGATGTCTTGGGAAAAAAAGCAAAAAGTGAAGAAACTGTCAGATAGAGAAATCGAACGCCAAAGGGAAGGGCGGGGAGGGGTAGAATAAGCTGAAACGCCCAGAAAAGATTAGATGAGATAGTGAAATGATGCGATTAGCCCGATAATAGATTGATACCGGGCGATCCCCCCTTCGTAGATCGATAAACCTTCCCCGTCATTGGGTTCCATCTTCTTCTCCCCTGCCGATTCTTCTACTCAATCTCCCATCAGCCCACCTCTTCTTTCTTCCTCTATCCCTCCTCTACACCATCTTTCCTCTCTCTCTCCCTGTCCTCCCTCCTTGCCTGCCGTTATCAGTCAATCCTCCTCCGCATTGTGCACATTCGCATTCGCATTCGCCTCCTCACCATCCTCCTCCTCCACCTCCACCCCCCTTCACACCGGCTGTCCCGCTGGGATCATCATTCTGCAGGCCCTAACGACTTGGTCCAGTCCTAGTTTCGTTAGCTCGCACATCGGCCGGTATCCCCGAGGACATCTCCCCACAGCGCCAAGTCAGACCAGGCGTTCTTGCTTTGCTGTCACCTGTCGCAATCGCCCATCACCTGACCACTCCCGGCACTTTGGGACGCCACTTTCTTTGATATCGCTGCCCTCATCTTTCCTTTTTCCCCCAAGGCTGTGACTGTGTCGATCCCTGGTCTCGCCTCTATCCTCCCAGGCCTGCTGTGCCCCTCCGCCTTCACCCCCCTTTGAACCACCATTCAGATCCCAGTCTTCTGTGCCCTGCCCTGGCCCGCCTCCCTACAGGAAAACAGACATTACGGCCCGCTGACCGACATTTGGCCTTTGTTTGGTGCCATACCCTGTGTGCGTGCAGACTGACGTGCGTGATACGGTGAAATTCGGCTCTAGACTGCAGTGCGACATACCCCTTCTCCCTCCCGGCATCCAACATACCATCTTCTTCTCTCCGCTCCTACCGCTTTGTTCCTGGATCCTGCTCCCCCACAATCGGTTCGCCTGTCCTTCCTCTCGGGTTCCGAGCCAAAAGATTGGCCGACCATACCTTGGCCCTCCCGCAGTGAAGGTGGTAATGTTAGCATCCATTTCACAAATGGAAACGGTGCGCTCTTTCCCCGGCACCTCTGGTGGCTCCATGCGACAACCCTCCGCAGAGGATCTAGATGCTGCTCAGCAGCTGATCTCTTCCGCACAGGCTGGTCGCGAACATCTAGCTCGGCAGTATGGCGATTCTACTCCGATCAAGGGCACGACGAGTCCACCCCCAAATGGACCACCATCGGCATCTGGATATTCAGCCGATGGGAGATCAGATAGTCAGCCCCCGGGCAAAACCTCTCCCAAGTCTCAGAAGGACACAAGCTTTCTGGGACATTCCTGCAGGTGCGTTCCCTCCTCAATCATTTGCTCAATTGCTCAAAGGATGTGCCAAGAAACTGACAGATGTATAGCAATTGCGGAACCAAAAACACTCCACTTTGGCGTCGATCTCCAACAGGTGCGATGATTTGTAATGCATGTGGTCTCTACCTCAAGGCTCGCAATGTGGCTCGCCCGACAAAACGAAACCGTGCCCAGCAAAATACGGAACCCGATAAGCTCAACGCCCCCTTCCTCAAGCCGACACGACCACATCATCAGGAGGCGGCTGCAAAGGCTCCTGCCCCGGTGGTGGAAGTTGCAATGGTACTGGAGGTGCGGAAGGATGCGATGGCTGTCCAGCATACAACAATCGTATCTACAAGTCCTCTCAACGAGGGACTCCTGCCATCCAACCCCAATGGGGTCGCGTCCCAGAGACAGAAATTCTTCCTGCGCCTCCGCAGGTAGAAACCCCTCCCAAGATTCCATCCAATGCGGACGGAAACTCTACGCTTGTTGCTTGTCAAAATTGCGGTACGACAGTAACGCCACTTTGGCGCAGGGATGAGCATGGCCATCCCATCTGCAACGCCTGTGGTAAGCATTCATTCTACCTACGATCTGAAACCACCCCATCTAACTCGCGAATAGGATTGTATTATAAGCTGCATGGCTGTTATCGCCCAACCACCATGAAGAAGTCGATCATCAAACGCCGGAAACGTGTCGTACCAGCTCTGCGAGATCAATCTCCTACCGCGGCTACCCAGTCCTCGAATGGATCATCGGCATCCCCTGAAGCTTCCCCCGCTGCCTTGGCCCACTCTCACGACGACCATTATCGATATATGAGCGGAGAGCCCATGGACCACATGCCCCGACCTCTGCCGTTCGCACCGCCCCCGGTTGATTTCACTGGCTTCCATATCAGCTCCGCCCCCATGCAGCACCATCAATTCCCCAAATTGCTGGAGCCAGAGAGGTTGGGCCCCTCGCCGGTGTCTTACGGACGACGATCTGCATCCCCAAATTCGATCAACCTACCGCAGAAACGGACCTTGGCGGAGACCACTTCGGATTCCCTTCCCACAACCCCTATGGAGTCAAATCAGCTACCGCCCATTATGTCTTCAGTAAATCCATCGCCGCCAGGCCGTTTGAGCTCGATCTCATCCATTCTTAACCGCACCGAGAATCGCGATGATTCACGGATGGAATCGCATATGAATCGACCTCAGGCACTTCAGCCTTCTTTAGGACATGCTGGGCATCAGCAATCATTGCCCGGCATCTCTTCCTTGACTGACCCGTCAGTCGAGAGACGTGCACAACTCGAGCGAGAGGCCGAGTTGATGCGTGAAGCCCTCCGACAAAAGGAGCGGGAACTGGCCGCAATTGGCCGATAGTTAATCCATACATCGACACGAGTCCAAGTCATGATGAAAGTAACGAGATTCAATTCGAAATAATTTGGTTCAGGCTGGTGGTTTTTCCCAAATGATACACGGCGCAAACATGGAGATTTGCGCAATGATACCACTCAACGTATTCTATTCTTTCTTTTTTTCTTCTGGGATCGGATCGGCTTTGATACCGTGTTACTATGTCCTTGTTTTGCCAAAAGTCTTAGCAGAGAAAATGTACTCTTACGGATTGCTTCGGGGTATAGATTAATTCAATTCCTAGTGAATATCACGACAATGGTGTTCGCAGCACGCTTTTGTATGGCACTGGTATTAGAAGAGTAGTCTTCTCTGGCTAATCCTGTAATCTCCCTGTTTGTGGTTCGACCGGAGTTGAAACCGATGTCATCATGACTTGATGCGTCAACGGTATCTCAGTTTCAACGGCGCTACTATCATCGGAATCTAAAGGATATGCATAAATAATCCCGGACTTGCAGCACATAATGTCCACCCCCCGAACTTTCACCCTAACATTTACCGGAGACGTGATGCTAGGCCGTCTAATCGACCAACTCTTGCCCGAACACGTCAACAACCCCCAAGACAAAGAAGTCGCAACCAGCTTCATATCCAAACACCCATCTATCCTCGGCCAAGGAAACTACACACCATCCTCACCATGGGGCACAACACTCTCTCTCTTCCAAGCATCCGATCTAAACATCATCAACCTCGAAACAGCAGTAACAACCACCCCCGAGCGCTGGCCCAACAAGAAATACAACTACCGCATGCACCCAGCCAATCTAGCGCCCATCCTACACGCAGCCCAAATCGACTACGCGAATCTCGCGAATAACCACGTCCTCGACTTTGGCAGTGAAGGCCTCGTCGAAACAGCTTGGACATTGAAAAGTGCCCGCATTGCTTTTTCGGGTGCGGGCGAGACGACGAATGAAGCGTTTAAGCCGGTGGAGTTAGCTCTGCCGCGGAAGACGCTGTTAAAGCATGGATGTGCTCGTATTGGCACTAGTAGTGATACTACTGGTACTATAACTACTATTGCGCCAGAAAGCACTCGAACCCAGGCTGGCGACAGTGGGGCTAGGTACCTCCCCGTGCACATTTACTCCGCGTCCGACCATCCCCAAGACTGGGGTTCTGTCCCAAACTTCCATTTAATTGATTACTCACCGAGTACGCGGGACCGATTGCGTAGATTACTTCTTTCAAATGGCGTGGCGGAATATCCGGGCGAGACGGACTCGAAAAGTGATACCCATCACGACCAACCTAAACCTGGAGACCACGATAACGAATCCACGCAGTCAAGGCGAAACAATGCTCATGTTCCCGCGTTGAAGATATTATCCATCCACTGGGGGCCAAACTATATATGGAAACCAGAGGATAGAATCCGATCATTGGCGCACTTCCTGGTCGACGAGTGCGGCGTTGACATCGTGCACGGCCATTCCTCGCATCACGTCCAGGGGGTGGAGGTTTATCGGGGGAAAATTATTATATACGGCTGTGGGGACTTTGTTGATGATTATGTTTTGCATCCGGAGTTTCGGAATGATCTTGGTGCTGTTTGGAGGGTTGTTTGTCGTGAAAAGGTGGTGGGAGGGCCCCGGGAGAGGGAGAGGGAGGGAAAGGGGCTTTTAGGTCTGAGTCCTGTGCGGTTGGAGATATTTCCTACGCGCATTGACAAATTTCGAGCCATGTTGCTGGATTCTGGGGATGTGGATCATAATTGGGTTTGGGGGGAGGGTTGGTGCACTTAGTCGGGATCTTGATACACGGGTGCGTGGGGAGCTTGGGGAGGAAGGACAGATTATCGTTGATATAGAGTAGATACCCAGGTACTGTTAGTACCTTCGAATACAGATTAAAAGGCTCAGTGTACTGCTACTAGTAGTGTTGAATTTCACTTTCCAAGGTTTGTTTGTCCATGATTAGAATATAATCGTAATGTAATAATGTAGTACTAATGCCAAAGATTGAATGTCCAGTTAACCGCCCAAAGATAGATCCTGACCCCTAATATATACCAAGAAGATGAATGAAGTGTTGTAGGCCGTCACAATGCTGTCGTAAAAAATAGATAGAAGAAAAAATAAAGAGAGTAGTGCCCGAAGAATGAAAATGATGGGCGGAAAGAATGTTATGGTCATGAAGGAGGAGGGGTTTCGATAACCAGTCGTCGCTCGCTGACGGTCTCCCCCACTTTAGTTTCTTGCATGACAGTCATCTCGGTGGTAACTTCAATCCCACCAAATGAGCTGTTGCTAGAACGTTTTCCCTGTTCGACATTGATCGAATACATATCGAAATCCTTATCCATGTTTTGGCTGAAAAGGTCGGTATGTTGTCTTTGTGAGCGAGATGCTGTGAAGTTGCGGGTGTTGCGAGTGTTGCCCGTGCGTGGATTTGTGGTGTATCGGTTATAGCTGTTCGTTGAAAGTAGCTTGGGGAAGATACTGCTGATAATAGGTCGAAGGAAAGGCAGACAGGCACAAATGATTGCAACATTGCACTCGGCCGCAGTCCAGTACGCGGCATCGACATTGCTGTCTAAATAGACATACTGGTTAGCGGCAATGTCGGTCAATAATGATAGGAAAGGTAAAATCATACAAGATGTATCGGTGCTCTGAGCCACGTTGCGTAGACTAGAAAGGCGTAGAATACTTGTAACAACAACACTGTATGGTATCCGATTGTTAGCACATGCATGTAGTTGTTTCGGTTTCCATGGGGACGTACAGAATACCGATCGCGAAGACTCCCATCAGTGCAATCTTCTGGGTTTTTGGCAATTGGAGGTTCAAAAGTTGCGGCATAGGAAGTGCCAATAGTATCACATCGGTAGCAATGTTCATCGACGCATTGAAGAACCAAACAGCTTCAAAATTCAGGCAATGACCAGGCAAGTCGTGGTTCCAGAACTTGGCGACTGGTACACAGTTCACGTAGCCGCTGACAATGGCCCAGGCTGAGTATGTTGCAACAACTGCCATCACAATATAGCAGGCGAGACGAAAGGAGCGAGCGGGGAAAATGCGGATATATTGCAGAAGAATGGAGAATTTGGTGAAGGCCAGGCTGGCGTTGTACATAGGAATAGCGGCCCAGAGACACTTTAGCTGATTCTGAAGCACGTCAGAAGAGAGTAGTGTCGAGTGAGTACCCATTTTATAATGATATTCTAAACAACGGGGTATGGTCAGATGCTGGCTTCATAGGGTACTTGGTATCACGGAGCAAACACGTACGGGCAGCGACCAGTGAAAGGTATATGATGGAGAATATCTGGAGAATATTCCAATTTTTAGCTACTTATGTCATTTTTCCACGTATTGGATCAACATACCAAGGCAATAAGAACGCTCCAGTCTTCACGGCCTGTGATCTTCATCAAACCCAACCGAGCGAATAATCTCATGCCGACGATGAGCGCAGCAATGCCAGTCAAGACTGCTGTCACAACTAGTGCTCGCTGGCCACGCTCATGGCCATCATCACTGGCCCGGGGAAAAATTTCATGCAATATGTCGTCCATGTTGACGGGGCGTATAAAAGAGTGAATGGTGTGGTGGGGATGCCCAGGTGGTTCTGTCAAATGAATGTCGTGGGTGCGTTCGGGCCTTCAACAATCTGGAAATATCATCCAGTCAACTCTCAGCAATGACGGTCTACTGCATCGAAGTCGAAGAAGAAGTCCCTCTTGCCCCAGTTTCCCCGTATCAATATCTGCAGTGGAAGGTTAGACTGAGGAGCGGGCAGAGAGGCGGGGGATGGCACTTATGAGCCCCCAGGTCTCTAGCTGGAGCGGAGTGGATCTTGTGTTCATGCAAAGCATCGCACCAGGAAAACCTTGTTGGCCAAGTTGCGATCTCCGCTAAGTTCCCATAGTTGACTCAATAGTGCACGACTAGGCGGCGATCCCCAAGGGCAAACTCGGTCATTGGGCCCGTCGTCCACGGCAGGGCACCGACTCGAGCGTGTGCCATGTGGCACCCATGCCTTCAGATGCAGCCTCCTTCCATGTAGGAATGCATCTGAATGCACCGAAGTCTGCCATTCAAGGCTTGAGCGTGGGCTTGGTCGCCTATTCCCCACAATAATCGTCACTTTGGTGGGCCCCGGCACTGCCAGCCCGGCTCTCTGGCTATTTGATCCTGTGAAAAGCGACCGAGATTCGCATGGGCCTACTCAATATCCCATGGAATAGTCGACCATTAAACTTTTATTTTGTCAACCTTTCTCTTCGAGCTATCTATCAGCATAGGGGAGCGGTCGTGAATGGGCCTCATGTGTTGTTGACCCACTTTGGGAACACGGAGTTGCAATTGTCTCGGTGGCACTGCCCTAATGTTCTTTGAGATTGAAGCTGCATCATAATGCAGGCAGCGTGCATAAGACTGTATTCCGCTTACTCCGTACACCGCGTTGAATTTTCAGTCATAAAAAAAATTCACAATCCATGCATCACCGCTGTTTAGCCGAGGAACTGTATGCATCCATATTCCAGACCCCCATCTCCCTGGAATGTCAAAATTGCCTTGATGCAACCTCCGGAACTTTGACTTCGAAGATCCCGACGTCAAAAACGACAGATGCCAATCCGTTATTTTCGCGTGGGTCTCATCCCGTCAACTTAGACTACGGCGATGCACCATCCCCTGAACCACAACACAATTCCATAAATTTCATCCCCCTTTCGCTTCTCCCCCGGGGCCCAGACATTAATATTCACGCCAGTAGCTCTATTCTTCAGTGGTTAATTTAATCATTGAACATCCAGCGCCAAGGGCAAGCCCACCGGGAATTGAACGCCACGGCAAATCCCGATTCAATGCAGCTGCAAGCACTCTAAACGAACCCCACAAAATCGCCACTTTTATTCAATAATGCGCGTCGACACCCCACAGCGGAGATCCACGACTGCTCTGCCCGCGCCGAACATCAGAATCCAATTCATTTGATTATTTGGCGCAACTGAATCTGCGATTGGCCGAAGCCCGAAGATCGTTTCCTTTCGCCCTTCTTGAACGTTTACGGGGCGGAACATCAGCTACATTTGATCCCTTGATGGTGTCTGAGTCCTTACCCTGAAAAATATACCCCGAGCTCAATGATCGACATGTATATATTTAAGGGGCTGTGGCTGATCCCTATCCTGAACCTTACTACTTCCGTCTAGCCGAGCGCCATCGTCAACACTAAGATCGAGTGGCGTTCTTCATATCTCAAATACCTTTGCTTTCAAAAAGTTTGTGTGCCACATGGGCATCAATTTGGATTTTCTTAGAGAATCACTTATTCCATTCAAATTGCACTAGCTGCTTTTTGAATGTTTATATCCAATAATAGATCATTTTCTTACTAATCGGCATTTCTCTCCAGGGCTCACTAACGGAACTAGGGATCTAAAAGTGGTTCAAATTGTCCGGCATGATTAGGCTGCTACTAGTATAAAATCTCATGTGATGTACCAGGCACAGTACACATCGCGAGTTTCCAAGGTTTCACGCCCTCTCTTTTGTTGGTTCTGACTTAACGCTTCGCATTTATTGACCTGCCCGCCGAACCTATCGCATCAAATCGTTTAGGCAAAAAATTCTTTAGCTAACTTTGGAACCCATTCGTCCATACCGTCAAAGTAAACCTCATGTCGTCATAGTATAGCATTTTGGGGACACTTTACCTGAGCAATGCGGAGAAGTTCAGGCTCTATCAAAGATGTGAGCACTTTGTTGCCGCCATCGAGAATCCACGAGACGTCATGAGCAAGCGCAATATGAACACCAAAATCTCGTTCCAATGTCCGTAATCGTGCAATTGTTTCCCCAGCTGCGGGTAGGTCCATCTGCAAACATCCTCGACTACCATCAGGAAGTGGGAACTCAGCAATCTCTTCCGTTCCATCGAATAGCGATCTGTTTGGCGATAGTATTAGACACCAACTCCGACTAATGTAGCAGTCCTTCTCCTCGGGGGCAAATATACCTTGAATGGCAACAGTCTGATCCTAGGAGGACCCAGTCTCCGCTTCCAAGGTGGGCGCATGCGCACAGATTACCGGGCATATGTCCAGGGGCCTGGATGACCCAAAAGCTTCCATCCCCAAAGAAGTCCATGGCTTTGTCGAAGGGCCCGAATGGAACCCACGGTCCACGTAATGTCTCCCAGCGCTCGGTTGAGTGGATCGGATCGAAAAATCGACCATCCCACTGGGACTTTGGATCTTCCAGGTGGCCCGGGCTACAGAACTCTTTCGTTCCGGGACCGAAATAGCCTGTGGAATTAGGGAAAATACCACGGATTGGATAGCAGTGGTCAAAATGAGCATGACTGTTTACTCTAATTAGCTTTTTGATTCCGCTTTCAAAGTGGCTTCCTCATGTAAACTACCGTACCTGAATATAACCGATTCGACTTCCGAGGCTGGAATTCCGTGTCTTCGAAATATCTGGTGTGGAATAGACTCTCTCGGTCCTGCAATTTCCAACTGGTTCCAGTAGTTATCGCCAACAAAAGTTGAGTAGTCACTTTTGTTCTAGCTAGTGTCAGCGTGTTCATGGCTATACTTTTCGTTTCTGTGGGCCCTACTGGTGCCATTCCAAGATCCCATATCGCATTTTTCCTCTCACTAGGGTTATGAATGTGAAATGCCCAGTCATAAAGACGAAATTTCTCATGCGGAGATCCAGCGTGCATTAAAGCTAAATCAGCTGCGAGACTTCCTCCATCGAGCAATGATAGATTGACATATTTGTCGGTCTTGGGAGAGATATGATTTCATCTTAACCTACAACAAGCGTAGTAAAGTAGTAATCGAGGTCACTAACTTTAAAGGCCTGCTTGGAGTTAAGATAGGTGGTGAACTGGTTGCTTAATAATAGAGCTCCATTACCCCGCCAGATAAAAAGCAAGTCGATGCGGAGACTAAATAGTTTATGCTACGTTATGCAGCTATGCACTTTTTGCTTGATCTTCCCTTCTGTGACTCGCATATAGTTCTATGTATGTCATAATGATAGATCTAGTACGGCTGATTTGAACAGCCATGAACGGTTGTCAACTGTAATTTTTGGCCCCCATGTGTCTAGGTGAGTAACTTAGTTGCCAAGAAAGAGGGGTTTCACGCCCTGTTTGTTTAATTTCCGCCAGGTTAAACTGATTAAAATGTGTTTTGTTTTCGCAAAGTAGTCTAATCAATATCGGAGTGATATCGGCGCAGTGACTATCTTCAGAACCTCGCCTTGATCTAGCAAAATTCCGTCCTAAATACATAAAGTATATAAATGCTGACCCCTTAACAAGGATATTGGGCGAGATCATGTTGGTCTCCCCACTCGACACAGATTACCTGCAGTGTGCAGATTGGCAGATTTCTGTCTTCTACCAAAGACCCCTTTCTTTCCTAATTACATGTGTAGATACGGACGAGCAGAACAATCGACACTGTTTGGGAAAAATCATTTACCCGAATTCAATATCTTTGAGACTTCATCGACGGCCACTGAGTCTAGCTTTTCTGACCAACATGGCAACCAGGCTAATTATTAGTGCACGCACTAATATGATGCCGAGACAAACTAGCCCTCATCTCGAACAACGAATGCCTTCCATTGGATATGGAAGCTAGCAATCCCTTTTTCGTGCAGCGTTAGCCTGAGAACAACACCCGATATCTTAAGCCCAGCCTTGGTCCCCGCTAAAATACACGATGTGAATGTTCTCTGCGTCGCTCACTCACTTGCTCTCAAACAAACATTCACGAAAGAGCCCGAAGGCTCAGCTTCTGGAAAGGGAGTTTGACGGGTTTCGTTCTACGCTTATTATGATGCTTCACGTCGGATTGAACCCCCAACCAAATTCATCTCTGCACCCCATCAGCCCTGTCACCCCGAGAAGGTCTGTTAGATTCCCGCTTTGAATTTATCCGTGAAGAGTTCTAACTTGTTTGAATTTGTATAGCGTCGCAAAACTCACACCACACTATTGCAACTATACTAGTGACAGTATATACCAGGACGGCTGCAGATCAAATGACGATAATCGGTTCTACAGTCACAGTGGGGACAGATGGGTATATGATAGTAGAAGAGACTCGGACGACGGACCGCAGCTACGAGAGGTTGCCGTCAGAGACAGAATCCCAGCAAGCTCCGGATTTCACGATTACAGCGGAGTCACCGAGGATCTCGACAGATGCCACACCAACTAATTTCCAAGGGTGGTACTATGGAGGAAGAACAACAGGTTCGCGAACTTGAGCCATACAAGACATTCCAGTGACATTTTGCTGAAATACTGACTCCGCGCAGCGCAGTCTATCGCCTGTCCTACAACGCAAACCTTTTCGATTACCAGTCCATATGCCGACTGCTTAGACCCTGGAGCGACAGCGGTCGCCACAGACTGTGTGTCAAATGTGCTCACGTATGATGGCGGTCCCACATTTGCATGGTACGCTACCACTTGATATTTAACTTCGCATAACTCGTCCCATTGAGAACTTTGTCGCCAACAATTTCTAGCCCCGAAGATGCCAGTTGCTACGTTATGACTGTCTCATTCACCTCATCCATGGTCGAACGATACATGTGCGCCAAGGACTGGTATGCGGATATTATTTATCGCGATCAGACAGAGTCTCCCAACAGTGAGTTCCGATTTCTATCAATACCCATGGACCCCATGGCCGTCGTACTGATTCTTTGCCTTGCTACATAGGCACCACAATAGATACAACCATACCAACTTCCACCACATCTCAGTTTGCGAGTCCGACTAGTACAGAATTGGCCGATACAACTAGTTCCAGCACGGGGAGCACTTCACTTTCCGGTGGTGCGATTGCGGGAATTGTTATAGGATGTGTCATTGCTATCCTGGTCATCGCAATTGTTTTCTTCCGAAAACAAATTTCTCGCCGCTTCAAAAGGCCAGCGTCCGAGGGTTCAACAGAAATGTTGGACTCCAACGAGATATTTGAGATCGGTCATTCAAATAATGCTTCCGCTGTCACGGGCTCAGTTTTCAATACCCCGGCGGTCAAGAAGAATGACGAGGTACAAGAAATTGGGATAGGAAAATAACAATATCATAATCGGGGATGCATGTACGTGGTTTAATTCAAGCTGATCACAGTTTGCGAGCCAGCGTACTATGTACTTATGTAATAGCAGGGTCGGGGTCACAATATGCTAGTACTTCTCACCATCAGGGGAGCGAGGCGAAACACGAGACAACAAAGAACGAATTTGTAGCGTGAGGATTGTTTGAGATTGCAACTATCGTATCTAAGGCCGTACATGAAGTTCCCTTTGGCGACCTGAGGTCGACATCACCTGATATCGAGACGAAATCCCCATTACATGAGAGGAGGGTCTCACAACCGATAGCTTCAACTTTCAGTTACCTCATGGAGTCAAAAATCTTTAGCAGACCTCTTTGAGAGATACCAGGGGGTGACTATCGTATTCGCCGCCAAGGTGAATGATATGCTTGCCATGATTGGGTGACACGATAGCAGGCGCCTGCTTCTCAACCCAGTCGGGCAAAAAAGACTTGGATCGCCAAACTACTCAATCACAACACTAGTGTCGCTTGGCATATAAGTGAATGAATCTCTCGCGACGGGAATTTCAGCAATACCAAAGGTTTGGATTGAGGAAGTGGAGACGAACGGCTGTACAGTAACCTGTAAAACCTCGCCAGCATGGATACGCAGGCCGATTGGCCAGACCCCTATGTCGATGGGCACAATCTCACCTTTTCTGAGCAACTCCTCGCTTTGTAGCAGAAGAAATGGCTCGGCATCAGTGGAGCGTTTGGATCATTTTTGCGGCGTGGTACGCGCTGATAATTGGTCGCGGTTATGGTGCTGTTGCCGCCTTATGGCAGCTCGCGATAAAGAACATTTCCGTCTTTATCAACCTTTTGAACGATGGCCTGAATGTCCATGGGATTTCCCGAATCTCCTGCTCAACAACGGCATAATTTGGGCGGCTATTTGCATGGTATGTTGTCAAGATCGTGCGGGCACGACTTTCCTGTCCTTTGGCGATGAGCAGACGGGGTGCATCAGGACAGAATGATACTAGGATCAGTTGCATGGCGGCCCAAAAATTCCGGAGGAGGACCGGGATGCTCTAGCTGAATGAAATCTGGATCGAGTCATTAGCTAGTTAACTATCATGCATCCTCTGTCAAGGTATCACCAAAATGGTTTAGCGCGACGGAAATGGTTACGACTGGTCTGTAGATTTCTAAGGAGTTTGCGTGGGTCAGCCAGGGTCACGCAGCTCATGCCTGACATAAACATAGAGAAGCCCCAGAGGTCCTGGATGGTAGGCATTGAAAAAGAATCTGGTATGTGAGCTAGAAGGACTAGTTACTGGTAGGACATAGAAAGAAATGGAGAAGACAAGAACCCAAAAATAGGCGAAAGCAATTTCACCCTCCACATGGGAACAGTAAATACGAGTGTTAATTAGTAGGAATACTACTGTGCAAAAGTCTAGGAGTGTTTAAAATTATTTTCACTTTAACCAAGCTTCAATCGCCTTCCACAACGCATCTTGCAGCCACTGATCGTCCAATCGCGAATCTAGAGCACAGCCATGCTCCCCTTCCAGCGTGACATAAACAATATCGTCAGGAGACGTCAACTCGCGCGCACGCTTAACAAAATTCTCCGTCTCGGCCATCGGAATCACACTATCTTGCCGGCCCTGTATAATCACAACTCCACCACAAGGGATCGCGCCCCCTGACTGCTCGAGTCGTGCGATGAGAGAGAGTTTCTCACGCGGCGTATTCTCCGCGCCACGTGCATAAAGCGCCCCAAGATGTCCGTGCTGAAAACAAGCAAGCATGAAAGCTGACCGTTCCGGCGAATGGACCGATGAGACAGGGGCGCCAATCTTACTGCTATCCATAGTATCGTGGTAAACCGACTCGGGAACATTCTGGCCCCAGACAGGTTCACCACGGGGCTCTGTATAAGCTGGAGTCATAAAATCAGCAACTGGGTACGCGGCAGTGACGCTGCGTATCTCTGTTGGATGCGCGAAGGCTAGGTAAAGACTAAGTGTGCCACCAGCCGATCCACCAATGGCCATGATACGACCTAGGTCTAGCTCTGTGGGAGTGGAGTGTTTTTTCAAAAGGTCTGCTAGCTCGGGTGTATGGATCCAGGCCCAGAAGTCGTCGACATCTTCGTAGATTTCTGTGCTTGTCGCCTCGGGCATAAGCCGATAGTTTGCGCTTAGGATTATCGCTCCGTGTTTCAGGGCTATATCGGATAACCAGGCGGGCCAAATGAACATGAGAAGTGAGTCTCCGGTTACCTAAAGAATTGTGAGATTTGTTATCTACAATCGGCATGTCTTTCATTGGACTTGAAGAGGATTTCATACCAGACCACCGCCATGGAAGTTGAGTATGACGGGTCTCTTCCCTTGGGGTCGCGCTTTTGGTACAAGAATATCACAACGAATTCCATGGTCTTTGACCGTTTTATAGGAGGTTTGGAGAATGTCGAAGTTGTCGATCTTCGGATCAGATGGGATTTCCATTTCAATAAAGGTGATTGACAACAATGAAGTTTGGAATGACGTTCGTGAAAGGTGAAAATTGTTGAGGATCACCTTATATGCAAGGCAATCGAGGACAATTTAGCCAAGAGGCCACTCAAGTTATGCCGCATATTACAAGTGCATGCAAGGCACCTGTATGCGCGTGAGGCTTCTGCCTAGAGGCTTATTCCAGGGTTAGTAATGTGATTGGTTGGCTACTACGTGCTATCTTAAAAGCCTCCGGGTCCCAAATCCTTCGCCCCCAAACTCGAGGAAAAGCTACGAAATCTGGGCCAAGATGAGTTGTCATATCCAATCCTGTTGTTTCTAATCCAGTACCTTTTCCGGATTAGGATGAGCAAGGGGTTCGTATATGCAAGGCTATCGAACAATTTAAAAGACTCGTGGATATGTACTACTACATAGTAGTACGGAGATGACTCATAGCCCTGAGAACAGACACAGGCAAACTGAGATTCCATAGCTTCAAGAAGATATTGAATCGCTCCAGAGGTCTCTTTCGGGAGATTTTATATACAACTCAGCGCGTTTCAAGTGACATGCTCCTTCTCTTCCTCCTTTGGTATTCTAACCCAGATAACAGTCACCAAGGCCGCTGTGAGCTGAGCTCCTAGCGCAAACCACCAAATAGCCCGAAGGCCCTCGAGTCCAATTTCTCCATCAGCGCCCGTATCAACACGTGTACCAATCGCATCAGCGATACTAGTCATGATCGCCGATGACAAGTTTTGATTGGTAACAAGAAGACTTCCTGCACTTCCTTGGTAGGAGCGAGCGACATTGCTAGTAATGAAAATAGAAGCCGCGGCAAACGCCAAATCAGGGCCGAAGGTCACTAAAGCCACACCAGGGAGAGAGAGTGCCCAGTAAGTCGTGGTTGCTGTTTGTGGGAGGAAGAATGCCGGTCCAAGGGTGAATGCGAACATAGAGCAGGCGTAGATATAATGGCCAGGCACGAGGTGGAGTGTACGGCTGACGACCCAGGTTGCGAGCACGCCGACTAAAGCATTGGGGATATGATAGAGTGCCACGGCGATGGGAGTAGCATGTTGAATCCGTAGCCAGAATTGGATGGCGTAAAACTGCCAGGCTCCAAAAAAGGACCCGAAACCCAGGAAGTAAGCGATCATCAACGGGGTAAAACCTGGAGTGCTCCAAAGACGGTTCGGAATAAGCGGCCGAACGGCGGCACGCTCGGCGAAAAACAGACCTACTAGAAGAAGCAGGCCAATTATAATCAGAATATAGGTGTAAGGTGACCAAGATGCTACAGGCCCTTGTGTAAGGCCGAAAAGCAAGCAGACACATCCTCCGGCAGCACAGGCGCCGCCTATATAGTCGAACTGGCGTAGCGATGGAGCCTCAGTGCCCGCGACGTCAGCCTGGGGCCGTAATGGTGGAATAGAAAAATATGCCGCAACAGCGCAAATCGCGCAGATCATAGCATTGGTCCCGAAGATCCAAGGAAGATGTTGATACAGTCCACCACCTTGCAATGCTCCGAGCGAGAAGCCGAATGGGGCCGTCGCAGCCATAGCCGAGAAAACACGATTCTTGCGAATTCCAGGCTTATAAACGCGACCAAGTATACTCATGCTTCCTGAGACGAGAACACCGATCGCGAGACCCTGCATAGCTCTCATCACAAAGAACAGGATATAACGAGACGGTTGCAGAGAGAAGGCCCCTACAATGTTCCAGACGCCTAGCCACACGAAAGCACCAACCATGAGAAGTTTCGGCGGGGCAAGGTCTGAAAGAGAGCCAGAGATAACGACGGACAGACCGTTGGCACAATTAAATGCACCCACAACCCATGGCAACTGGGTGTTTGAAATGCCGAGTGCCTTTTTCAACTGCTGCTGCGGAGCAAGCATATCACCCAGAAGGAACGAAAAAAGCATCAATCCCGCGGAGCAAACCATAATCAAAACAATCTCCGCCGAGAAGCTCGATAGCTCTGGCGGGATTCCCTGCTTTTTCTGGATTGGCGATGCCGATTCGTCGGCTTCCCGAGCTCGGGATACCGAGGGCTTTCGGTTGGTGAGGCGATGGCCAAGATTTTGGAGTTCATAGTCATCTTCAGTGGGTTGACTGATATTGGTGATAGTATGTGTCACTTTGTGGAGTGCCTGCTTGTCGAATTGTTTCTTGTTCCCCAGCAAAGGGTCTGGCGTGTTTGCACCGGTCGCCGGCGTAGAACATGTTTTGCCATAAGAAAATGACGACCGACCTGAGGCTGGAACAGATTCTCCTAGATCTTGATTGTTTGTCCCGGCTGCTTGACTAGGGTTCCATTCTGTTTGAATGTGTGGCGGGGTCTGTGGAGGACCGTCCCAGTTGGAATGCGGTTGCTCCTCTGGCATTTTGGAGGAGCCGTGGAAGACACAGCACTGTGGTAACGGAGTCTGAAGGAAGAGGAGAATTGAATCAACAGAGCTCCGTTTGGAAACTGATTTATTGGAGAAAAGGGCACATCATTGTGGCGAAAATGAACGAAATATTTTTGACGATGATCTAAGGTGGGTGGAGATGGTGGAGCATGCCCATTTGTCCAAAGAAAAAAGGCTAGGGCCGCGGAGAAGATAAGACGAGAGCACCGTAGATATTCATCCACTCGGAGTGCAAACACCTGCCACGATCACGATCAACACTGCATAGATGCTGATGGACCCCTTGCCGAGGCCTGCGTGTATCTTCCAGTCTGGGGGCACGTATGTCTTTTGTCTAGTTGACTAGTTTGAGGTATCATGCCAACGCACGATTCCTGCCACGCAGAGTGGAGCCAGGGATGCATTGCCCCTGGGAGCAACTATATGGCTCGAGCTTCCAGCATCGGACTAACTAACTTCCCTTCCCTGGTGACAATCATGAACAATATCCATGGATGGAGCTGGCGAACCTACCTTGGTGGTGGGTTCGGGAATCGGTCTCCGAAGGTACGGAGTACAGATCACTCAATAGCTAACCACCGTGGGCCCGGTAGTTCTGGAACCAACGTGACGATCATGCTGAAAGTCATTACGCATCCTTTAATCAAAGCTTGCCGTCCCTGATCGACACGGCCCGACCGAATAGTCAGAAAATATACACTCAGCCTCTCCCTACTAATGCAGGACCGTACTAGCCAATGGGAGGCTCGGCATCTCCGACCTCATGGCAAATAGACCCCTAAGATTGGAATAAAACACACATATTTTGCGTCACTCACACGATGTATGTATCTAAAAATATCCAGGGATAAAATATTTACGCGTCACCCCAAATGTCTTGAATACCTAGGCACTTACATTGCTGCATGCCTGCTCAATGCTCAATTCCCACGTCGATCCTCCAGGGCTGAAAACAGTGTGATTATTTTTCCAATGCCCGAGCGAAGTAGTACAGAACCAAGGCTGGCCATTTCCCGAGACCACTCTACTACTATTGGCATATGGAATGACCAAACATTGATCCATGACACGATCTGATATCTCAAGTTGTACCGGGTATGGAATGAATCCAGCTGAATTGAACCCAAACTTTCACAAAGCTTACCTCAAATGCGTCATCGGTTATTCCAGGCACCTCTGATATGTAATGAGGGGATTCTAACGCGTTTATTATACATGCATATTAGCCAATTCTTCCGTGATTGAATCCTGATCAAGAGAATCGGAAATCTCTTTCCAGCTGCCATTCACTATCATGGTTTTCTGCCATGTGTGGGTTCGATCGTAACAGGTCCCACCACTGGCAACACATTCTTGACAGATATCGAAGTTATTTCCGTCGCAGATATTGCAATGGTAGTGCATATCATAAGGTGAAATAGGCTCATCGCACGCATCGCATGCTGCCTCAAAATCTTCCCATTCCGCCGCTCTTGACGTGATTTTTTCCCGATCAACTGGTCCAACAGATTCCTGCTGCAGTAGATTCCATATACGTTGTAGACTCTCGCATTTTGCGCCGTGTTCGGATTTCATATTTGTTTCGGCAATTGATAATGGGGTGCGACCTGCACAGGTTGGGATTTCTTTCGCAGAGCTCCCGTGGTGTAGTATCAATCTCACAATCTCTTCCAGGCCGTAATTAGTTGCAATGAATAGGGAGGTTCGACCCTTTCTGTCGGGAACATCGACCAACTCGCAGCTCGGGCCGATTTTATCGTGTTTCTCATGCTCCAGTAACGCAAGAACAGTGTCCGCATATCCCTTTTTAACAGCACGATGAAGAGGCGTTTGACCCCACGCGTTCTGTGTACATGGGTCCGCCTTCCTTTCCAGCAGAAGGCGAACTGCCTCGGTAAAGCCAATGTGTGCAGCAAACGACAACGGCGTGTCGCCAAGTGCAATGCTTCTATTCTCTAGATTAACATTCTGCTGTAAAAGAAGTTTGACGACTTCTGGATTACGAGAAGATCTGCGGGTCCGGCATGCCCATGACAATGGCGAATGTCCCGCTCTATCCAATGCGTGAGGATCAGCGCCCTCGTCCAGTAAAGTCGACACGATGCCTTCATTTCCACCCTGGACCGCCCAATGCAGGAGGGTCTCATTAGCCCGAGTAGCAAAACTTCTTTTCGCCCCAGCTCGTAGGAGCCGGTGAAAGATCGCTTGTTCGGAAAGTTGTGCGGCCCATGCTAAGGGGGTTCCGTTCTCTGCATCCTCGGTCCCTGGCTCTTCGATATCGGCGTTGTTTGCCAGTAGAATCTCGACGATATTCTCATGTCGGTATTGAACGGCTGCTAAAAGCGGCGGTTCTTCGTAGACTCGAAAGTCTATCGATGCCCCCTTTTCAAATAGAAGACAGAGCGTCTCTGCATGTCCAGTGAAAACTGCCGAAGATGCAGCAGAGTTGCCGAACCGTTCTGTAGCGTTGACATTCGCCCCAGCATCGATAAGTACTCTCACATTTTCCGTGAGGCCCGCTTCAACTGCTCTTATTATTAGGGGCTCTTCGCCCCAGAACGGATCATTCGGGTCAAGGCCGGCATCCAGCATCTTCGTCAAGGTGGATCCTCCGCACAGGCGGACGGCCCGACTGACACCCTCCCGACGTCCTTGTGTCACGGCTTGGCGATAGAGGCGGTGGTTGAAGTTATCATAGAGATGTCGGCAAGTTCGAGTGAATACATCTTTGTCGGATAGACTCTCCAGAGAGTCCCAAACCTCCAGGATCAATTCGAAGGGTAATCCGAGGAGTTCCATGAGTGGGGTCGGGCTGCTCCAGGTAAAACGATCATGCCACTCGGCTTTTGCTCACGAGTACCTTTATAGTCGAGAGGAGAGAGGAGAGAAGAGAGAAGTCGAGAAGACAAGAGGACAAGACTTCGGGGTTCGGGTTGATCTCTTTCATCGGGGACTGAATGCGGGTTCCGACCGTGGGGGAGTCGAAGTTGACATTGCGGGATGGCTGTACGAAAGCGTGAGGCAACAGCCCTGGAGCGACAGCCCTGTGAGCCGCATTTAAATATGAGATCATGAGATCCGTACTAGTACTAGACATCCATGCTAGACTAAATTAGTTATTAGTTCACTCTGGAATCCACTCAGATCTCATTTAGATGTATCTGCTCGTGATGATTTTATTTTTATGAATAAATTGAAAACCTAACAATACGAGATGAGTCGAAACACTGGTATCAAAACCAACATTTGATATAGTAGAGTCGGCCATTTAATTTTAGACGAGAAGAGGCAATCCAGTCATCGAGTTCTGCATTCCAGCTCAGATTCGCACTTGTCCACAAAGGACAACGTCCTCCCCGAAGGGATACCACCGGACATTCTTCAAGCGTGCAGCGGAGATCGCGTTGCCTTCTCCATCAAAGCGCCGAGGGGGGGACACGACGACACCACCTTGTCCAAGCCACGTAGGCGCAATAGTGACGATGACTCGATCGATCAAGGACATCGATTGCGGTTCAAGTAACGAGTTGATCACTTGTGCGCCACCTTCAATCATAACACTTTTAAGGCCATTGATATGAAGCATTTTGAGAAGGTCGCACCAATCGATTCGGTGCTGGCCATCATCTAAGGTCACCATTTTTAATTGGAGAAATCTTCCCCCATATTGTTCCAGCTTTTCCTTCTTTTGGGCGGGCGGCTCTGGCAGCGAGGTCACGATCCAGGGTGCTAGACCGCGGCCCTGTCTGCAAAGCTGAAACAGCTTGCTGTCGTCGGAAAAATCCCACCGAGCACTTGGATCAATCACAATTGGTCGTGGTTGGCCTTCTAGACCCTCTTTTCCATAGCCTCCGACACCAGTGAGGCGACAATTGAGACCGGGGTCATCTGCCAGAGCAGTTCCGACACCGATGAGAATTCCATCGTGCCGAGACCGTAGATAGTGAGTCATGGCTTTTGACTGAGGGCCTGAAAGAACTGTCCGTGTTCCTGGAGATATAGCCAAGGAGGAATCCAGTGATGTTGCGAATGTAAGAGTTGTGAAAGGCATATCTGGACGCGGGGTTGAGCCATCTTGAGGTGGCAGTTGAGGCTCTAGAAAACCCCTGTCTGATTCCGGGAACTCCAGGGCATCTCGTGAAGCCATTTTTTGACTGTTGATTATATTGGAAAACAGCCAGGCGCTTGGATGTTATATGACCGAAAGAAGATTGGGGGTAGAAAGTTGAAAGACGCGTTGGCGGAGAGTTTCAATTCAGTGCCTGAAGGGATGAACGATGGAATTCAGGAAATGATGTATGCATGTAGATGTCTATCGAAGAGGGTGGTGTTTGTGAGTGAGTGAGAGTGAAGCCGGGAAGGCGAAGAGGTGAGTGCCTGATGTGATGCCTGAGGCCTACTGGTACACCCCAACAAAAATTCAGGCACCATCTCTACACTGGCTGATTTAGGATTGTAGACCATTGGTGAACATTCCAAGGTTCTGCTGGAAGCATAAAATTAATCTTAATCTGGGTATCTATGCTATATATGATAGCCTTGGACAAATTCGGTAGTAGAAAAGATGTCTTAAAGTATGCTGATCACACCGTCACCACACTTGATATCGGCAACCCACATCGCACGGCCCTTGTCCATGTTTTCCCCATTCTCAAAAGCATGGAACACAATCTTGGAGCCATCTGCATTAAAATCAGATCCACCAGGTCCTCCCAGCTCACCAACGTTACTCGCATCGCCCGAGACCAGCAGAGGAGCATCGGGGGCCTGCGCCTTCGTGTAAGGACCCGTGAGTGCAGGGGCTGTCGCGTAGCTCGTATCGTAATTCTTTGAGCTATACACATTGGAGGAGAAAGTGAGGTAGTATGTGCCATCCACATTTGCCAGACTGGGAGCCTCAATCAGCGGGCCATCGGCGTCATCACGGTCCAGAAGCTGGGTCGGGTTGCCATTTGGAGTGACAGCATCGGAATTCAGGCCTTGCAGCATCAGAGGAGTGGAGTCGGATTGAATGCTGTTACCATCCACCTTATAAACAACATAGTAGGTGTCGCCATCCTTGAAGCCGTCGGCATCAATCGCACCGCCTTGGTCAAGGGGGCAGGCCAGGGGACTGTCTTCGGGCGTGTACGGCCCAGTGATGCTGGAAGAAGTTGCTGCTCCAACGCAGTGCTTGGAGTTATCTTCGGCCGACGAGGCAGAGAAGTACATGACAAAGGTACCGTCATCCTGGATTCAATCAGCTTTGCTTCATTAAGTGAGATGCAAAATACCGTTTGACTTACTCTCTGGATGACATCTGGAGCCCAGATAGCAGGAGTAGAAGCGACCCAGCTTGGGAATGGGCCTGGCAGAGCATCGTTACCCGAAAGGAGCTGCCATGATGCAAAGTCAGAGGAAGAGGCAATCTGAACATTCACTCCGTTGCCACTCGTCGCGAACGCATAGTATCCATCGCCAGTCTGGATGACACATGGATCCGCGAAATCACTATCGATAACACGAGTAGGCTGTGCGACAGCAATTCCATTCATGAGAAGTGCCGAAACGACTGAAAGTAGCAGTGTCGCAGTCATCGTAGCGAGCGAGGGTGCTGATGGTCCTAAGGTATTGCAACAATTCAAGCAGGGGGTTTCCTGATACTTTATATTCATATAAGACCCTGCAGATACCACACTCGCATTCGACTCCCAGAATTAGGCATTGCCAGTCGTGTTTGCCGCCGCCAAGTTCCTGGCTGTGTTGTGGTGTGCAACACCTCCAGCCCCCATCTTTCTCCACCCCCTGAGAGATCGACAACAGCCGCTAAACCGAGGATAGAAAATGGGCTTTGGTTTCTACACAATTCACTCCGTACCTACGGGCGACTACATCAGATCTGAAAATTCGAAGAATTGAACACGATTTAGACAAAAAGTATATGCTGAGAATTTTCCAATCTCGACCGAATTGAATATCCCATGGCTTCTTTGGCCCCCAACAATGGACCAGTCTGAAGCTGCTCGAGCCCCTCAATTTCAGATTCATGATACTGCCTCGCGTTTCAGGGAAGGAATGACGTTGCACTTGCGTGCAAAATCCCAGTCGGGCTCTGCATAATGTGGCTTGACTGAGAGCTGCTCATCAGGCCTGCCCTGGTTAGGTCTCCATTTTCAATTGGTCGACAACAGTTCTTACCTTGACCTTATATTCTAACCCTGTTCACGATTACATTTCCTGATTGAACGAAGTCCAGGGAGTTTCCGTCATTCTTTTGCTGTATTTTCATACGCCAAATTCTGAACATTATCGAGAATACTCTTGAAGATCCTGCGTTCGGCTTTCCATTCCAATTAAACGTGCTGGTAAATGCAGGCACATTAATCCCCGGTATTCTCCGTCTACCACATCGAGAAACCACAAATAGTCCGTTCCTTTTTGGGCCTAATCAAAGCAGGAATACTGCTCTTCAAGGGATTTTATATGTAATATCGGATTTTTGGGTGTCTACAAGTGTCCCGAGGGGGTTGTGATACCATTGCTGTCAACCCGACAAGAAAGACACGCTCATGAATACTAGTAGTACTAGTAGGGATATTGCATTCACGACCATTCGCACCAAGCTCGCGATATTCTAATTCATTACCCCATGCTCCCCTTACAGCTTTGACTCATCCCAGCTAGTACCCGCAGATGCTAAATATGCCTGCCCTTGTGCAAGAACCTGGCTATTTTCCTTCCCCAGCCATTCAGGCTCCAGATTCTGAATTCCATCCTCAATCTCATAGCTTTCACCACCTGCCACCCAAAGAATCTTCCCCGCAAAAGGCAGACGAGCGCCACCGTGTGTCTTTCCACCCTGCCCCCGATTTGCCGTGGCACAAATCAAGATCGACCGGGCAACGTCTTCCGGTTCGTTCGCGGGTAATCCCTTCTCATACCAACCCTTTTCAATGCCTCGAACCAACCGCGTCTCTTCACAATTGAACACTTATTAGATCCCGGAAAAATCACAAATCGAAGAAAGGGACACATACTCGTCATCCAAGGACAAATAACATTAACCTTGATGTTTTCCGGCGTCGCTGTAAGATGTAGGCCCCGCATGATCCCCACGACGCCATGCTTGCTTGCAGTGTACGCGACCAAGCCCCCACATTCCTTGAACCCAGCAATACTGCTGACGAGCACCAAATCCCCACCCCCGCTCCGTCGGAGGAAATGCATGCCGATACGAGCGCTGAATAGAGCCCCAATCGTATTGACTTCCACCTCTTTCATCGAGGGTGCTTCGTTGATGTCGGCATTTGGATCAAAGGGGTCCTTGTGAATGGCAATGCCTGCATTCGCAATGACTATGTCCACCCTTCCGTGCTTCTCGAAGGCACTCTTGAAGAGATTGAGTTGATCTGAATAGCTTGCGGAATCGCATTTGATAAATTGTGCGTTCGGGCTAAGCTGGGATTCGATTTCTCGTGATGGTGCGTCCGCAATGTCACCAAAAATAACCTTTGCTCCATTTTCTAGATCCCTATTAGGTGTCCTACATAGCATGCTTGGGCTTTATGGGTCTTACCGCAGAGTTGCTGAATGCAGGAACGGCCGATACCAGTTGCGCCACCGGTCAGCACAACGACCTTGTTATTCAGTGATGAGAGGAGGGAAGAATCGAACTGAATATGCGCCATTTTTCAATTCTGAAGTTAGAAGAAACTCTGAGATGTAGAGGTAAGAAGAAAAGATGTCCGTAGATCAGGTAACGACTATTTAAATAGTATTCAGTAGCTAAAGTGGTGCACTTGACCCCACATCTCCGATCAACAGAATTCTCTGATACATTGTTTATACTTAAGATGATTAAACTTTGTAAAAAAGGGTTTGGGGTTCAATATTATGACTCGGTCATCTCCAGGGCTCTCAGATGCCTCTTTTTGCATTAAAAGGACTTGGAAATCCTAGCATATATGCGGTTTTGAATCAAGCATATCTGTACCTTGACTCTGTTACTATTATTTTCTGCCCGTGGCAGCTCTATCCTCATTACCATGCACCCGAAACATTGTTATCTCGAACGCAATATAGCACACTCTTACTGTTGCTATTAATTGACGGAATGTCGGTCTGCACAGAGGTGATTCGGGGGGTGGGTCCCTTCCCCACGCGGGGCCCCCCATAATCTCCAGCCAGGGTTGAATTGGCGAGCACTCTTCGTGAATCTAGCAATACCAGGTCTAAGCTTGATATGGCAGTATAATCTTTTTCTAGTAGCTTCTAGGTGGTATTTCCTATGATTTCATCCGAAGGAATCTATTGTGTAGAGCAATATTTAAATTATCACTTTCTCAAAGCAGTGGTCTTCATGCAAAAGAAAGACTGGAATAGATTCAATATTGAAATTCCAGGGGAAATTCTATCTAATTCCACACATGAGATAAGATAGTGCAGACTTCGACGCCCTCCGGAGTGTACCCCCGACACCGTGACCACGTCTCATGGGCTCCGGAAACGGCAATGAATAATATGAATTTGGATCCGCGGCTTCAAGCCAATCAATATCACCTCGTGTGAGCCGGTCATTTCTAATGACCCAGTGTCTATGAGCAGTGTTTGTCGGCCATGAATATCTGTTGACAATCATGCTGCTATTATCCGAGTGGAGGCTGGGAGCGTCTTCCACCTCAGCCCTATCTTCCGCTTCGGCCGTCATGACTTGACGCAGTGGGGACAGCCTTGGGCCTGCCATTCTATTCCTGCGGGCTCGTGTTGTCTTTCTTTCTGTGGCGCGGACCTTATTATAGTTAGATTTCCACTGCTTCCATGAGGTAATGTAGCTCTGTGAAATGAATCCATTTCCTGCTGCGTAGTTTACGATGTAGTTAGCGAAAATGCCATCATCAACTTCAATTCTGTCATTAGTCGCCAGCGACTCTGACATCCACAGACCGTGGGGTGTGTAATACTTAACAACATGGCCTTTCATAGTCTCGTTGAGGTTATCGCGTTGCAGAAGCTGGTTAATGAGGATGGAGCCGTTCGGAACATCAAAATGAATGATAACGGGGTCAAGATACAGGTATGCTTGATTCAGGACTGTATTTATCCTAAGATTAGAATCGGAAGATGTGGCTTTGGGCTTGGACATGATGATTGCGAGAGACTGCTCAGGAGGAGTCGAGCTGGTGTGGTATATAGCCGTGCCGAACCAATTGTAATGGTGGATTTTCTTATCTTCATTTGTTAGCCACTGTCGGCGGTAGAACTCAGCACTCACGATATCCTCTTCTGTTTTGTTCATTGCTAGATGCGATTCCTGGTCAGCTTCAAGATCTAAAATTGCCTTATCCAATGGGTCCAGATCGGTATCGGGATTGTAGCTTCGGAAATACTCCTCCTCGTTATCTTCTTCCAATGCTGCGGCTAGCTGTGAGCGCCGCTCGACCTCAAGGTCGTAGATCATCTGATCCAAGGGCTCCATCTCAATGTATGGTACATCGGTGTGAAGATCCTGATTGTCTGGGAAAGAGTATGGAGAAGGTGTAATCGGTCGGTTAATCTGGCAATGATGAATTCCATCGTGGTGATTCTTGAAGTTGAAATCCGAAGGAGCCATGATCCTGTTTATGAATATATCTGAAGTCAGATGCTTACTTGATCAGCCAGTGGTTCTTCGAAAAGGCGGGGATCAAGGTCGGTTCTTATATACTCCATGCTTCAAGTTCTAACGTAATTTCGGCGAGCTCTATTACAATGAAATTGTCAGTTCATTGTTCATGAAAGAAGGACTTACCTCGTTCATACCTAGGTATGGGTTCAAATTCTATTGTGAGTAATCTCTGGGCAGGGATACAATGCCCCCCCCCCCGATAAAAGAGTCAGATTAGGAAAGCAAACAAAAAGAGTTTGCTGCACCAGAAAAAGCCGTGGTACCTCTTCTTCCCGAGCTTACCGCATCTCATCCGCTTCAACCTTGTAATAGTGCTTTGGCATGTCACTTTTGGGGGATGGTCACGGCTATGAGCTTCGCATATTCTCATACTCCCCTGGTTTCGAGCCATTCGCTAGCCTAATAGTATAGAGATATGGTCGGCTTCCGTATAAAGTGATAACTTGACTAGTTACTTGCGACTATCCAATAACTTGAGTGCAAGCTTCTTTCGAAGACAAAGGAAGGTTCGGCAAGGATAGCATACCCGAGCTCTTTGTCTATCATCTCCAACAAACTTCAATAGTCTCAAAGAACCGCCTCATTTTATTCGACCGAACCTGGCATTCACCCCAAGCGAACCAGTTCGTGGCCTTCAGATATGGGATATGCGTACGCGGACTGCGTCAGCCCGGCGTTGGAATCATCGTTGCCTATGCCGAACTTGGGAAGGGCTCGCCCGGTGGGCACCTGGGCACGGAGCCGGGTACATCATGGTGGTTCGTAGTAGCGGGAATAACCACGGTATATCTTAGTATAGATCAGTATGGGAACAAAGTGGAGGAGATCGGAGAAAAGCAAAGAAAGCCCTCAAGAACATGCAACTCTGTCTGAATGCAAGGGGAGGTGTATTTTGACCAAATAATTCACGTAATATATGTGTACCAATTGTATGGTCATCGGCCCATCGATTAGTATTCGACGTGAGGCCCTCGGGCCGGTCGAATTGGCCTCAAACTTTGGCTCGGATAGAGATTACTTGCAGACTTGGTGTTCATTGCTTGTTTTAAACGATGTGACAGTGGATGACCCTTTGGTGAAGGAGCAATTTGAGGTTGTCTGCATTCGTGGAGTACCACTGGCTAGTGAAAGGAGTGAGGACGCCATTCTGCTTCAGATAAAAAAGTGGTGGAGGTGGACTGTGAAACAAGTGATAGGCAAATGAAAAAGCCGGAGAGGCACGAATGAATAGTACTAGAATCAACGATCCACGGGCATTACCCCTATGATACCCGATACTGCCGCCACCACCCAAAGGAGTCAAATGAAGTCAGGTTCATGCTCAGTCATGCCCATATCTGCCCTTCCATAATCGACTGAGAGTTTTCTTGATAGCTTCCTGGGATCTTCCACCCACCCTTGTACCTCTTCCCACAATGTTCTCTGCCCCTCTGTGCCATCATCGTCAAACTGCATCCTCAACTGGGCAAAGTTGTATAGTCCCTCAGTCCCAAGTAGCTCCATTACCTGGTACCCATCCTCATCGGCATACAAGCTCTTGAAAAGCTTCATGTCACACCAATCAACAACAAGTCGTGCACAGAGAATATGGGGCGTTCTCCCTGTTGCCAACCCGGTGGCTCTCGACCAATCTGCCAACGGACGGTAGAGCAAAACTCCCTGGTACATCGCGGCATATTCCGAGCCCGTGAGGAACAGATGATGCGTGCTGGTGTCTAGCATGTGGCTCATGCTGCGAAGGAGATTTCGCGTTGGGGAGCTTCCTTCTAGATGACCAACTTCGTCAGGATCAGATGTTGGAATGGTGAATGGACCATGTTGTGGGCAATGAAAAGTAATCGTATAGTCGGTGGCTACGGCGGATACAGTCCTGTCATTGGGCTCCCCGCTGTACAGGTTGAGGCGGCCATATTTGTCTGTCAAATAACAGCCAAGGACATGGTAGTGAAGCATTTAGGGGAAGCTTGCCATACTTTTGTGAGAGCTGGTGGCCCAGTATGTCGTGGTGAGCAATAATGTAGCGGAAGAGACACGGCATGACAGGCTGACGAAAAGAGGAGACTGAAGAGTGGGCTTGAAAGGGATTTCAGACCAGGTAGACTAAAGCCAGAGAATCTGTTTATAATCTACCATATTTGCTTTCAAATTATTGGGGCAATCTATGTACGATTCCTGGTATTGTATTCCTTCGATTGAGATCTCGTGGCCTGGGACTGGCGCGGTTTCAAAGAAGGTTATCTCAACCGAGACAGGCGGCGGCTGAAGATCTTTGCCAGCTCCCATGGCTTTAATTTGGTCGCGAATCGCTCGAGCTAGCAAAAAAGCATAGCAGAAAATGAAGATGGTGTCGGTTTGAGGAGAGCTTTTTTGCTCCGTTTCGGCATGAAGAACAATGGGGCGAGTTGGAAGCTGAGCGTGGTATGGTGAGCAAATCTTGGAAGGGTGTTTGCGTACTCTTATTGTCAACAAATGGCTCTTGTCAATATTCAGAGGGACCTCATCGTTCATGAGGGCAAATAGAAAAGGCTCCAAGATGCCTTTCTGAAAGGCATCGGGGCCACCGCCGAGTGGATCACGCACGCGACCACCATGAAAGGCTGCAGATATTGGGCTCTCAGGTCTAAGAGTGGGGACAAGAGTCTGGATAGTGGACAGGGATATCTCGGAGGCTGCTTGATTTTAGCGAAGTCGAGGAAGATCCTGTCGCATCTGAGAGTAGCGGGGCAAGTAGTCGGGTCAGATCTTGGGCTGCGATGGAGCGAGGGCCCGGTGGAGATTTGGGTTGTTTCTGAATCGGGTCAATCGCCATTGTTACACTATTATTAGCGAGGTGCTGTAGATTGGAGGTGGCGGGGTGAGCTGAGGTGATTCCAACTTAGTCCTTAAGTGATGCTTTTGTGTCTCCGTTTGTTTTGATATCACGAGGTGAAAGTGGAAGGAACGACCACCAAAATACATACTAGTACGGCAAGAGCGATGGCAGTGCAAATATCTTACAGTTGGTACTAGTACTACTCATACCTAGGTATGCTACAGTCAGTCTATGATTAGCGTCTGGCTCGATATAATGAGCTTCCAAGGTTCAATCTTCGAAAATAACTTGAACTTGAAAGTTTGAAGCTCCGAGTCCGGGGGAAAACACCTCCGAGCCTGGATACATACTACTAACATGGCCCGACCTCAGATCAGAACTGCCCAAATTGATATCATCGAGATACCAGCTCGGTAAAACTACTACTACCACACAGAGACTCATATTATACTATACAACTAATCCCACCACAAATCCCCAAATCCAAAAGATCCGGTGCAATTCAAGTCCGATATCATCGGGGGGAAAGCCGAGGCGCAACTATTAACCGGTTACATAAGCCAATATGACGCCAGACATCCCCGCACACCTCTCGGGGCCTTCTTCGATATTCTCTACAATTCGGTCTCCATCTTCCTCTAATCCCTCGATGAACCATATCAGAGCTTGCGGTAGATCAATTCAACTCCTGCAACACCTCTCGACCCACCCGCGCGCCTCGCCCCTCACAGCAACCCCCAACCCACTTACCCGTCCACTCCAACCCAGCGTCCGCCGCACCATGTCTTCTGCAATGGCCAAGCGCCTCGAGGGCAAGACGATCCTCGTGACCGGCGCCTCATCTGGCATCGGCGCCAGCACCGCGAAGGAGTTCGCCCGCACGGCGCCGAAGAACCTTAAGCTCATCCTGACGGCGCGCCGCATCGATGCCCTCGAGCAGGTTGCGGCTGAAATCAAGAAGGAGGTCGGCGACGGCGTGCAGGTTCTCCCTGTGAAGCTGGATGTTAGCAATCCGGAGGACATTAACAACTTTGTCCCCTCGCTGCCGGCAGAGTTCAAGGAGATTGACGTACTAGTTAACAATGCGTGAGTCGTGGAATCTATCCGTCCATATTCCCGTACCTTTCCCCGCACATCTTATCGCTTCTCATTCCCTTATTTCAAAATGCCCGCAACCAATTCAGCCGGTATACTAACATTGATTTCAGCGGCCTGGTCAAGGGCGTTGCCCAAGCCCCCAACATCGCAGCCGAGGATATGAAGGTCATGTTCGACACCAACGTAACCGGCCTAATCAACATGACACAGGCTATCCTCCCGATCTTCAAGAAGCGCTCTGATGGTGGCCGCGGCGACATCATTAACATCGGCAGTATTGCCGGTCGCGAACCTTACCCCGGCGGTGGTATCTACTGTGCGACCAAGGCCGCTGTCAAGTCCTTCACTGAGGCGCTGCGCAAGGAACTGATTGCCACGAGAATCCGCGTTATTGAGATCGACCCCGGCCAGGTTGAGACTGAGTTCTCTGTTGTGCGGTTCTACGGCGATAAGTCCAAGGCCGATGCTGTCTATGCGTGAGTGCGCCAATTGCTGTTGATTACATTGCCTTTAGTCTATTGACGGTGACTAACCGATGGTTTTTTTTTTCTTTCTTTAGGGGCTGCGAGCCGCTTACTGGCGATGACATTGCTGAGGTCATTGTCTTTGCTGCCGGGCGTCGCGAGAACGTTGTTATTGCCGATACACTGGTTTTCCCCAGTCACCAGGTATGTCTAGGCTATTTATTCCCTCTCCCACATTACGCCTATCGGGACTAATTGTTGGTTTAGGCTGGTGCTGGCACTATGCACCGCAGGTCTTGAGCGATGTATTACGACCCGGATATAGGAGAATATAGATAGCAGTTTCTAGAATGACATGGTTTCACGATACACAAGTCTGAATGGAATTGGTACTAGTAGGTGGTTGTGTTACCCCCTCATGCAGCGCTGTAAAATCATGTGAAGCGGGGTCGTACAGCGTCGATGGGGTCGATCACCTGAGTGTCCCACTTGCCTGATGGAACCTCGACTTGCTACTAGTACGGGGAAGTTTGAAAAGAGATGCATAGCAAATGCCAGTGTGCATGCGATGTGACGCGATACGGAGTAATATGTACTCCGTAGGTTTGCTCCAAACCTTGGAAGTGATCATACAAGTCAAATTAACAGCCGAGCCGCACCAGCCGATCAACAGCCGATATCATCTACTGTACGCCGCTCTAATCATGACGCACGAAGGGATTCAACTAGCGCCAACAGCGCAATGTGACAGACCGCACAAAGACGAAGCACCAATTGGTCTGGGCTGCTCGTTCCGCGCAGCACTCATGGCATGCAAATTCCCCCAATCGAAGACCTCCTGCTGTAGAGCCGGGATATCATCGCATTCGAAAACTCGCTCGCCATCAACGGGTTCATTTAGCAGGACGAGCACATCCAGGGCCCAGACTCGACACGTCTGAGCCGGGTGGTTCAGTCTCGCGTCCAGGGAGCGAAAAGTCCGATCTAAGTGGGGGTACCAGTGGGCTGGCACATCGGCGATCCGAAAAAGACCCACGAGCAAAAACTCCTTCCTGATGGCGGCGTTGGCGGCATGGTCGGGGATCCACCCAGGCCCGACGGTCTTGATGTGGTACTTTGTGCCTCCGGTGATGGGGGTTTGGTGTAGGTAGAGGCCCCAGTGGAAGTCGTTTGGGTTTGGTGGGTCGTTTCGGGTGTAGAGGAGGATGTATAGACTGCCGAGTTGGAGGTCTGGTGGGTTTATGGGGTCGATCATGGCGCTGATTGACGTGTTCGGCTTGGCCTCTATGTTTGTCATGTAGATATGGGTATGGAAGGACAGAGATGTACTAGTAGAACCCACCTAATGTAGGCATGTGTTTGTGATGTAGTCTTCGCTGTCACTGCTTCTGCCTACTTCTGCCTAGACTACCTATGTAGGAGATATGCGCGGTAATTGCAGGAACAGCTTGTTCAGCCAGCAAATGTCTTACACTTCATTCAAACATGACCTGCTTGACAGCGAACAAAGGGAGTTGAGTCAAAAAATGCCCACCGGAATGCGACAGCTGCAGTCAGGGCTTTGATCTGTCACCGGCCGTGTGTGTCGGACAATTGATGGGTCATATTCATATCTGCAGGAGACTGGGCATTGAGTTTGTTGGTTCTTTTACAAACTGAGTGGTGAGACCTGGAAGTTAAACAGAACTGTTTGTTTAGCAAAGGTATTTGTACTATGTATGCATCATCCTAAAGGGTAAATCAATTGAGTTTGCAGGCCCATGGATGAAGTTGGTGTGGCTGACAGCAAGGATAACGAGAGAACCAAGAACTTTAATCCGAGCAGAATAGAGGTAGGTTTACTATTAATCGGATACTCCGTCATGGAATCACAAAAAAAGAAAGAAAAAAACTAGAAAAGAAAGATACAATTCTTCAGACCCGATAATACCCAATACACTGGATCGCCACGGGGGTCGGACAAGAGATCTGCAGGTTTCGCATATGTCAACCACGACGTGACCCGGAAAAAAGGATGCAGTAGGATGGTTTAGGATAGGCTTAGCGGGGCGGTAAAGGGAAGGTGTGATATGTGATGTGTGATGAGAGTGTCCCGTATTCTCTTCTCCATACCAAAGAGGTGGCCCCCCCAGTGCGCGCACAGATTCCCACATTTCCACATTCCCACCGCCGCGCCGGGATGATGCAATGAGCATGCAAGGCGGGCACCTCCTGCAAGCCATTGTTATTCCACCCATGTTGGGTTTGTCTGTGGTGGGTGTTCCGAGGTGTACCTTTGGTGCCCGAAGCTGCAACCGCCCTTGCATGGGAAGAAAGTCGGGAATAGAAGGGTGGGGTGGGCTGGAGAAGATCCCTGAGGGATCCTCAGGTATTGTAGCTAGTGTAGCAAGACTTCATCCATGGACAAAGAAAGAAGTGGTAGTGGCCAGCCCCATTGCGCCCGTCACAACATCACAGCGCTAGGCGTGTGAACTAACCGGATGCCCTACCCTGACCCCATTCTCCCCACCGATCCACTTGAACTGATGAGACCCGATGCCAGTGGGATGTCAGGACGAGGGAACCGAATCAAACTAGGAGTCAAACTACGTTAAGCCCCCAGTACGTCTGATAACTTGAATCCACCAGCCAAGACATTTATATGATGGAAGAGTCACCGTTGGTTCTGGAGATTAAAACGAACCAGACTAGACCGAAAAGAAGGCGCAAATAGATGAAATGAACTCGTTCTGACCCAAGCTCCCAAGTTCTCAAGTTCTCTAAAGTACCCAACCGCCATCCCCACCTCCCCTGAGTCCCGAGTCCACTTCCAGTCAACATCAATATCAGCATTAACATGGACATGAACATGAACATGAACCCAGGCTCGTATGGCATAAATAGTAGTAAAAGTAAATACATTGCTAATGCTAATGCTAATGCTAATGTCAAAGTACAAATAATCTAATATCTCCACATATCACTCAAGGGAACCATTCACCTAGTCCCACCCCGTTCCAGTCCAGCCTTTTTTCGTTTTCCCTTCCCGCCTTTAGAGAACCTCCTGATTTCCCCTTTCCCCCCTAAAAAAACTACCTTGGTTTCCCTCCAAACGAGTTTTTTTTTTTCTCGAGTTGGTCTGTTTTGGTCTTAATATTTTTATTTTATTTTTATATTTATTTTGGGTCTCCATTATTCCACTCTTAACCTTGTGGTGAACGTTGGTCCTTTTCTCTCCTGAATCCCTGCCAATCGCGCTCGCATAATTTGATCGGCCCCTTCGATCTGATCTTCCCTTTCCCGACAATCTTCCCTCTCCCCCCCCCCTGTCCCTCTCCCCGACCTTTTATCACCATAATTCTTCTTCCAAAATGGCTTCCAAGGTAAGCTCAATCCTGTTTTTATGATCATGTCTCCCCAGTTTCCTCCCATCCAGGACCCTCGGGAATCTGCTTCCTCCGCCTCCTCCGCCCCCTCAGTTCCCATCCCATGCGAACCAACCAGAACTTCCCAATGCTTGATGACCGATGACTGACCGCGCATTGCTTTCAATCCTTAGTTCCTCAGAGAGTACAAGCTAGTCGTCGTCGGCGGTGGTGGTGTCGGTAAATCATGCTTGACCATCCAGCTGATCCAGAGCCACTTTGTGGACGAGTACGATCCAACAATTGAAGGTGAGCCGCCGAGTCCAACCCTGTCCAACACCTTGCAACGAGTCCCCAATCGCTCACATCGCCCCTTACCATTCCAGATTCTTACCGCAAGCAATGTGTGATCGACGATGAGGTTGCTCTGTTGGACGTCCTCGACACAGCCGGTCAGGAGGAGTACTCTGCGATGCGAGAACAGTACATGCGAACCGGCGAGGGCTTCCTGCTCATCTACTCCATCACCTCGCGCCAATCATTCGAAGAAATCATGACCTTCCAACAGCAAATCCTGCGCGTCAAGGACAAGGACTATTTCCCCATCATCGTCGTCGGTAACAAGTGTGATTTGGAGAAGGAGCGTGTCGTCTCAGAGCAAGGTACGTTGAATCTCATCCGGTGGATGTCGTTCCCCGGAACAATGCTACCCTACCATCGGGAGCGAGTCTGAGATAGCAGAGCTAACACATTTCTTCCAACAGAGGGTGAAGCCCTGGCCCGCCAATTCGGTTGCAAGTTCATTGAGACCTCCGCCAAGTCCCGCATCAACGTCGAGAACGCCTTCTACGACCTCGTCCGTGAGATCCGTCGCTACAACAAGGATATGGCCTCCTACCCATCCGGCTCGGGCGCCTTTGGTGCTCGCGCCCCTGAGGGCAAGATGGATGTCAGCGAGCCCGGTGAGAGTGCCGGCTGCTGCTCCAAGTGTGTCATTATGTAAGGTTTTGACGTGCAACGCCCAGTCCCTTCGCCCATCGCAAAAACAATGCAGATTTCCCGCATACGATACGACAGACCATCGAGGACGGGCGAATCTAACATTCGAACGAACGAGTTACACATAAGAATGGGCGCTAATGGGAATATTGTGGAATTGACGTGTGTGGGATACGTGTGTTACATGTATTCGTGAAATAATGCATTCAGATTGAGGAGATGATGCGCTGAAGAGCCGAGGTGGGAGGATGAAGCTTGGAAATTCGACAGCGCGAGAGTGAGATCCACGGACCTAGGAAGGGGAAAAATAATCCAAATCAACAATCAACGAACGAAAACGAACGAGGCGAACAAAAACAAACAACAACCAAAATATCCCGGGAAACAGGAAAAAAAAGCCAACACTCATTCCACCCACAAAATCCCCTTCCGTCCGAAATCTTCCCCCAAAAAAAGAAGCTGGTGGTTGTTCATCGCTGCCCGGATTTCACTCGCGGGTTTTATTTATCTTTCCCCCGACGTTTCCTCGCGCAATGACGAGCCGACTTGACTTGACGCCAACCTCGTCTCACGAATTTTGATTCCCCTTTTGTTTTTTTGTCTTTTGTTATCCGTCTGCGGCTCCTTAATCCTTTTACCAGTTTCCTTTTCTTTTACTTTTTTAAACTTTTTTTTCCCTTTTCACTATCTGTTCATCTTATGTTTGCGAAAGAATTGTGTCCAGGTCATCATCCCCATTTTGTCTATCATCTTGTCTGTCTCGATTGCGAGACAGCATGGCTGTCAATATATTTTCCTCGGCGGGTTTCTTCCCACTGATGTTTTTGGTGTGTTCTTTTCTCCCATGGCTCGTCGTTCCAGCTCGTATGATATAATATCAATGGATGCAGATCAAGGCATCGTGATCATACCTAGGTATACTGCACCGTGTGGAAGGGATACTTCGGTATATCTGCCGAATTAGATTGAACGCGTCAGCGACTCCAAAGTTTCAACGCTGTACCAGTCACTACTGGGTGGGTTTTGGACTCCTGAGCTGGTATTGTACCTAGCTGGCTATACGTAACATATTTCCCATGCAATGTTGGGCTTTCCTATTCTAGATGCCGCCGCTTTAATGAGGGCGCTCAGGATCAGACTCACTGAGCAGCTAAGAGCAGGTCACATGGTATATCAGTAATGGTCTGAGTATCTCTGAGTGATTAGTGACTGGTCAGTGGTTGCTCAGTGGCCTCTATTGTGTACTCAGCCTACACCCTGCCCATGCCAAAATTGGCACACAGCCCCACAACAGTGCTAAGGAGATACTTTTTTGATGGCCTACTGAAGCTCAGCTTCTTCGGGTATTTTTCCCATTTCCGACTATATTGGAAGGGCCATTTAAAGACAAAAATAAAAATAAATATAAATATTTGTATTTATAAGTCAGCGCCCCAGAACTAGTCTCCATTTGCTTTTTTTTATCTACGGCTGCCTCCATATCAGACCTCCGGTATAAATTAAAGTTGTAGGACCTTCCAGTATTCGCTGCTACATTCTTTTCTTTCATTTACTCTTTTCCTATTTACGTTTTATTCCTATCTTCGTACTGGTACGGTAATATTCCTATCCTAGCTATAGGACGTAAAATATTCTTTGCCCAACAAGATATTTCTGCCCAAGGAATATACTATAAGTAATCAGAAAACAATGGCTAGTTATTTGGTGCTTACACCTATAACGATTTTATTCATAATAAGGATGAGAGGTTACCTAAGACTAAAACTATGTATTATAGCGCTTTAAGACAGTATATCAGGGGATTCGGAGTACCTAGGTATGCGATACCCCCGGACTCTCGAAGCCGATCCATGGCCGAATCCCCCTCCCCCGAGTCGGTCATGTATGCAGGTCTGCCTTGGCCCTGGCAATATTAGAACGTACGACGATAGCTATGATTTTTGTTCTTCAAGAATCAGTCTATGTATCAACTGTCTAATCTGATCTCTACTATCTAATATCCTTGTCGAGTCACAATTTGCTAGTATTATTCTCTTACGCTAGCTTACTAGAGCTGAATTATCAGGAATTTTATAGACCTTCTTCACTCTATTAATTATTACTACAATCTATAGTTGTAGATATCTAAGCTACTTCTAGGCATATTATAATATCTTCTCCTTAGATAGCGGAAGATTAAAGTCAACCTTTAGTTAGGAATTAATTGCATATTAATAACAACCTTTAAAAAGTAAGGCTATAAGATTTTCTATAGAGATAAAATAACTCCCTATCCCGTTTGCTAGGCGCTCCCAACAGCACTCAGAGACCTTAACCCAGGATATGGTTGTATAGCAAGAGGTAAAGACATGTGACTTCAGATATCTCAACAACGCAACTTTCTTTTTTATTATAACTCATAATATAGGGTTTGATTAGAGTAACGAATAATATCACTGAAAAAAATTGATTTAGATAATTATTTAGTAGTATTACAAAAAATACTTGGTAATTTGTAAGGGTCTACTCGGCCTGTAGGATAATGGAGGAGAAGATGATGTCCTATTCTTCCCTTTAGGGAAGGAGATATTGACCTCCGTCATCACGTGGATGACAGACAGATCGCTAAGACTAGATAACTAATGGCGCCTAAGTGCGCCTGACATAATTTACATATTTTGGAGATTAATATACATATGTATAGTATAAAGATATTCATATACTCCATATTCTTACAAAATAATTAACTAAACCATTTACAACACTACACCTTTAAATAACCTCCTAAATAGAAATAGTTGTTGAGTTATAAAGTTGTAATTTATCATATTTATTATGTGTTTTGAGGCTGGCGGCTCGGTGGTGAAACACGTTATATGATAAGAAAGAGATACAAGTATGTATATTGTATTATGTCACTTATCTGGCCATACAAGCAGGCATGGCTTGAACAAGCCTCCAAAATCGAGATTGAAGCTGTGAAGTCGGGTCTTAGCAAGTACTTTCTGGTGGAATCTTTGCCCCGGACATAGCAAAAAGGTAGATTACACAAATTCGTCCCCTGGGCGCTATCGTCCGCCATAGTTAAATGACGTATTTCCGACCTGCCTATTGACTCATGAGCGACCGCAACTCGTTTCAGATACCCCAAAACAATTCGATCTATGAAAGAAATCAACATCATGGCCATCGTGGTAAGCATGTTGTTGTCAAAATATTGGATTTAACGCTCATGCAGATCATAGGATGACCCGCCGTCTGGGTGGGGCTCAAAGCCTGAGGACCTCGAGTCCGAAGATGACTGGGAGGCGGAGGATAGTTTCGGACAATATCTGTGTAAACAGATGAATCTTGGGAGAGGCCGTCCAATTATGTGTCATTGCACAGATCATGCCTACCTGTTTGAAGCCGGTGGAAAGTTCTACTTCTGGTATTGCGTTGGTCTCGATGTCTTCGAAATCATCTCTCCGACAACCCTGGATGAGATCATTAAGACTATGAAGGAAAAGGGAGATGGGGCCGTGAAGACCAAGAGGCTTGTATGATGAAGAAATCTGGGAGGTCTCCAAGTCTGGAGACAGGGGGACCCGTTGCTGTGCGCTCCTTCCAAATATTCACACTGAAAGTTACAATACCAACACAGAAACTTCAAGGACACTCAATTTTCGTAGCTGTTGTATTTTTGCATTCCCCGCTCACGCTCTATCGTACTCCGTTCAAAGGAAATCATAATCATGTTACGTGGGCAGTTAGGCCCCGCGCCTGCGACTCCATTTTCGAAGCAGATTCTACCAGCCTTTGACGGTCAGCTTGATATTCGCGTGGCGTATAGTTGGAGCCGCGAAACCGTACTCACCCCCAATTTCTACCTCTGATCGAGTTAGATAGACTTGCTGACGTACCTTTTTGTATGGCTAGATCATCAATTTCCTTTACTCCGTTGCGATATCACCCGTGCATTTTGGCGCTCCTTCTGAATGTTGGGCGGAACTAGCAGACATTTGCCGAGAAATCAGAGAGCTTACCTAGGTAGGCATCGAGAAGACACCCAATCATTAACTTCTCTATGATCCTCCCCGGCCAGAGTAAGGAGACTAATATGCGATGTAGCGCACCTGCTGGGTCAGAATATCGATCACCTGATGCGAGATTGAACCCGCCTCAACATATTCTGCGGGAGTTCAACTGGAGATGAAACAGGCAACATGGTCTAGGAGCCTCTAAGTTTAAGCTTAGGAGGCACAAGCATCATAAAATTCCGTACTGGAGCCCGACAGATTTGCTTGGTCTGTTCATTTCGACAGCTAGTACTGCTCCGCAAGGAGCAACTAAGCGTAACTTCTACCTTCCTCTCACGGCCATGTATGGCCAATGGTGCAACCAACTTCTCGAAACTAAGCACAAGCCGAGTATGTACAGCTACTTTTGGGTGTTGGGCGCGGATGAGTTCTTCCTTGGTGCCTCTCTAGGAGGCTGTGTCTTCGAAGACAACCTTGTAGGTTCCTGGCCTTTGCCAGTGAAGCGAGGAAGATACTCGCTAGTAGGCGGTGATCCCGTAACTCTGTCTGGATGGTCCTTCAGAACGAAGCCCGAAAAGTATCAAACAATCGGCAATTGTGCCGAAACATACCCCATTGTACACCTTCTACGGTAAGTGATCTTCTAATTTCATGTGGCAACAAATTATGCTAATGCAATATATTGTGTAGCGGACTCGATGAAAGAAACAAGGATGTTCACGGATTATCCCTCAAGAAGAAAGCGCTCAAGGCAGCGCAGTACCAGGACACGTTGAGCGGTGATTTCTGGACCCGAGTCGTAGGTCCCTGCGAGAATTGTCAGTTTTTGATCGAGCTTCATGGGGGAATATTGGTAAATTTCTGTCGTTTTGCTGGGTCTGCGGGGGCACCCGCATAGAAAGCCAATTTCAAGAGAGGGCGTATATTTCTTGTAAATATTATTTAGCTGAGAAGAGGCCCGTTGACATCGTTACGATCGGTGCAGTAAATATATAACCTATATTGATCCACCTTTGAACCGGACGAAATACATACTATAGCAGCGTTATGGTCTTACCATGACTTGTCCAGCTTCTTGTCTTCCTGGTTGCTCCCAGCCAATTCCTGATATTTGTCATCGAGGACTACCATCGCAGGGACTGTAACACCAGTGCAAAATTGGCGAGATAGATATGTATAGTGTCGACGCTCAGTGATGGGACGTGATTGAATTCTTTTCTTCGGGAGATGGAGGTACAAAGGAGCGAAGGGACTCTGAAAAGGCCGAAAAGCTGGAAAGTGAAGCCTTTTTAATCTGTGAATATTGTCAGAATTGATATCTCCGAGGCAATACTAGTTCCTTGCGGTACATATTTATCTTCCCGGCGAGAAAGGTGTTCATAATACCGAGTCCACCATACTGTGCTCATGACGGTAGATAATTCAGCTTAGGATTGATTTGTAAAGGATGACTTCAATTCCCAACAACCATCTCTGCACTGAGCAGCTATAGTAAAATGGATTGCTGAGCATCAGACTAGTCCTACCCTAATTCGGACTAGATGCGCTTTGTTTGCTTTTGATTCAGCCCAACGTTGTTTGGTCCTACTTTCTTCGGCCGACATTTTTCGGCCCAGATTTATAATATTTGTGAATCATCTGTTGTACATTCAGGCTTGGGAAGCCCCGGGTTTTAGAAATTCAAATCAACCTAAAGCCGAGAATACCTAGACAGGAGTGGAATCGAGTAACGAAAAGTCGAATACTATTCGGAAATCAAGAAAGTTGGAGAACTTTAGTCCCTTGGTATCCATTCCGATGTCTTCAGATATTAACGAAGACTTGATGTAAGTTACTGTATAAAATAGTAAAAATCATCTTCAAATTCCAGGGCTAACTAGTAATCCTGTTGTACTTTGTCACAGGACAGCAAAATCCACAAGCCTTTAGAACTTGAAATTGTCTCTGTTTAAGTTGCTATAATAATATACTCTGAAAAGCATTCTCATGGTTAGCTCCGAGTCTTGCATCCCTTCCCTCGCGCTTGTTATTGATAGAATAAAAAGGAAAAGGTTCCAAGGTTATAGTAGTATGGGAGATACCAAGGAAGACAACGCCATTCTACTTCTAGTATTGCCTAGGTATACCTAGGTAACACCTGCCCAGGTGGCCATGGGCAGGATTTCAGGATCTCGGGAGAAGCGGTGGGACTCACTTCAGGTTGTATTCACGGTTGGATGAGTTACTCGTAGTAGTATCAGTCAATCCTTCAAGTTTGTATTCAGGAAAGCTTCTCTTTCCTTCCCTACTAGTACCTAGGTACCTAATAGTATATGAACTTGAACCTTACAGGGTTGGAAGAAGTAGTATGAAGATTGTGATAACAAATATTTTATATCGACATTGGAAATCTATTGCAGCCTGGCAAAGCCGCTCGATCAAACAAGCCTAGTATGATACATATATACAAACCTACTGGCTATAAACACGATCCTCCTCATCAACAGGATCCAACTCATCCTCCTTCGAAACACGCTTACCCTGTACAGCAGCCTCAACCTCAGCAACCAACGACTCGAGATACTCCTTATTCGCACCGACCAGCGTAACCGTGTTGCGCTTCTTTCCCCAGCGCGGGTAACTACCGACCTTGATACCATTAGGCTCAACCTTGGCAGCCAGCTCGGTCAAATACGGCGCAACCGCACTCTCGGGCAAAGGTGTGCTGAAGAGGAATCGGTGAGTGCCCTTGCCTTCTGGATCAGATAGACGGTGGATAAGGTGCGGCTTCAGCTGGTCGAGTAGCCGCTCAAAGAGGCGCGGGACGCCGGGGAGGATATGTACGTTGCCGTTGACGACGGAGATGGGGACCCATAGGTCCTCCGAGACGAAGAGGGCTTGGTTCTCGGCGGGAATGTTCTCGTCAAATGGCATCTCCACCATGCGCAGCTTAGCTGTCAGGCCTGGGGATGGGGTGTCCCAGTCGAAGTTGGGCTGCATGGGATGCGGCTTGGAGAGCCTCTTCATGCGCTCAAAGGCGGCCTGGTGTAATTGCAACTTCAGATTGAAGGCCTTGGCGATCGCTGAGTAAGTTATATCATCGTGTCTGTTGGTAGTATTTGGCATTAGCTGGTGTGTAGATGTGTAGAGCGCAGTTCGCGATCCAGTTGGTCGGGGTGGGAATTGGGCATTGGATGGAAGGATACTGACGTTGGACCAATGCCTCCACTAGTGACGACAAAGTCGTAGCGGGCACTCATGCGGCGGACTGCCTCCATGATATCCTCCTCATCGTCGGGAATGACCTCTACCCTCTTCAGTTGAATGCCGAGACCGAAACAAAACTTGGCCAGGTAGGGGGAATTGGTATCAATTGTCTGTGGGTGGAAGGTGGTTAGCACAATCATTTCGCAGAATGCTTCATAAATAGTGTCTTACCTTTCCACCGAGCACCTCATCGCCGATGATGAGGGCAGCCGCGGTGTGGATGGGCTTGGTGAAATTCAGGGCGGCTGATGTCATAGCGAGCGGAGTTGCAGGCGAAGCCAGCGAGGTCGGACGAGAAGGACTGAAGGACGGGAGGTGCTGTTTCAGTAGATTTAAGCGGTTCAGCATGGAGAGAGGGGGGTAATATGAGGCGGGCTGGAGGATTGATGAAGGGCGGAGATGGAGATGGAGATGAACTGAAGATGGAGAAGGAAGTGGGGGGGAAGAGGGGAAGTTGAAGAGGAACCACCGCCCGCATTTTCAACCTCCCGCATCCTCCTCGCATCTTTCAAGTTCCACCTTTGGTCACTCCTGATACAAAACTGTTCGAGAGAATCATTGAGTGCGAGCCTTATTGGTGATTCGCATTCCATCAGATATATCATCGAGTCTCCCCTCTAACACTCCGCCCATAATATCTCCCAACATGGTAAGCCTTCTTCACTTGAACCCTGCGTCGCGGGCATCTGGGCCAGACTCGGGCCAAGTCAGCTAATACTCTATCGTCCAGACTGATTCCCGGTTATATTCTTTCTCTCCGGAGACAAAGGAGCAGCTGCGCAAGTTCCGTCTCACCACCTCTCGCGCAAAGGATGCGCAAGCTAGAATCTGTACGACCTCGTGATCTCCTTCCCAAAGCCTACCTCCACCGTAACCCCGTCTGCTATCTCAAATTTTGGAATATATAACATCATATTGCATATCACCGTCTCGAATTCCGGAGCAGAATAAGCGTTGATTTGACCCTGCAGATATCATCGATGCCAAGAACCAGGAGATCCGCGCACAGGATGATGAAGTCTACACCAATATGGAGGACCTTGCCGATGATCTCCCTGAATCATCGCCTCGCTTCATTCTCCTCAGCTACCCTTTGACATTGGTGAGTCTATCACTGCGATAGTCGTCTCTGCCAGCTATGGCCCCTGGCTAATATGGATGATGTTTTGTAGGGAGATGGCCGTGTGTCCGTCCCTTACGTCATGCTCTACTACATGCCTGTGAACTGCAACCCATCCCAACGAATGATGTACGCTGGAGCCGTGGAATTGATGCGCAATACATCAGAGGTCAACCGGGTGATCGAAGTACACGAGGACGAGGATGTAATTTCCATCAAGTCCCAGCTGGGCGGTACTGATTAGATATATGAAGTGAGATGCAAGGCGTTGATGCCCTGCCAAAGAGAAAGAGCTGATCATCCTGATCGGCCGTGCCCATCAGGAAAGCTCAGAGCGAGAGCGAGAGCGAAGGAACCGGAGTCTTCCATACATTTAGAACAAGGTGTTGATAGAGACCGGTTATTGTGTCACCGGCTCATTATGACATGTCGACACAACCAGAAACTTTTTTTGATTTGATATACATATTTGAAATCATCACCATCGCGGGGCTAGTGTGGAGAAAAGTCCGATTCCGGGGATCAGATTGACTATTGTCAACGGCATCGGCTTATGATAGGCGTCGCCGACGGCTGCGTGATACATCACAAATGATTTGCAACGGCGCGACCTGCAGACCCTCTCCTCGAGGAGACACTATCGAGTCTGGTAACGGACTTGACAGCCCCGTTTGGGAGGGGTTTATTTGCTTGAATGGGGGGTTGCAGTGTCTTGATTCCATGCACGATCACACTAGTTCGCGAACATGATCAACGCACCATGCGGGAGTAATGGTTCAGAGAGCCGTTGATCATTACTGAGAGACTCTTGCCCCATCGGGAGGAATCTTGTGTATTTGGGGATTCATTTGTCGTAGTTCTGCATCCCGACTGGTTCTGTTCAGCTCCGAATCCTTCAGCTGAAGTCTCTCACCTCGATCTGTATATGATAGAATTACTGCCCCAGCGAATCGCGACTGACACGGCATCACTCCATTCGGGGCCTGACCTGCAATCCAGCCACCTGTTGGACAGGACGGCTGATCGACAGTGCTTCCTCGCTCGCGCCCGGATCTAATATCCTGGAGCGCTCGTCGATCCGCAGACGCGCCCTTTCCCAGTTTCTCGAATTTCGAGATTCAGAATGGAGAGAGGGGCTTCACTCATTGGCTTTGAATCGGTCACATTGCCGACTCCTCAGAAGCAGCCACCCATCCACGTAAACTTTGATCTCACTAGCTCTCCCCATTCTCTGGTCCCGGAGAGAGCGAGGTTCAGCTGCCTGTCTCTGTCTCTTAAACGTATCACAGGGACAAGTCGCTCATTTGTGAATGGGATTCCTGGGAAACAAAAAACACGGGTATCGCCGGCGACGAGTGAAACTGTTTGAAACTGGTATGTCCTGGCTGGCCCCCTCCCCCTCGTCTGGGAGGGGAGGCTCCGGAGAGGGACCAGTGATAGGCCACGGCGATGCTTACTCCCTCGTATGCGTTCGCATTTGCCTTTTCATATGGAACCAGAACCCAGCAATCACAATGCAGGTGAGCACTCTATCTTCAAATCGGGAACCCGCCAACACCAAGCGGGCTGATCTTTTTTCGCGCGTGGCGACTGAGTACTCCTACGCAGTAGCTTGATGCCACGATGTCAAGAAAAGTGCAACATGTGTAGTTGCGCCAGGTGTACGCAGTGAATGCGGAATTGACTTCGATACGCAGCACAGGTGACATTCTGTTTTGTTTACTTCGTCAGTAGTACATACGGTTTGTGACGAAATGGAATGGTTGGTCGGAACTTGAAATCAGAGTAGGACTTCAGTGCCGAGTAACTATTGGGGGCCTTGCAGAACAGCACAAGCGAAGATACTTTATGTAAATTATGCAATCGTAATACCACTACTATATCCAGTACAATAAATTGTCCAAGCTGAAATCCAAAGCAGCAGCGACCAAGTATTGCGACTCTGATCAGAAGGATTGAGGTTCCATTGAAATGGATGTGATGAAAATAGATCCATAATGCAGCCCGGTTATACTCCGGAACAAGGATGTCAAGACAATGACAACGAGCACTAGTATGACAATGACAGCATGGTTCGATTGAAACCTGCACGGGTGGTACGTTGCTGATTATTCTTGATCAATTGATCCGTCCTAAACTCCGTACTCCGTAACGCGTAGGTCAATATTAAATCTAAGATAGTCCAGGAATAGCGCCCGACAACGGTCAATATCCCGAGTTTTGATGGCTTGATGGCTTAATGGGCTTAAAGTGGGCGTCGGTATGAGATTGGTACAGATGCACTTCGTACTAGACTCTCGTACTCTCCGTACTCCGTACATCGCGTTCAAATTGGGATTGTCCGGGGGGGAAGTTGTTTTGTAGGAATTTGTGATTCCGTACCGACTTGTACCACGTCGAACGCCCCCTTCTCCACCAAACTCACCCAAAATCACCCAATCCACCCAGAATCCAGCGAAACTCTGCTTCCGGCGACCCGCCCCCAGCCGGGCAATGAGCGACGGGCACGAGGCCCACCCATGAGCAACTCAGACCATCTGAGAGCGGGCATCTGAGCCCATCTGAGCCCATCTGAACGAGACAGGCCAGAACCGACCCACGGGACCCGACGATCCTGTACGAGGACGTGGAGCCAGGCTCAGGAGGCGAAACAATGAAGGGGGGGAGGAGGAGGAGGAGGAGGAGGTGGAGGTGGACTCGGAGGATCCGACACTCTGGCAAGAGAGAGCATTGACCAACACAGCCGAGAAACGAACTGCCCTGCCAAAACACTGTGGCCTTTCGTTATTTTCTGCTCTGTCTTCTTCGCTCTCCTAGGTTATTTTATTTTTATTACAATTTTCCCAGGGGCTCGGGTCAGCCTCGCATGGCGGTGTGCAGGGACGAGCTTCTGACTGGATGGACTGGGGGAACTGGATCCAAAGCCCTCGCTTCGGTCAGCTCCCAAGAATATCCTCCGACCTTTCCCCCGGTACGAGAGTAACTTAAGCACATACAGAGCTGCTAACTCCATGTACAATGTACTCCGTACAGGGAGGTACGGAGTCTATCGGACGTCATATCTTGGGTAAAGTGTTTCGCCACGCGCGTATGCAGGCCCATCCCGCAAGCCCTCTCGGCCGTTTTTCTTCCTTCTCGTCATTTAGGAAGAGGGGGAGGGAAAGCAGGCTAAGGAGAGTACGACGCTGCAGAGAGTTTCCACATTTTCCCGCTTAGAGACCAAGGGGGGTTGTGGTGGTAGTGAGGATATAGTGCTGGAGGCGAGTCCGTACTGTCATCCCCCAATCTTCCACGCTGTTCACTTATGTAGATTAGGGGATGTCAGATGCAGTATCAGTCCGGACAGGCCCGAAAATTCCAGTCCGCAGAGGCAGCACGGTGGAACCGTTGGGCAACGAGGGATGGATTCAATCTGGAATGATCATCGGTCGCAAGAGGATTGAGGAGAAAAGAGGAGGCGTTCTTTAGTGTGCAGTAGTGGCTACCGAAGGAGGACAAGTCGGGAGCACAGAAGGGAGAGAGAAAGACGATCGATCCCGCCCCCAATTTTCCATGGGTGATCGTGCTGGGAATCGTGCCAAATGCAGGGTACATTTTGACATTTTTTTTTTTGTTTTTTTTTGCTTTTTGCTTTTTGGCCAACATCGTTGTCCTTTTGGTGTTCACCGCTAGGCCTCACTGGGGTTCGCGTGGATCGTAGACGAACTCCTCGCTGCGTCTGTCTTTTATGCATCATGCATGCTGGGCGTTTCCCTTATTCAAAGGTTTCCAGTTGTTGACACCGCCCTCTCATGCTTGTGCTTCTTGGTCTGTACTGAGCAGTTGTGCTGTCTTCTCCTGACTCTTTCCTTATTTGATTTTATCTTATTTATTTTAACTCTGCTGAAGTGGCGCCGGTGAAGTGTACCCGCCGGGGTGGTTTACTTTGCTCTAGACCACGCACTGTCCTCGACTGTCCTTGTTCATGTTCTGCATTGGAACAATGCTGGGATTCTCCTCCGCAGTGTGGCCGGCCTTGTCGGTCGTATGTGCCAAGTCTGAGATATGACGGAGTCGGGTTCAGTTAAATATAGAGGTACTACTCTAGACGGACTCGGATGGGTGGTTATTGTCATTTGATATCGGGCAGAGTCCCCTTCATTGGCTATTAGGAGTATGCTGGAGCCCACCAGTGTCAGACAGCAGCCGACGCCTCGTGAAGGGACAGAGTTTTTGGCAAAGTCAAATG